GAGACCACCCCCCCCCCGGGGCCACGGCGGAGGGCACGGCGGAGGTAAATTGGGGGGGGGCGCCTGGCTGTGGGGGGGGCCCGGCCCCGGCTGGGAGGGGCCCGTGGGCGCCCCCTCCCCGCCCCCCCCGCCCCCGCCCTTCCTGCCCCCCCGCTGGAGGGGGGGCGGCGGCGGCGAGCCCCCTCCCCCACCCCCGCACCACCCCCCGCCCCCCCCCATGCAGCCCATGGAGCCCCCCGGGCCCTGGGGGAGGGGCCACGACTGGCGCAGACCCCCCATGGGGCTCTGAACCCCGAAATGGGGCTGAGGGACCCCAAAATGGGGCTGAGGGACCCCAACCCCGAAATGGGGCTGAGGGACCCCAACCCCGAAATGGGGCTGAGAGAGAGACCCCCCCCCCGAAATGGGGCTGAGGGACCCCAACCCCCCCCCCGAAATGGGGCTGAGGGACCCCCCCGCAAAATGGGGCTGAGGGACTCCCCCGCAAAATGGGGCTGAGGGACCCTCCCCAAAATGGCGGTGATGGTGGTGAGGGGCCCACCAAAATGGGGCTGAGGGACCCCAAATGAGGCTGAGACCCTCCCAAATTGGGCTGAAACCCCCCCTAAAATGGGGCTGAGACCCCCTCAAAAATGGGACTGAGACCCCCCCAAAAATGGGACTGAGACCCCCCCCAAAATGGGGCTGAGGGCAGAATGAGACCTCCCCCCCCCCCCGACTGGGGGTGATGGCGATGAGGGACCCCTCCCCAAAAAGGGCAGTGGGGAGTTCTGGAGTTCCCCTCAGCAATGGGGAAAATCCTCCCCGCCCCAAAATGGCTCCAGGGCAGCGAGGGACCCCTCCCCAAAACGGGGGTGATGGCGGTGAGGGACCCCCCGCCCCCCCAAAAAGGGCAGTGGGGAGTTCTGGAGTTCCCCCCAGAAATAGGGGAAATCCTCCCCGCCCCAAAATGGCTCCAGGGCAAGTGAGAGACCCCTCCCCACAATGGCTGAAAGACCCCTTAAAATGGGGAGGGACCCCCCCCCCAAAATGGGGAGGGACCCCCGGCCGTCATGGCGGCTGTGGTGGGAGGGGCCGCGGGGCATGCTGGGAGCTGTAGTTTGGTGGTCGGTGGTGAGCAGGGCATGCTGGGAGTTGTAGTTTGGCGCCTGCAAAGTGGCCGCGAGACATGCTGGGAAGGGACAGGGGTGTGGCAAAACGGCTGCAAAGGCCGCTGGGAGTTGTAGTTTTGGACTTGCGGCCACAGGGGATGCTGGGAGTTGTAGTTTGGGTCCTTTAGGGGTGATGGGAGTCAGGAGCAGCTCCTCACTGGAGGCCGCTGAGGCCTGGTGGGGGTTTGACTCTGCTGTGTGGGTTTCTGGGAACTGTAGTTCAGCCTGTGGGGGGGGGGTGGGGAATCAAAGCATGCTGGGAGTTGTAGTTCAGCCCCAGGTGTGCTGCAGGCCTTAGCGGTGGGACCCAAAAACAGGCCTGAGGAGGCCCCTGACACCTGGTGGGGCCTAAACCCGGCGCTAATGCGACCGCAAGGGGTGCTGGGAGCTGTAGTTCTGCAGTTGTGGGCAGCAAGGCTTGCTGGGAGATGTAGTTCATGCAATTGTTGTGCAAAGGATTCTGGGAGTTGTAGTTCTGGGCTTGGGGTCCCCCCCCCACCCAAAACCCACCCAGCCCCTCCTAGTTCTGGGGACAGGGACCCTGCTCCCCCCAGCCCCAAAATCTTCATTTTTAACCCCATTTTTTTCCTCCCGCGGCTACTCCGGGCTCGATCCAGGAACGTTTTGGGGCTGGGAATTCACCCCCCCTCCCCTCTAACCCCCACCAAAATCCTCCTAAAAAATCCCAAGTCTTCCGTAAAAACCCAAAATCCTCCTTCAGAACTTCAAAGTTCTCCTTCAAACCCTAAAATCTTCCTTGAAAACTGAAAATCCTCCTTAAAAACCCCAAAATCCTCCTTAAAAACCCCAAAATTCTGTCTCCATCCTCTTCCCCAGAGCTGCTGCTTTGAGGCTGCTCTGGGACCATTTTGGGGCCATTCTTTGGTTTTTTTGGGGTCAGGGGTTCACCCCCTTCTCTTTAAGCCCACCAAATCCTCCTGAAACCCCACAAAATTCTCTTTAAAACCCCCAAAATTCTCTTTTGATGGCCTTTTTAACCCCTTCCTTTCCTCCTTCCCACAGCGGCCATGCTGGGCCTGCCCTGGCACCACTTTTGGGTCATTTTTGGGCAATTTTGGGGCCTTTTTGGGGTCAGGGGTTCATCCCCTTCACCTTTACACTCCAAGATCCTCCTTAAATCCCCAAAATCTCCTTAAAACTCCCCAAAACCCCCCAAAATCGTGTCCCCCATCCTCCTCAGGGAGCCGCCATCTTGAGGCCTGTTTTGGGGCCATTTCTGGTGAATTTTGGGGCCATTCTGGGGTCTGGGGTTTATTCCCCTCCTATTTAAACCCCAAAATCTTCTTTAAAACCCCCAAAATTTGTGTCCCAATCCTCCTCTCCCTCACAGACCCGCCGCCATTTTGAGGCCGTCCTGGAGCCATTTTGGATCTTTTTGGGCCTTTTTTGGGGTGGTTTGGGATCATTTTGGGGTCAGGGGTTCACCCCCTTCCCTTTAAACCCCCAAACTTCCCCTTAAACCTCCCAAAATCCTCCCAAAACCCCCCAAAATCGCGTCCCCACCGTCCTCACCCCGCCGCCATTTTGAGGCCGTCCCGAGCCCATCCGGAGCCATTTTGGGGCCGTTTTGGCCATTTTGGGGCCATTTTTGAGCCGTTTTGGGGCCGTTTCAGATGATTTTGGGGCCATTTCATACGATTTCGAGGATTTCGAGGCCGGCTGGGGTCACTCTTTACCCCAAACCTTTTTAACCCTTTCCTCCCCTCCCTCCTCCTCACCCCCCCGGAGCCGCCGGTGCCGGGGCGGCTCCGGGCCGGTTTTGGGGCCGTTTTTGGGGCCGTTTTGGGCCGTTTTGGGGCCGGGGGCCGGCGCCTGACGCGCCCCCCCCCTTTTGTCTCCCCCAGACATGTCGAGCCGCGCCGTGTGCCGCCACTTCATGCTCAAGGGCAGCTGCAGGTACGAGAACAACTGTGCCTTCTACCACCCCGGCGTCAACGGGCCCCCCCTGCCCTGAAAACCCCAAAAACACCCCAAAAACACCCAAATCCACCCCAGAAAAACCCGCCCCCACCCCGGTTATGGCTTCTGTGAGGCCTCGGGGTGGGGGGGTGAAAATGGGGGAAAAACGGAGAAAAAAAGGGGGAAAAAAGCAAATTCCGGCGGTGCGGTGGTGGTGGTGATGGGGTTTGGGGGGAGGAGGTGGAGATTTGGGGTAAAAATTGGAAATTTGGGGTAAAAATTGGAAGTTTGGGGTAGAAATTGGAAATTTGGGGTAAAAATTGGAAGTTTGGGGGTAGAAATTGGAAATTTGAGATAAAAATTGGAGTTTAGGGTAAAAATTAAAAGTTTGGGGTAGAAATTGAAGTTTAGGGGGGGGAAACGCTCCTTTATGGGGTGGAAATTGGAATTTTGGGAGAGGAATTGTCAGTTTTGGGGCAGAAATTAAAATTTAGAGGGGCAAAACTGGAATTCAGGGGTGTAAATTGTAAGTTAAGGGTGCAAATCCCTCCCAAGGGACAGAAACTTTCATTTATGGGGCCAAAATTCAAAATTTTGGGGTGGAAGTTGGAGTTTTGGGGGTGGAATTCCCTCCCCAGTGGCAGAAATTCTCTGCCAGGAGTAAAAACTGCCATTTATGGGGTGGAAATTCCAATTTCTGGGTTAAAATCCCTCCCCAAGGGGTAAAATATTCAATTTTTGGGGCAGAAATAGCTGATTTTGGGGCAAATTCTGATTTATGTGGTGCAAATTTCCCCCTTAGGGGAAAAAAATTGTCACTTTGGGGGTAGAAAAATCCCCATTCTTGGGGTTTAACCTCTTCAGGGCTTAAAAAAACTTCAATTTTGGGGGTAAAACATCTGCCCCGGGGTCAGGAATTCCCTTTTCGGGGCAGGAATTCTCATTTTTGGGGCAGGATTTCTCATTTTTGGGGCAGGAATTCTCATTTTTGGGGCACAAATTCCCATTTTAGGGCAGAAATTCCCGTTTTGGGCAGAAATTCTCTTTTTTGGGGGCACAAATTCTCATTTTAGGGCACAAAATCCCATTTTTGGGGCGCAAATTCCCATTTTGAGGGCACAAATTCTCATTTTTAGGGCAAAATTTTTCCTTTTTTGGGGTTTCAGCACCCTCAGGGCTCAAATATTTTAAATTTTGGGTCAAACCCATCCATTTCCAGCACCCAAACCCCCCTCCTCGACCTCCCCTCCCCCACCCTGGGGTGCCCCTCCCCTTTTGCGGGGGGGCTGGACCTCCCCCCAAAAGGTGACGTCACCCCGGGGGGGGAGGGTAGATCGCTAATTATTAATTACTCATTAATAATTATTTATTCATCACCACCACCCCTCCCCCACCGGGTCCAACTCTGCCCCATTTTTGGGGGGGGGGGAGGGGATGAGGGGATTTCCCCTCCCCCACCCCGCCCCTCCCCCCACCCTCCCCTCCCCCCTCAGCTGGGGCCGCCGCCCCTCCCCCACTCCCCTCCCCCACTCCGCCGCCGCCGCCGCCTGGGGGGGGGGAGGGGCAGGGGGGGGGGGAGGGGCGGGGTGGGGGAGGGGCCGCGCCGGACGCTGTTTTCTGTGAAAACTTTGGCCGGGGGGGGAGGGGCCGCCCCCCCCTTTTGTATATTTTGTACATTATTAATAAAGTTTGGGGAGAAACCCCGAAAACGAGAGAGAGTGCGCTCTGTGGGGGAGGGGCGGGGTCACTGGGGTCACCCTGGGGTCACCCTGGGGTCATCAGGTCACCCTGGGGTCATCGGGTCACCCTGGGGTCATCGGGGTCATCGGGTCTCTCCGGAAATTCCAAAGGGAGGGGGCGGGGATGTCCACGCCCACACTGACCACGCCCACACCGGCCACGCCCACACTGACCACGCCCACGCCGCCATTGCGCCACCACCGTTTATTCCTCCCCTTGTCCGCGGCGCCCCCGACTGGACACTGCAGGGACCAGAGCGCCCCACGCTGGTCAGCGCGGCCACTGCAGCGGTCACTGCGGTCACTGCGGTCACTGCGGTCACTCCAAAGGTCACCACGGCCACTGCAGCGGTCACTGCGGCCAGTGTGGTCACTCTGATGGTCACTGCGGTCACTCCAATGGTCACTGTGGTCACTGCGGTCACTCCGATGGTCACCACAGTCACCCCAGTGACCACAGCCACTCTGATGGTCACTGTGGTCACTGCAGTGGTCACTGCGGCCAGTTTGGTCACTCTGATGGTCACTGCGGTCACTGTGGTCACTGCAATGGTCACTGCGGCCAGTGTGGTCACCACAGTCACTCCAATGGTCACTGTGGTCACTGTGGTCACTCTGATGGTCACCACAGTCACCGCAGTGACCACAGCCACTCTGATGGTCACTGTGGTCACTCCGGGGATCACTGTGGTCACTCTGAGGGTCACTCTGGTCGCTCCGGGGGTCACTGTGGTCACTCTGACGGTCACTCTGGTCACTCCAGGGGTCACTGTGGTCACTCCGGGGGTCACTGTGGTCACTCTGAGGGTCACTCTGGTCGCTCCGGGGGTCACTCGCGGGGCCGGGCCGCCACCACCTCTCCCAGGGCCTCCAGCACCTCGCGCTTGTAGTCGTGGAAGTCGCCGTCGATCTGGCTCAGGCCCTGCTCCTCCACCACCCACAGCTGGCAGCCGGTCTCGGTGATCAGCCGCGCGTCGTGGCTCACCACGATCACCGCTGCGACGGCACCGCGGTGTCACCGGAACGTCACCGGAACGTCACCGGAACGTCACCGCGCCCGCCCGGCCCCGCCCCGCCCCGCCCCGCCCGGCCCCGCCGCACCTCCTTTGTACTCGTTGATGGCGTCGGCCAAGGCGTCGATGGACTCGATGTCCAGGTTATTCGTGGGCTCGTCCTGCGGCCGCGGGAGCGGTAAAAGCAACGGGACGGCGCCCCCATGGAGAGCCACGCCCCTCACGGGGAGCCACGCCCCTCACGGGGAGCCACGCCCCTCACGGAGAGCCACGCCCCTTTACAAAGAGCCACGCCCCTTACAGGGAGCCACGCCCCTCCCAGAAAGACCACGCCCCTTCCCGTTTGGCGCTACCCCTCCCAGAGAGACCACGCCCCTCTCAGAGTGGCCACGCCCCCCCGGCCACACCCAAACCCCACCCAGGGCTGGGAACAGCGGATTGGGAAGGGGTCAAGGGTCACTCAGGTGAGCTCCCAGCTGGCCCCGCCCCTTTTGGGCCCCGCCTTCTTTTGGGCCCCGCCCCCTTTTGGCCCCGCCCCTCACCAGGATCAGCACGTCGGGCTCGCGGCACGCCAGCTCGGCAAACACCACCCGCGCCTTCTGCCCACCTGCGGCGGGGGCGGGGTCAGCGCCAGGGAACCACACCCCAGGTGATAGCCACACCCCCTCGGTGCCAGCCACGCCCCCTATAGGTGCCAGCCCCGCCCCCCCAGGTGCCAGCCCCGCCCCCCAGGTGCCAGCCACACCCCCCCAGGTGCCAGCCACACACCCCAGGTGCCAGCCACACCCCCTAGGTGCCAGCCAAATCCCCCAGGTGCCGGCCACACCCCCCCAGGTGCCAGCCACGCCCCCCAGGTGCCGGCCCCGCCCTCCAGGTGCCAGCCACTCCCCCCCAGGTGCCAGCCACACCCCCTATGCGCCAGCCACGCCCCCCAGGTGCCAGCCACGCCCCCCAGGTGCCAGCCACACCCCCCCAGGTGCCAGCCACTCCCCCCCATGTGCCAGCCACACCCATCAGGTGCCAGCCACACCCCCCAGGTGCCAGCCCCGCCCCCCAGGTGCCAGCCCCGCCCCCCCGGTGCCGGCCCCGCCCACCTGAGAGCTTGGCGATCTGCAGCGTGTGGGCGTGGCCCTCGAGGCCGAAGCGGCCGAGGCAGCGCCGCGCGTCCTGGTGCGCCAGGTTGAAGCTGCGCTGCAGGAACTCGGCCGCCGTCTCCTCCAGCCGCAGCTGCTCGGCCGCCTGCTGGTTAAAGAACCCCACCTTCTGCAGGGGGGCGGGGCGGGGTCAGGGACACGCCCCAGGACACGCCTACCCCAAAAATCCGCCACGCCCACCCCCAAAAATCTGCCACGCCCACCCCAGAGCAGCCACGGCCCTTCATTGGCCACACCCCTGCATGGTTTGCATGTGGTGCCACACCCCAACCACACCTGGTTAGGTCCCGCCCCTTCATTTGCATAGATGCCACACCCATTTATGTCCCGCCCCATCCTCATTTGCATGGCCACCACACCCAGTTAGGCCCTGCCCCTTCATTTGCATAGATGCCACACCCATTTATTTCTTGCCCCATCCCCATTTGCATAGACATCACACCCATTTAGTTCCCACCCCTTCCTAATTTGCATAGACATTACACCCATTTAGGCCCTGCCCCTTCATTTGCATGGACACCCCACCTATTTCACCTGCCTCTTCCTCATTTGCATAGACACCACACCCATATATGTCCCACCCCTTCCTCATTTGCATAGACACCACACCCAGTTAGGCCCTGCCCCTTCATTTGCATAGACACCACACCCATTTATGTTCTTCCCCTTTCTCATTTGCATAGACAGCACACCCAGTTAGGCACTGCCCCTTCATTTGCATAGATGCCACACCCATATATGTCCCACCTCTTCCTCATTTGCATAGACGCCACACCCATTTAGGTACCACCCCTACCTTATTTGCATAGACACCACACCCAGTTAGGTCCCACCCCTTCCTTATTTGCATAGACGCCACACCCAATTAGGGCCCGCCCCTTCATTTGCATAGACACCACACCCAGTTAGGCCCTGCCCCTTCATTTGCATAGATGCCACACCCGTATATTTCCTACCCCTTCCTCATTTGCATAGACACCACACCCAGTTAGGTCCCACCCCTTCCTTATTTGCATAGATGCACACCCAATTAGGGCCTGCCCCTTCCTTATTTGCATAGACGCCACACCCATTTAGGCCCCGCCCCTCTGGCCCCGCCCCCTTTACCAGCCGATGGTTCCGCCTCATCTGCCCCCGGAGCTGCGGAGGAACCGGGGGGGAAAGGGTTAAAAAATCCCCAAGTTTGGGCTCTGCTCCGAGTTTTGGGGCTGTTTCCCCGTTTTCGGGGATTTTCCCTCGATTTTTGGGGATCTTTTCCCCCATTTCGGGTTTTTCCCCCCAATTTTTGGGTTTTCCTTTCCTATTTCTGGGGATTTTCCCTCCCTTTTTTTGGGAATCCTTTCCCCCATTTCGGGTTTTTCCCCCCAGTTTTTGGCATTTTTTTCTCTTCCCACTTTTGGAGTATTTTCCCCCCGATTTTTGGGATCCCTCCCTCCTCATTTTTAAAGACTTTGGGGCGTTTTTGATCCATTTTTTGGGTATTTCCCTCCCCCATTTTTGGAGACTTTTCCCTCCCCCTAATTCAGATTTTCCCTCCCATTTTCAGGCCCCCCAATCCCATTTTTGGGGTCCCTCTCCCCATTTTTGGGGTCCCAATCCCATTTTCGGGGTCCCTCTCCCCGTTTTTGGGGTCCCCAATCCCATTTTGGGGTCCCCAATCCCATTTTCGGGGTCCCCGATCCCATTTTTGGGATCCCTCTCCCCGTTTTTGGGGTCCCCAATCCCATTTTTGGGGTCCCCAATCCCATTTTTGGGGTCCCCAATCCCATTTTCGGGGTCCCCGATCCCATTTTCGGGGTCCCCGATCCCATTTTCGGGGTCCCTCTCCCGTTTCGGGGTGCCCGTACCGGCGTCAGCGCCCCGGTGAGCAGCTGCAGCAGGGTGCTCTTCCCGACCCCGTTGGGGCCCACGATGCAAACTGGGAATTCGGGGGGAATTCGGGGGGAATTCGGGGGGTCCATGGTCAGGGCGGGGTCCCCCTGATCCCCCCAGGGGGGATTTTGGGGTCACCGCGGGGATTTCGGGGCTCCCACCTCGGGATTCCATGTCGATGCCGAAGTCCAGGTTGCGGAACAGCAGCTCCTGGCCCTCGTAGCCGAAATCCACGCCTGGGTTTTGGGGGGAGTTCGGGATTTTGGGGGGGAAATTCGGGATTTTGGGGGGAAATTCGGGATTTTGGGGGGGAAATTCGGGATTTTGGGGGGAAATTCGGGATTTTGGGGGAGAAATTCGGGATTTTGAGGGGGCAAAAAGAGCCCAGAATTCAACCTGAAGGCCTCAAAACCCCCCTGAAATCCCAGAAAATCTGCCCCAAAGCCCCCCAAACCCCTCTGAAATCCCCCCAAAACCGCCTGAAATCCCCTCAAAATCACATCCAAACTCACCCAAAACCCCTCTGAAATCCCCCTAAGTCCCCCAAAATCTCCCCCAAACCCCCAAAACCTCCCACAGCCCCCATAAATCCCCCCAAAATCCACCCCGGAATCCCCTGAAATCCCCCAAAATCCCCCTGAAATCCCAAATCTCCCCCAAACACCCCCAAAATCCTTCCAAACCCCCAAAAATCCCTCGGAAATACCCCCAAATCTCCCCCCAAATCCCCCCAAACTGCCCAAAATTTCTCTGAAATCCCCCCAAATCTCCCCCAAACCTCCCAAAATCCCCCTGAAACCCCCCCAAAGCCAACTGAAATCCCCCCAAATCCCCCCAAATCCCCCTGAAATACCCCCAAATCTCCCCCCAAATCCCCCCAAACTGCCCAAAATTTCTGTGAAATCCCCCCAAATCTCCCCCAAACCGCCCTAAAATTCTTCCAAACCCCACAAAATCCCCCTGAAATCCCCCCAAATCTCCCCCAAACCCCCCAAAATCCCCCTTAAATCCCCCTTAAATCCCCCCAAACCTCCCAAAATCCCCCTGAAACCCCCCCAAAGCACACTGAAATCCCCCCAAAATCCCCCGAAACCCTCCCAAACTCCCCCAAAATCCCCAAAATCCCCCAAATCCCCCCAGACTGGGGGCTGACCGTGCAGGCCGAGGATGGGGGGGCTCAGCGGGGGCGGGTTGGGGAAGGTGAAGCGCACGGAATATTCGCGGGGCCGCCGCAGCAGCTCCGGAGCTTCGGCCGCGGCCTCGGAGGGCGCCCGGCGGCGGCACTTCTGCTGCTTGCGGGTCAGCGCCTCCTTCGTCTGCTTCTCCTGGGGAATCCGGGGAAATTCGGGAAAATTCGGGGATTTTGGGGCATTTCAGCGCCTCCTTCGTCTGCTTCTCCTGGGAAATCCGGGGAAATTCGGGAAAATTTGGGGATTTTGGGGGGTTTTGGGGGGTTTGGGGGGTGTCAGAGCCTCCTTTGTGTGCTTCTCCTAGAAAATTCGGGAAAATTTGGGGATTTTGGAGGAGTTTGGGGGGTTTTGGTTCTGCTTATCCTGCTGAAATTTGGGAATTTTAGGGATTTTTGGGGGTTTTTGGGGGGGGTAAGCACCTCCTTCATCTGCTTCTCCTGGGGAATTTGGGCATTTTGGGATTTTTGGGGGATTTTGGGGTGAAGTCCCAGGGATTCTGGGGTGAAACCCCGGGGATTTTGGGGTGAAACCCTGGGGATTTTGGGGTGAAGTCCCAGGGATTTTGGGGTGAAACCCCGGGGATTTTGGGGTGAAATCACGGGGATTTTGGGGTGAAACCCCGGGGATTTTGGGGTGAAACCCCGGGGATTTTGAGGTGAAGTCCCGGGGATTTTGGGGTGAAATCCCAGGGATTTTGGGGTGAAACCCCTGGAGTTTTCCGTCTCGATTCCCCGCCCGGAATTCCAAGGATTTTGGGGTTTTTTTGGGATTTTTGGGGCCCTCACCGCCTGCTTGGTGGATTTCCCGCCGGCTTTGAGGTCCCGCAGTTTCTTCTCCTGCTTCTCGAACTGCTTCATCAGCTCCTTCTGCTTCTGCTGGTACATCTTCTTGAAGGTCACTGAAATCCGGGAATTTCCGGGAATTTCCGGGAATTTCGGGGAATTTCCAGGAATTTGGGGCTGTTCCACACCCCCCAAATCCCCTTCTTTTATCTTTTTTTTTTGTTTGATCCTAATATTCCCAATTTCCCTCTTCCATTCCCCATTTCCTCTCTCATTTATTCCCTATTTTTCTATTTATTCCCTGATTTTTTTTCCTCCTTTATACCAAATTTTTCCTTTCATTCCCCGTCTTTTTTTCTCCTTCATTCCCAATTTTTCCCTTCCATTCCCATTTTTCCAAATGTTCCCTCATTTCTCCCAATTCCCTTTCCCCATCATTCTCCCCCCAGTCACTTTTTTCCCAATTTTCCCAATTTCCAGCCCCTTTTTGTCCTTCCATTCCCCATTTTTTCCTGTTTTTTCCCGTTTTTTTCCCTTTTTCCGCCCCATTTTTTCCCATTTTTCATGTTTTTTTCCCCAAATCTCGCTGTAGTTCCCTCTGTAGCAGTGCAGGCGCTGAGAGTCCAGGTGGCTCCGCTCCCATTTCCCCATTTTTTCCCCATTTTTTTCCATTTTTTCTCCATATTTTACCCATTTTTTGCCATTTTTTCTCTTTTTTTCCCCATTTTTTCCCAAATTTCCCATTTTTCACCCCAAATCTCTCTGTAGTTCTCTCTGCAGCAGCGCAGGCGCCAGGAGTCCAGGTGGCTCCGCTCCCATTTCCCCATTTTTTGCCCGTTTTTTCCCGTTTTTTTGCCGTTTTTTCCCATTTTTTCCCCGTTTTCCCCGTTTTTTCCCAAAATCCCCGTTTTTTGCCCCAAATCTCACTGTAGTTGCCGCGGTAGTAGTGCAGGCGCTGCGAGTCCAGGTGGATGATGTCGGTGCAGACGTCGTCCAGGAATCCCTGGTCGTGGGACACCACCAGCAGCGTCTTCTTCCAGCCCTGCAGGTAGCTGGGGAACGGGAGTTTTGGGGGAAAAACGGGAGTTTTGGGGAAAAAACGGGAGTTTTGGGTAAAAAATGGGAGTTTTGGGGGAAAAAACGGGAGTTTTGGGTAAAAAACGGGAGTTTTGGGGGAAAAAATGGGAGTTTTGGGGGAAAAAAATGGAATTTGGGGGGAAAAAATGGGAGTTTTGGGGGAAAAATTGGGAGTTTTGGGGGAAAAATGGGAGTTTTGGGGGGAAAATGGGAGTTTTGGGGGGAAAAATGGGAGTTTTGGGGAGAAAATGGGAGTTTTGGGTAATAAAACGTGAGTTTTGGGTAAAAAATGGAGTTTTGGGGGGAAAATGGGAGTTTTGGGTAATATAATGGGAGTTTTGGGTAAAAAAAGGGAGTTTTGGGGGAAAAAATGGGATCCAGGAGGAAAAAATGGGAGTTTTGGGAGGAAAAATGGGAGTTTTGGGGAAAAATGGGAGTTTTGGGGGAAAAGCCAGGAATTTGGGGAAAAAACCCATAAATTTGGGGGAAAAAACCAGCCATTTCCAAATCACCAAAAAATCCCACAAAAAAGAAATCCCAAAAATACCCGAAAGATAAAAAAAGAAACTCAAGAAAACCCCCAAAAAAATCCCCAAGATCCCGCTAAAAAACCCCCAAAGAAGTCCCCAAAATTTCCCGGAAGTCCCGTAAATCTGAAAAACCCCCAAAATTACGAAAACTTTCAAAATCCCTCAAAAATCCCAGAAAATCCCTGCAGAATTCCCCAAAAAATCCAAAAAAAATCCAAAAAAAATTCCCCAAAATCCCCTAAAAATTCCCCAAAAATCCCTCAAAATTCACAAAAAAACCCCGAATTTTCCCGAAAATGCTTCCGAAATCCCCCAAAATGCCCAAATCGCCGCGATTCTCCCCAAAATGCCCCAAAGCCTCACTTGTTGAGCCAGATGACGGCGTTCAGGTCCAGGTGGTTCGTCGGCTCATCCAACAGCAGCAGCGTCGGCTCCAGGAACAGCGCCCTGGGGGGCACACCTGAGATACACCTGGGCACACCTGGGGGCACCTGGGGACTCACCTGGGCACACCTGGGCACACCTGGGGGCACACCTGAGATACACCTGGGCACACCTGGGGGCACCTGGGCACACCTGGGATACACCTGGGCACACCTGGGCACACCTGGGCACAGCTGGGGACTCACCTGGGCACACCTGGGGGCACCTGGGGGCACCTGGGGATATACCTGGGGCACCTGGGGGCACCTGGGTGCTCACCTGGGCACACCTGGGATATACCTGGGATACACCTGGGCACACCTGGGATACACCTGGGCACACCTGGGCACAGCTGGGGCACAGCTGGGGGCACCTGGGATACACCTGGGGCACACCTGGGCACACCTGGGGGCACCTGGGCACACCTGGGGACTCACCTGGGCACACCTGGGCACAGCTGGGGACTCACCTGGGCACACCTGGGGCACCTGGGATACACCTGGGCACACCTGAGGGCACCTGGGCACAGCTGGGGGCACCTGGGGCACACCTGGGCACACCTGAGATATACCTGGGCACAGCTGGGGGCACTTGGGGACACACCTGGGGACACCTGGGATATACCTGGGGCACACCTGGGCACACCTGGGCACAGCTGGGATACACCAGGGGGTACCCGGACACACCTGGCACACCTGGGGGTACCTGGGGCACAGCTGGGGTGCACCTGAGGACACACCTGGCACACCTGGGGCACACCTGGGCACACCTGAGCTCACCTGGCCAGGGACACGCGCATCCTCCACCCCCCCAAGAACTTCCTGGGCTGCGTTCCCGCGGCGCCACCCCCCCCCGGAGCTCACCTGGAGCTCACCTGGAGCCCACCTGAGCCCACCTGAGCCCACCTGAGCCCAGCTGTGCTTACCTGGCGAGGGACACCCTCATCCTCCAGCCCCCCGAGAACTTGCGCGTGGCGCGGTTCTGCATCTCGGGGGTGAAGCCGAGCCCGGCCAGGATCCGCCGCGCTTTGGCCTCGGCCGCGGCGGCGCCGATGGCGCGCAGCTCCTCGTACACCTGCCAGGTGAGCCGGGTGAGCACAGGTGAGCACAGGTGAGCACAGGTGTGTCCCAGGTATCCCCAGGTGTGCCCCAGGTGTACCCAGGTGTGCCCCAGGTATCCCCAGGTGTGCCCCAGGTGTACCCAGGTGTGCCCCAGGTATCCCCAGGTGTGCCCAGGTGTATCCCAGCTGTGCCCAGGTGTGTCCCAGCTGTGCCCAGGTGTATCCCAGGTGTGCCCCAGGTGTGCCCAGGTGTGCCCCAGGTGTGTTTTAGTGCCCCCAGCTGTGCCCAGGTGTGTCCCAGGTGTGTCCCAGGTGTGCCCAGGTGTGCCCCAGGTGTGTTTTAGTGCCCCCAGGTGTGTCCCAGGTGTGCCCAGGTATCTCCCAGGTGTGCCCAAGTGTGCCCGGGTGAGCCCAGCTGTGCCCAGGTGTCCCCCAGGTGTGCCCAGGTGTGCCCCAGGTATCCCCAGGTGTGTCCCAGGTGTCTCCCAGGTGTGCCCAGGTGTGCCCCAGGTGAGCCCAGGTGTCCCCCAGGTATCTCCCAGGTGTGCCCCAGGTGAGCCTGGGTGAGCCCAGCTGTGCCCAGGTGCCCCCCAGGTGAGCCCAGGTGTATCCCAGGTGTGCCCAGGTGACCCCCCGAGTGTGCCCAGGTCAACCCAGGTGTATCCCAGCTGCCCCCAGGTGTGCCCCAGGTGTATTTCAGGTGTGTTTTAGTGCCCCAGGTGTGCCCAGGTCAGCCCAGGTATCTCCCAGGTGTGCCCAAGTGTGCCTCAGGTGTGCCCAGGTGTGCCCCAGGTGTGTTTTAGTGCCCCCAGATGTGCCCAGGTGTATCCCAAGTGTGCCCCAGGTGTCCCCCAGGTGTGTTTTGGTGCCCCCAGGTGTGCCCAGGTCAGCCCAGGTGTGCCCCAGGTATCCCCAGCTGCCCCCAGGTGTGTTTTGTTGCCCCCAGGTGTATCTCAGGTGTGTTTTGGTGCCCCCAGGTGCCCCCAGGTGCCCCCAGGTGCCCCCAGGTGCGCCGTTACCTTCTCCAGCCTCTGGGCGGCGCTGTCGTCGCCGCTGTCCAGCAGCCGCTGCAGGTGCCGCTCCTCCTCCAGCAGCCGCAGGCGCTGCGTGTCTGCGCGCAGCACCGCATGCACGGCTGGCGTGTCGTCTGCGTGTACCTCTGCACAGGTACAGACAGGTAAATACACAGGTAACACACACAGGTAACACACACAGGCGTGTCTGCGCGCAGCACCGCATGCACGGCTGGCGTGTCATCTGCATGCACCTCTGCACAGGTAAATACAGGTGAGACAGGTAACACACAGGTAACACACACAGGTAACACACACAGGTAACACACAGGGGTGTCATCGGCCTGCACCCCTGGGACAGGTGAGCTCCCAGGTGCATTAAAGTTTACCCCAGGTGCCCCCAGGTGTATCCCAGGTATGCCCAGGTGTATCTCAGGTGTGCCCCAGGTGTATCCCTGCTGTGCCCAGGTGTGCCCAGGTGTATCCCAGGTATGCCCAGGTGTATCCCAGGTGCCCCCAGGTGTATCCCTGCTGTGCCCAGGTGTGCCCAGGTGTATCCCAGGTGTGCCCAGGTGTGCCCAGGTGTATCCCAGCTGTCCCCAGGTGTGCCCAGGTGTATCCCAGGTGTGCCCAGGTGTATCCCAGGTGTGCCAGGTGTATCCCAGGTGTATCCCAGGTGTGCCCCAGGTGTATCCCACGTGTATCCCAGGTGTGCCCAGGTGTGCTCCAGGTGTGCCCAGGTGTGCCCAGGTGTATCCCAGGTGTGCCCAGGTGTACCCCAGGTGTGCCCAGGTGTATCTCAGGTGTATCCCAGGTGCCCCCAGGTGTGCCCAGGTGCCCCCAGGTGTGCCCAGGTGCCCAGGTGTGCCCACCTTGCTCGCAGAGCAGCACGTCGATGTTGGGGGGGATGCTCAGGGCGCGGTTGGCGATGTGCTTCAGCAGCGTCGTCTTCCCCTTCCTGCCCCAAAATCACCCAAATTCACCCCAAAACCTCCACAACTGACCCTAAAACCCCCAGATTGCCCAAAATCCCGCGGTTTCCCCCAGAAGTAACCCCAAAACCCCCAGAATTAATTAACCCCAAAACCCCAGAATTAATCCCCAAATCCCTCTATATAACCCCAAAACCCCCCAAATTTCCCAAAATCGCCGTTTTTTGCCCCATTCTCACCTGTTGGGCCCCACGAGGCCGAAGTGCCAAACCCCAACCCCAGAATTAACCCAAAATCCCGGGATTTCCCCCCAAAACCACAGAATTAACCCCAAAATCCCCAGATTTACCAAAATTAAACCCAAAATCCCTGTAATTAACTCTAAAACCCTCAAATTGCCCAAAATTGCAGTTTTTCGCCCCAATCTCACCCGTTGGGCCCCACGAGGCCGTAGGGCCGAACCCCAAATTGCCCAAAATCACCGTTAATTGCCCAAAATCTCCGTTTTTTGCCCCAATCTCACCCGTTGGGCCCCACGAGGCCGTAGGGCCGAACCCCAAATTGCCCAAAATCGCCGTTTTTTGCCCCAATCTCACCCGTTGGGCCCCACCAGGCCGTAGCGGCGCCCGGCCACGATGAAGAGGTCGGCGTTGACGTAGAGATCCTTCCCGTGGGCAGAAATGCTGAACTTCTCCAGCTGGAACGGGGCAAAAAACCCCAGAAACGGGAAAAAACGGGAGGGAATGGGGAAATGGGAGAAAAATGGGGAAAAAAAGGGAAAAAATGGGGAAAAAAAGGGAAAAAATGGGGAAAAAAAGGGAAAAAATGGGTGGGAAATGGGAAAGAACGGGGAAAATTGGGGGGAAATGGGGAAAAAGGAGGGAAAATGGAAAAAATGGGGAAAAAGGGGGAAAAAACAGGGGGAAATGGGAAAAATGGGGAAAAACAGGGAAAACAAGGGGGAATGGGGGGGAAATGTGGAAAAACGGGGGTGGGAATGGGAAAAATGGGGGAAACAGAAAAAAATGGGAGGGGGAAACGGGACGAAAAGGGAAAAAATGGGCGAAAAGGGGGAAAACATGGGGGGAAAATGGGGAAAAATGGGACAAGATGGAGAAAAACGAGAAAAAATACAGAAAAAGCATTCGAGGTTTCCCAGGTGGATTTTCTCCCCCCCCAGGTGAGTTTTTACCCCCCCAGGTGAGTTTTTTACCCCCAAGATGTGTTTTTCTGCCCCCCCAGGTGTATTTTTACCCTCCCCAGATGTATTTTTACCCCCCCAGGTGCATTTTTTACCCCCTCAGGTGAGTTTTCTCCCCATCAGGTGTGTTTCTCCGCCCCCCCCAGGTATATTTTTACCCCTCCAGGTGTATTTTTACACCCCCCAGGTGTATTTTTATGCTCCCCAGGTGCGTTTACCCGCCCCCCCAGATGTATTTTCCTGCCCCCCAGGTGCGTTTTTTACCCCCCCAGGTTCATTTTTTACCCCCCCAGGTGCATTTCCCGCCCCCCAGGTGTGTTTTCCCGCCCCCCCAGGTGCATTTCCCGCCCCCCAGGTGTATTTTCCCGCCCCCCAGGTGAGTTTTTCCGCCCCCAGGTTTATTTTTGCCCCCCCAGGCCTATTTTTACCCCCCCCAGGTGAGATTTTTACCCCCCCAGGTGCGTTTTTCTCCCCCCAGGTGTATTTTCTACCCCCCCCAGGTGCGTTTTTCTCCCCCCAGGTGTATTTTCCCGCCCCCCAGGTGCGTTTCCCCCCCCCAGGTGCGTTCCCCCCCACCTTGATGTCGGAGGCGTTCTCCAGCATGGCCTGGCGCGAGGACAGCTCCGCCTGCGACACGGCGAAGTCGCCGTCCCCCGAGGCCGCGGCCGCGCGCAGCGACGCCACCTGGCGCTGGAACTCCGCCTGGGCAGGTGGGGCGGGGTCAGGCCACGCCCCCGGGAGCCACGCCCAGTTAGGCCCCGCCCACAGGGACACGCCCAGGCCCCGCCCACAGGGACACGCCCAGGCCCCGCCCCCTCACCTGCTTCTTCATCTTCTTCTTCTCCTTTTTGCTGACTCGGGCGTCCGGCCCCGCCCGCGGCCCCGCCCCCTCCTCCTCCTCCTCCTGCCGAGCCCAAAATGTCCAAAAATTACCCAAAATACCCCAATAAAACCCAAAATATCAAAAACCCTAAAATATCCAAAAATACCCCTAAAAAATCCCTAAAAATAAAAATATCCCAAAACATTCCAAAACATCCCAAAATACCCCCAATAAAACCCCAAAATATAAAAAAAACGCGTAAAATATCCAGTAATACCCCTAAAAATATCTCTAAAAATAAAAATATCACAAAACATCCAAAAATATCTCAAAATACCCCAGAATAACCCAGAATAACCCAAAATATCCCAAAATGCCCCCCAAAAGACCCAAAATATCAAAAAACCCCTAAAATATTTTAAAAAACCCTAAAAATATCCCTAAAAATAAAAATATCCCAAAACATCCCAAAATATCCCAGAATAACCTAAAATATCCCAAAATACCCCCAATAAATCCCCAAAATATAAAAAAAAACTAAAATATCCAAAAATACCCCTAAAAATATCCCAAAACATCCCAGAATATCCAAGAATAACCCAAAATATCCCAGAATAACCCAAAATATCCCCAAACAGGCAAAAATATTCCAAAGTTTCCTGAAACAACCCCAAAAATACCCCAAATAATCCCTAAAAACATGTCAAAATACCCTAAACCATCCCAAAATAATTAAGATATCCTCCAAAAATCCCAAACAATCCCCTCAAAATATTCAAAATTGCCCCAAATTCTCTCAGGGACCCCAAAATCCCCCAATTTTCTCCCAAACCCAAACAGACGTTGTCGCTCCCCTTCCGGGCTCCTTCCTCTTCCTCCTCCTCCTCCTCTTCCTCCTCCTCTTCCTCCTCGTCCCTCAGGGCCCCGAACTTGTTCTGCCACAAAACAGGAAAAAAACCCAAAATTTTGGGGTCTCCTCCCCCTCAAAAAAACCCAAAAATTCCCAAAAATAATTAAAGAAAAAAAAAACCAAAAAAAAAGAAAAAATAAAAAAAAAACCCAAAATTTGGCACCTGCAGCTTCTCTTTGGGATTTTCCTTCTTGGCATTTTTCTTTTTCTTTCTCTTCTCAGCCTCCTCTTCCTCCTGGGGGAATTCCCAAATTTTCGGGATTTTTTTCGGGATTTTGGGATTTTTTTTCCTGGAATTTTGGGCTTTTTTCCCCAGGAATTTCGGAATTTTTCCCAGGAATTTTTGTATTTTTTTTCCCCAGGAATTTTGGGATTTTTCCCCAAGAATTTTCTATTTTTTCCCAGGAATTTTGTGATTTTTTTTTTTCCCAGAATTTTGGGATTTTGCCTGGGAATTTTGGGGTTTTCCCCCAGGAATTCTGGGGTTTTTTCCAGAAATTTGGGATTTCCCCCTGGTGACCCCACCTTGCTGCTTTTGCCCTTGGTTGTTTTTTTCTCCTTTTCCTCCTCCTTTTCCTCCTCCTCCTCCTCCTCGCTCTGCTCCCGGCTCAGCGCAGCGAAAACGTTCCCACCCTAAAATCCAGAAATTCCCAAATTATCCCTTTTTCCCCAAATTCCACCTCCTCCCACATTCACACTCCAAAACTCCCCAAAATTCCCAAGTTTAATTTGATTTTTTCCCCCATTTTTAAAAGATATTCCTTCAAAACTCCAAGTTTTAGGGATTTTTTTTCCCATTCTTTTAGGGATTTTCCCCCAATTTTTGGGACTTTTCACCCATTTTTGGGACTTTTCTCATTTCTCGGGATTTTCCCCCATGTTTTGATATTTTCCCCCCATTTTTTTAAATTTTCCCCATTTTGGAAGATTTTCTTCCTAATTTTTTTGGGGGGATTTCCCCCTTTTTTATTAATTTTTCCCCTTTTTAAAAATCTTTCCATTTTTTTTCAATTTTCTCCCATTTCTCATCATTTCCCCCCGTTTTTTGTCGCAATTTCCCGCCATTTTTTTGGGAATATTCCCAATTTTTTTACCTTTTTTCCCATTATTTTTAACCATTCCCCTCATTTTTTCCGATTTCCCCCCATTTTTTACCATTTCCCCTCATTTTTCAGGCGGATTTCCCCCCATTTCCCCACCTCACCTTCCTCCTCCTCGCTGCTCTCCGCGACGCCGGAGCTGGGGGCAGATTTTGGGGGTCACGGAGGGGTCGCGCCCCCCCAGGACCCCCCAGAAATCCCCAAAATCCCCGTCCCGGACCTTCCTCCTCCTCCTCCTCCTCCTCAGCAGCGGCCGCCAGGGCCTGCAGGCGCCGGCTCAGCTCCGCCTCTTCCGGCTCAGGCTCCGCCCCCCGCGGCCGCCGCCCCTCCTTGCGCCGCTCCCGCTTCCGCCGCGAGCCCTGCGGGCAATTAGCCGCCGGTATGCTAATTAGATGCTAATGAGCTCCTTAATTACTGTCCTGTGCTTTTGATACAGGTTCGGTTTGGCTCCGCCCAGTTTAGCCCCACCTATTTTAGCCCCGCCCCCTTTAGCCCCGCCTCATTTTATCCCCTCCCGTTTAGCCCCTCCCTATTTAGCCCCACCCACTTTGGACCCACCCCCATTTTAGCCACACCCCCTTTAGCGCCACAAAATTTAGCTCCGCCCCTTTGACCCCACCCTCTTTAGCCCCTCCCCCTTTAGAACCACACCCCTTTTAGCCCCTCCCCTTTAGCCCTCCCTCTTTAGCCCCGCCCCTTTAGCCCCACCCCTCTTGGCCCCTCCCCTTTGACCCCACCCACTTTAGCCCCTCCCCTTTGGCCACACCCCTTTGCGCCCCTCCCCCAACCCATATAATTAGCATAACCCACCACCCTAATTAGCATAATTAGCATAATTAACCTGGGCAGGGGCTGGCCCCTCCCTCTCAGGGGCGGGGGTGGGCGGGGCCGGCGCCGCCTTCTCCTCCTCGGCCAACTCCTCGAAAAACTGACGGGATTTTGGGGGAAAATTCGGGGATTTGGGTAAAATTCCGGAGCTTTGGGTGGGAATTTGGGAATTTTGGGGAGAAATCATGGAATTTCATGGGAAATTCGATAATTTTGGGAGAAATTCGGGAATTTTGGGAGAAATTCAGGAATCTTGGGGAGAAATTTGGGGATTCTGGGGAGAAATTTGGGGATTGTGGGAGAAATTCAGGAATTTTGGGCAGAAATTTGGCGATTTTGGGGGAAATTTGAGAATTTCAGGAAATCTGCGAGTTTTGGGGAGAAGTTCTGGAATTTGGGGAAATTTGAGGAGTTTTGGGAGAAATCTAAGATTTTTTGAGAAATCCAGGAATTTCGGGGAGAAACTGTGAATTTTGGGAGAAACCTGAGGATTTTGGGGAAAATTTGGGGATTTGGGGAAGAATTCTGGAATTCTAGAATGAAATCCAGGATTTTCGTGGGGAAATCTGGGAATTTTGGGGAGATATTTGGGAATTTTGGGGGAAAAAGCAGGAATTTTGGGAAACCCGGGAATTTCAGGGCTCCAGGAATTTGGGAGGGGTGAAAGGCCAGGGGTCAAAGGTCACTCACGGATTTTTTGCCCTTTCGGTCCTTCCGGCCCTTCTTCAGGGGTTGCTCTGGGGGGACAAGGGGGGAAATGGGTCTGGGGGTGCCCCAAAATCCAAATTTGGGGGGAGACCCCCCCGAAAATTTGGGGGTTGGGTGTCCGAGAGGAGCAGAGCCCGAATTGGGGGGGAGTCCCCAAAATTGGGGGGTTTGGGTTAAAAAATGGGGGGGAAGGAAAGGGGGGCTGGGGGGGCCAGCAAGGGGGGAGGGGGGCCCAAATTCTGGGGGGTTCCCAAATTCTGGGGCGGTCCCAAAATCCCGGGGGTCTCCCCTCATTCCCGGGGGTCTCCCCTCACGGGGGTCTCACCCTCATCCCCCTCCCAAATCTTGGGGGTCTCTCCCTCCTTCCCCCTTGCCCATTCCCGGGGGTCTCACCCTCATCCCCCTCAGTTTGGGGTTCCCATCCCGGGGGTCTCCCCCTCAGTTTTAGGGTCCCCCCGGGGGTCTCTCCCCCCCATTCCCGGGGGTCTCCCCCTCAGTTTTGGGGTCCCCCCGGGGGTCTCTCCCCCCCATTCCCGGTTCCCCTCACGGGGGTCTCTCTCCCCAGTCCCGGGGGTCTCTCCCCCCCCAATCCCGGGGGTCTCTCCCCCCAATCCCGGGGGTCTCTCCCCTCAGTTTTGGGGTCCCCCCGGGAGTCTCTCCCCTCACTTTTGGGGTCCCCCCGGGGGTCTCTCCCTCCCCAATCCCGGGGGTCTCTCCCCCCAATCCCGGGGGTCTCTCCCCTCAGTTTTGGGGTCCCCCCGGGGGTCTCTCCCCTCAGTTTTGGGGTCCCCCCGGGGGTCTCTCCCCTCAGTTTTGGGGTCCCTCGGGGGTCTCTCCCCTCAGTTTTGGGGTCCCCCCGGGGGTCTCTCCCCCTCAGTTTTGGAGTCCCCTCGGGGGTCTCCCCCTCAGTTTTAGGGTCCCCCCGGGGGTCTCTCCCTCCCCCATCCCGGGGGTCTCTCCCCTCAGTTTTGGGGTCCCCCCGGGGGTCTCTCCCCTCAGTTTTGGGGTCCCCCCGGGGGTCTCTCCCCCCCCAATCCCGGGGGTCTCTCCCCCCCAATCCCGGGGGTCTCTCCCCCCCCCAGTCCCGGGGGTCTCTCCCCTCAGTTTTGGGGTCCCCCGGGGGTCTCTCCCCCCCATTCCCGGTTCCCCTCCCGGGGGTCTCTCCCCTCAGTTTTGGGTCCCCTCGGGTCTCTCTCACCCTCCTCGCCCCCCCTCCATTCCTCCTGCTTGGCCCCCGCCGGCCGCGCTCCCTTCGGCATGGCCGGGCACCGCGCACTGCGCATGCGCCGCCACCGCCGCGCCGCGCCGCTTCCGCCTCGCGCCGCCTCCTCCCATTGGTCCGCTCCTCCGTCAGCCCCACCTCCCGCCCACGCGCCTCTGTCGCTATTGGCTAGCCTCTTTTTGTCCCGCCCACCCCTGAGGTAACGCGTTTTCCTATTGGTCAAACCCGCCCCGCCGCGTGCGCCGCGCTGGTATTAGACATCCGGCCTGTCAATCACGCTGCAGCGCTGAGGCGATACGCCATCCTATTGGCTCCTCCCCCGGGCGTGTCCCCGCCCCTTTGCGCCTATTGGCGGAGCTCGGCCCCGTCCCGTCAGGTGCGCTCCCGTCATGCCCCGCAAGCGGCCGTTCAGCGCCAAGCAGAAAAAGCAGCAGCTCCGGGAGCGGCGGGAGCGCAAACGGGGCGGTGAGAAAAGGGATGGAAATGGGGCTGGGAGACCTGGGAATGGGGCTGGGACAGCCGGGAATGGGGCTGGGACACCCGGGGATGGGGCTGGGACACCCGGGGATGGGGCTGGGAATGGGCACGGGGGCTGGGACACCCGGGAATGGGGCTGGGACACCCGGGGATGGGGCTGGGACACCGGGGGATGGGGCTGGGGCACCCGGGGATGGGGCTGGGACACCCGGGGATGGGGCTGGGACACCCGGGAATGGGGCTGGGACACCCGGGGATGGGGCTGGGACACCCGGGGATGGGGCTGGGAGACTCGGGGATGGGGCTGGGACACCCGGGGATGGGGCTGGGACACCCGGGGATGGGGCTGGGACACCCGGGGATGGGGCTGGGACACCCGGGGATGGGGCTGGGAATGGCCACGGGGGCTGACAGCTCCGGCAGCGGCGGGAGCGCAAACGGGGAGGTGAGAAAAGGGATGGAAATGGGGCTGGGAGACCTGGGAATGGGGCTGGAACACCCGGGGATGGGGCTGGGACACCCGGGGATGGGGCTGGGACACCCGGGGATGGGGCTGGGACACCCGGGAATGGGGCTGGGACACACGGGGATGGGGCTGGGACACCCGGGGATGGGGCTGGGAATGGGCACGGGCGCTGACAGCTCCGGCAGCGGCGGGAGCGCAAACGGGGCGGTGAGAAAAGGGATGGAAATGGGGCTGGAACACCCGGGAATGGGGCTGGGACACCCGGGGATGGGGCTGGGAGACCCGGGAATGGGGATGGGGAGAGAGAGCCCCGGGAATGGGGCCTGGAACCTTCAGAATATGAGGGGAAAGCCCCTCGGGATTGAGGACTGGGACCCCCGGATCATGAGGGGAAAGCCCCTCGGGACTGAGGGTTGGGACCCCCGGATCGTGAGGGGAAAACCCCTCGGGATTGAGGGTTGGGACCCCTCGGGAAGGGCACTGTGACCCCCAGGAATGGGGGCTGGGACCCCTCGGGAAGGGCACTGTGACCCCCAGGACCCCCCTGACCCCTGCCCCGTCCCGGTGGCCGCAGATGCCCCGGCCGGGCCGGCACCGGGCCCCGGCAGCCGCAGCGGGAGCGGCGAGAGGGGCGGCGATGGCCCCCCCGGAGACCCCCAAACGGAGCCCCCCCGGCGGCACGACCCCGGCAGGTGAGGTGGGGGAAATGGGAGTGGAAGTGGGGAAACTGAGGGAATGGGGGTTGGAATTGGGGTGGGAATGGGGTGGGAATGGGGAAACTGAGGGAATGGGGGTGGGAATTGGGGTGGGAATGGGGAAACTGAGGGGAAGGGGGTGGGAATGGGGAAACTGAGGGAATGGGGGTGGGAATGGGGGGAAACAGGGGGAATTGGGGTGGGAATTGGGGTGGGAATGGGGGAAACTGAGGGAATGGGGGTGGGAATGGGGAAACTGAGGGAATGGGGGTGGGAATGGGGAAACTGAGGGAATGGGGGTGGGAATGGGGGGAAACAGGGGGAATTGGGGTGGGAATTGGGGTGGGAATGGGGGAAACTGAGGGAATGGGGGTGGGAATGGGGAAACTGAGGGAATGGGGGTGGGAATTGGGGTGGGAATGGGGAAACTGAGGGAATGGGGGTGGGAATGGGGAAACTGAGGGAATGGGGGTGGGAATGGGGGTGGGAATGGGGGGAAACAGGGGGAATGGGGGTGGGAATGGGGTGGGAATGGGGGTGGGAATGGGGTGGGAATGGGGGGGAAACAGGGGGAATTGGGGTGGGAGTGGGAATGGGGGAAAGCCCGGCCTGGATTTGGGGTGCAGTTGGGAATGGGAGAAAGCCCGGCCTGGATTTCACCGGGATCCCAGGCTGGAGGGAAAACTCGGCCTGGATCCCGGGTGTCCAGGCCCAGAGTGGGTGGGTGACCCCGGGGTGCCCCTGGTGACCCCGGGGTGCCCCCGGTGCCCCCCAGGTTCCGGCTGCAGCTGGGGGGGCCCCGGGCCGAGGCCCTGGAGCGGAGCCGGCGCCGGGCCCAGCAGGAGCTGCTGGAGCTGCTGCCCGAGAGCGCCATGGAGCTGGACCCCGACCGCATCTACGGCCCCGGTGAGCGGCTACCGGGGCCGGGGGGGCGGCTACCGGGGCCGGGGGGCGGCTACCGGGGCCGGGGGGCGGCTACCGGGGCCAGGGGGGCGGCTACCGGGGCCGGTGAGCGGCTACCGGGGGGGAAATGGCCACTGGGAGGGACAAAGTGGCCACTGGGAAGGACAAAGTGGCCACTGGGAGGGATGAAATGACCACTGGGAAGGATGAGGCGACTGTTGGAAGGACAAAGTGGCCACTGGAAGGGACAAAGTGGTCACTGGGAGGGATGAAATGACCACTGGGAAGGATGAGGCGCCACTGGGAAGGACAAAGTGACCATTGGAAGGACAAAGTGACCACTGGGAAGGACAAAGTGACCATTGGAAGGACAAAGTGACCACTGGGAAGGACAAAGTGACCACTGGGAGGGATGAAATGACCACTGGAAGGGACAAAGTGACCACTGGGAAGGACAAAGTGACCATTGGAAGGACAAAGTGGCCACTGGGAGGGACAAAGTGACCACTGGGAAGGACAAAGTGACCATTGGAAGGACAAAGTGACCACTGGGAAGGACAAAGTGACCACTGGGAGGGATGAAATGACCACTGGAAGGGACAAAGTGACCACTGGGAAGGACAAAGTGACCATTGGAAGGACAAAGTGGCCACTGGGAGGGACAAAGTGACCACTGGGAAGAACAAAGGGGCCACTGGGAGGGATGAAATGACCACTGGGAAGGACAAAGTGACCACTGGAAGGGTTCCAGTGGCCCTGGGGGATGCCACCACCCCAAAGGTGACCCCGTGTCCCCCCGGCTGTGTCCCCAGGGCTGGACTTCCCCCGGCGCCCTCCCTGGAGCTTCGGGATGAGCCCCGAGGCGCTGCGGGCGCGGGAGGAGGCGGCGTTCCGGGAGTTCCTGCGGGGGCTGGGGGACAGCGACAGCGCCGGCCTGGCCCCCTTCGAGCACAACCTGGAGGTGACAGCGCCGGGGGACGCGGCAGGGGGGTGTGGGGACACTTTGGGGACGTTACGGGGGGTTTGGGGACACCGAAGGCTCACTGCTGTCCCCGCGCTGTCCCCAGACGTGGCGGCAGCTGTGGCGGGTGCTGGAGATGTCCGACATCGTGCTGGTCATCGCCGACGCTCGGCACCCGGTGTGTGCTGTGGCACCTGTGTCACCTGGGTGTCACCTGGGTGTCACCTGGATGTCACCTGTGTCACGTGTGTCCTCGCTGTCACTGTCCTGTGTTTGTTCTTTGACTGTCCCCATGTCCCCTGCGTGTCCATGACCCCTGAGTGTCCCCGTGTCCCCATCCCTGTTCTCATGTCCCCCCCACGTCCCCGAGTGTCCCCCTGCCGCCCAAGTGTCCCCCTGCCCCTGAGTGTCCCCCCACGTCCCCGAGTGTCCCCCTGCCCCTGAGTGTCCCCCTGGCCCCTGACTGTCCCCAAGTGTCCCCTGACTGTCCCCCTGGCCCCTGAGTGTCCCCAAGTGTTCCCTGAGTGTCCCCTGACTGTCCCCGTGTCCCCTGATTGTCCCCAAGTGTCCCCTGACTGTCCCCCTGCCCCCAGACTGTCCCCAAGTGTCCCCTGACTGTCCCCCTGGCCCCTGAGTGTCCCCAAGTGTTCCCTGAGTGTCCCCTGACTGTCCCCAAGTGCCCCCTGACTGTCCCCAAGTGTCCCCTGATTGTCCCCAAGTGTCCCCTGACTGTCCCCCTGCCCCCAGACTGTCCCCAAGTGTCCCTGAGTGTCCCCATGTCCCCTGACTGTCCCCAAGTGTCCCCTGAGTGTCCCCGTGTCCCCTGACTGTCCCCCTGCCCCTGACTGTCCCCCCCACGTCCCCGAGTGTCCCCTGCCCCTGAGTGTCCCCATGTCCCCTGACTGTCCCCAAGTGCCCCTGACTGTCCCCTGACTGTCCCCAAGTGCCCCCTGACTGTCCCCAAGTGTCCCCTGAGTGTCCCCCTGCCCCCTGAGTGTCCCTGTGTCCCCTGACTGTCCCCAAGTGTCCCCTGAGTGTCCCCAAGTGTCCCCATCCCTGTCCCCGTGTCCCCTGACTGTCCCCCTCCCCCCTGACTGTCCCCAAGTGTCCCCTGACTGTCCCCCTGCCCCCTGAGTGTCCCCAAGTGCCCCCTGCGTGTCCCCAAGTGTCCCCTGAGTGTCCCCAAGTGCCCCCTGCGTGTCCCCAAGTGTCCCCTGAGTGTCCCCAAGTGTCCCCTGAGTGTCCCCCTGCCCCCTGACATTCCCCAAGTGCCCCTGACTGTCCCCAAGTGTCCCCTGAGTGCCCCTGAGTGTCCCCTGACTGTCCCCAGGCGCTGGGGGTGCCGCCCGCTCTGGCCGCCCACGTCTCGCAGGACCTGGCCAAGGGCCTCATCCTCATCCTCAACAAGGTGGACCTGGTGCCGCCCGCGGTGGCCACGGCCTGGAGCCACCTGCTGCGGGCCCGGCACGGCCCGGCCCGGGTGGTCCCGTTCTGCACCGCGCCCGGCCCGGCCCCCGGCCCCGGTACGGCATTGGGGCTGAAAATGGGGATTTTGGGGTTTTTGTGTCCCACCTGCTGCGGGCCCGGCACGGCCCGGCCCGGGTGGTCCCGTTCTGCACCGCCCCCGGCCCGGCCCCCGGCCCCGGTACGGGATTGGGCTGAAAACGGGGATTTTGGGGTTTTTGGGTCTCACCTCCTGCAGGCCCGGCACGGCTGTGCCCAGCCCTGGTACGGGGTTTGGGCTGAAAATGGGGTTTTTGGGTCCCACCTCCTGCAGGCCTGGCATGGCTGTGCCTGGCCCAGCCCCGGTACGGGATTGGGGCTGAAAATGGGGATTTTGGGGTTTTTGGGTCCCACCTCCTGCAGGCCCGGCATGGCTGCCCCCGGCTCCCGGCCCCGGTACCCACTGGGGGGTTTGGGGGGATTTTGGGGTGGAATTGGGGGACTTCAGGGACTTTAAGGGGTTTGGGGTGGAACTCAGTGGGTTTGGGGAGTTTAGGGTGGAATTGGGGAGTTTTAGTTGGGTTTGAGGTGGAACTGGGGGGATCCAGGTGGTTTTGGGTAACACTGAGGAGATTTGAGGTCACCCTGACTGGTTTTGGGGTCTCCAGGGCTGTTTTTGGGGTGATTTGGGCCATTTTTGGGGTCCCCAGGGCTGCAGAAGAGGCAGAAGAAGAGGGGGGGTCGCTGGAGCCGCGCCGTGGGACCCCGACTGCTGCTGGAGGCCTGCGAGGAGATCGTGGGGGGGGCAGGTCTGTGGGGAGGGGTCCTGGGGGGGGTTTGGGGGTCCTGGGGGGGTTTGGGGGTCCTGGGGGGGGTTTTGGGGGGGCAGGTTTATGGAGAGGGGTCCTGAGGGGGGTTTGGGGGTCCTGGGGGGGGGTTTGGGGGGGCAGGTCTGTGGGGAGGGGTCCTGGGGGGGGTTTTGGGGGTCCTGGGGGGGAGGTATTGGGGGTCCTGGGGGGGGTTTTGGGGGTCCTGGGGGGGGTTTTGGGGGGGCAGGTCCGTGGGGAGGGGTCCTGGGGGGTGTTTTGGGGGTCCTGGGGGGGTTTTGGGGGTCCTGGGGGGGAGGTTTTGGGGTCCTGGGGGGGTTTTTGGGGGTCCTGGGGGGGGGTTTTGGGGGTCCTGGGTGGGTTTTGGGAGTCCTGGGGGGGGTTTTGGGGGTCCTGGGGGGGGTTTTGGGGGTCCTGGGGGGTTTTGGGGGGGCAGGTCTGTGGGGAGGGGTCCTGGGGGGGTTTGGGGTCCTGGGGGGTGTTTTGGGGGGGCAGGTTTATGGAGAGGGGTCCTGAGTGGGTTTTGGGGGTCCTGGGGGGGCTTTGGGGGTCCTGGGGGGAGGGTTGGGGGGGCAGGTCTGTGGGGAGGGGTCCTGGGGGGCATTTTGGGGGTCCTGGGGGGAGGGTTGGGGGTCCTGGGGGGTATTGGGGGTCCTGCGGGGGGAGGTATTGGGGGTCCTGGGGGGGGGTTTTGGGGGTCCTGGGGGGGGTTTTGGGGGGGCAGGTTTATAGAGAGGGGTCCTGGGGGGGTTTTGGGGGTCCTGGGGGGGGTTTTGGGGTCCTGGGGGGGGGTTTTGGGGGGCCTGGGGGGGGTTTTGGGGGACAGGTTTATGGAGAGGGGTCCTGAATGGGTTTTGGGGGTCCTGGGGGAGGTGGTTGGGGGTCCTGGGGGGTTTTGGGGGTCCTGGGGAGGGGATTTGGGGTCCTGGGGGGTTTTGGGGGGTCCTGGAAGGGCTGTGTGACTATTCCCAGTCCCCCCAGTCCCCATTCCCAGTCCCCATTCCCAGTCTCCCCAGTCCCCCCAGTATCCCCAGTCCCCATTCCCAGTTCTCCCCAGTCCCTCCCAGTATCCCCAGTCCCCATTCCCAGTCCCCCCCAGTCCCCCCAGTCTCCCCAGTCCCCATTCCCAGTCCCCCCAGTGCCCCCAGTGCCACCCCCTGTCCCCAGTGGATCTCAGCAGCTGGCGGGCGCGGCTGGAGCGGGCGGAGCAGCGCCCCCCGGAGGAGGAGGAGGAGGAGGATGAGGATGACGAGGATGAGGATGAGGAAGATGAGGATGAGGAGGGGGAGGAGCCGCCGTGCGGGGATGAAGATGAGGAGGAGGAGGGGGCGGGGCCCGGGGGCGCGGCCCTGCCCCGGCAGTGGGAGCGGTACCGGCACGGCGTGCTGACGCTGGGCTGCGTCGGTGAGCGGGCGGGGCCAGGGGGGCGGGGCCAGGGGGCGTGGTCACTGGGTGTGGTCCAGGTGGGCGTGGTCACTGGGTGTGGTCAAATGGGCGTGGCGCATTGTGGATGTGTCCCAGGTGGGTGTGGCTCATTGTGGGTGTGGCTCAGGTGGGCGTGGCTCTCTGTGGGCGTGGCTCTCTGTGGGTGTGGTCTGGGTGGGCGTGTCTCTCTGTGGGTGTGGTCTGGGTGGGCGTGTCCCGCTCAGGTGCGCCCGGCCCCGCCCAGGGCTGCCGAACGCGGGGAAGTCGTCGGTGCTGAACGCGCTGCTGGGGCGGGGCGCGGTGGGCGTGTCCCGCGCCCCCGGCCGCACCCGCTACTTCCAGACCCACTTCCTGACGGCCGCGGTGCGGCTCTGCGACTGCCCTGGCCTGGTGTTCCCCTCGCGGGCCCCGCCCGAGCTGCAGGTGAGCCCAAAACCCCCAGGTGTGAGCCCAAAACCCCCAGGTGTGACCCCAAAACCCCCAGGTGTGACCCTGACCCTGCCCCGGCCTGGTGTTCCCCTCGCGGGCCCCGCCCGAGCTGCAGGTGAGCCCGAAACCCCCAGGTGTGACCCCGAAATGCCCAGGTGTGACCCCAAAATCCCCACATGTGACCCTGACCCTGCCCTGGCCTCGTCTTCCCCTCGCGGGCCCCGCCCGAGCTACAGGTGAGCCTGTAATCCAGGTGTGAGCCCGAAACCCCCAGGTCTGACCCCGAAATCCCCAGGTGTGACCCCAAAATCCCCATTACCCCGTGGTATTTCTCTGTTCCAGGTCCTGGCAGGCGTGTACCCCATTACCCCGTGGTATTTCTCTGTCCCAGGTCCTGGCAGGCGTGTACCCCATTACCCCGTGGTATTTCTCCTCTCCCAGGTCCTGGCAGGGGTGTACCCCATTACCGCATGGTATTTCTCTGTCCCAGGTCCTGGCAGGGCTGTACCCCATTTTCACTCTGTTCACAGGTCCTGGCAGGGCTGTACCCCATTACCCCGTGGTATTTCTCTGTCCCAGGTCCTGGCAGGCGTGTACCCCATTACCCCGTGATATTTTTCCTTTCCCAGGTCCTGGCAGGTGTGTACCCCATCGCACAGCTGCAGGACCCCTACTCGGCCGTGGGGTTTTTGGGGTCCCGCCTGGCCCTGCCCCCCCTGCTGCAGCTGCGCCCCCCCGGCGACGGCGGCTGGACGGCCTGGGAGCTCTGTGAAGGTGGGACGGAATGTTCCGGAATGTTCCAGAACCTTCCGGAATGTCCTGGAATATTCCTGAATGTATTTACATAATGTACCTGGGAGCTCTGCGAAGGTGGGACAGAACCTTCCGGAATGTTCCAGAACCTTCCGGAATGTCCCGGAATACTCCTGAATATATTTACATAATGTACCTGGGAGCTCTGCGAAGGTGGGACGGAATGTTCCGGAATACTCCTGAATATATTTGCATAATGTACCTGGGAGCTCTGCGAAGGTGGGACGGAATGTTCCAGAATGTTCCGGAATGTCCTGGAATGTTCCTGAATATATTTACATAATGTACCTGGGAGCTCTGCGGAGGTGGGACGGAACCTTCCGGAACCTTCCGGAACCTTCCGGAATATTCCTGAATATATTTACATAATGTACCTGGGAGCTCCGCGAAGGTGGGACGGAATGTTCCGGAATGTTCCGGAATCATCTGGGATTTTGGGGGTTTTGGGGCATTTCTGGGCGCTTAGTAGCGGAAAAATGGGGAACGTTTGGGATTTATTTGGAATTATTTGTGAATTTTTTTCTGGGTTTATTTGAGAATATTTGGGATTTTGGGGGGGAATTTTAGGGGTTTTGGGGGGTTCAGGGCATTTTTGGGGTGTTTTTGCTGAATTTTTCGGGATCTTTCCCCTGCTATTTTGGGGTTTTTTTTTTGCTGATTATTTGGGGTGTTTTACTGAGTTTTTGGGATATTTTTGGGGCATTTTTGCTGATTTTTTGGAGCGTTTTTGCTGCATTTTTTGTGATTTTTTTGGGGTGTTTTTGCTGCGTTTTCTGTGATTTTTTGGGGGTGTTCTTGCTGAGTTTCTGGGGTGTTTTTGCTGCATTTTTTGTGATTTTTTTGGGGGTGTTTTTGCTGCGTTTTCTGTGATTTTTTGGGGGGTGTTTTTACTGCGTTTTCTGTGATTTTCTTGGGGGTGTTTTTGCTGATTTTTTTGGGGTGTTTTTGCTGCGTTTTCTGTGATTTTTTGGGGGTGTTTTTGCTGATTTTTTGGGGTGTTTTTGCTGCGTTTTCTGTGATGTCTTGGGGGTGTTTTTGCTGATTTTTTTGGGGTGTTTTTGCTGCGTTTTCTGTGATTTTTTGGGGGTGTTTTTGCTGATTTTTTTGGGGTGTTTTTGCTGCGTTTTCTGTGATTTCTTGGGGGTGTTTTTGCTGATTTTTTGGGGTGTTTTTGCTGCGTTTTCTGTGATGTCTTGGGAGTGTTTTTGCTGAGTTTCTGGGGTGTTTTTGCTGATTTTCTGGGACATTTTTGGGTGTTTCCCCCCAGCCTGGGCAGAGAAGAGGGGCTACAAGACGGCGCGGGCGGCTCGCAACGACGTGGCGCGCGCGGCCAACGGGCTCCTGCGGCTGGCGGCCGAGGGGCGGCTGCGCCTCTGCTTCCGGCCCCCGGGCTACTCCCAGGAGAAAGGTACCAAAAAAACCCAAAATCGGCGTTTTTGTGGGCATTTGGGGCAGTTTTGGGGGATTTGGGGCGCTTTTTGTACGCAAAAAAGTCAAAAATTGGGGATTTGAGACCTAGAAAGTCAAAAAATCGGGAGATTTAAGACCCGAAATTGGGATTTTTAGTGGATTTGGCTCCCAAAAAAAGTCAAAAATGTGGGATTTGGTACATTAAAAAATCCAGAATTTAGAAATTTGGAAGGTATGTAGTACCTAAAAAATAAAAAAATCAAAATCGGGGATTTGGGACCAAAAAAGTCCGAAAATGGTGGATTTGTGACCCAAAATCCCCGCAGAGCGTTGGGAGCTCCACCCCGACACCGCGGCCCTGGCGGCCATGACAGGGGGCGGGGCCAGCGCCCCACCCCCCGCTGGCCCCGCCCCCAGCTCCGAGGACGAGGGGGAGGAGTCAGAGCAGGCCACGCCCCCTCCCAGCCCCGCCCCCAACCCCTTCGCGCTGCTGGGGGAGGACGAGTGCTGAGCCACGCCCCCTCCCGGGGCGGAGCCAATCGGAGCGCGCGGATTAGCATATCGCCATACGGAATAAAGCGTTTATTTCTGCACGGCTGATTGGCTGGTTCCTGCGAGGCGGCGACCAATCAGAGCACAGGTGAGGGGCCTGGGAGTGAGGTCATTGTTAGGCCACGCCCACACGCGCTGCCATGTTTGTACGTGGCCCCGCCCCTTTTCCCTCCCAAGCCCCGCCCCCGCTGACCTGTGGGCGTGTCCTGGCCGGGTGGGCGTGGCTCGGGTGGGCGTGGCTCGGGTGGGCGTGGCTCAGGTGGGCGTGGCTCAGGTGGGCACAGGTAGCGCCGCCCGCGGCCGCAGGTGAGGCAGCGCAGGACGAGGCGGGGCTGGCCACGCCCTGGGGCGGGGCAGGGGGCGTGGTCAGACAAAGCCACGCCCAGAATACCCAATAATGCCAAAAAAAAATCCCCAAAATCACCCCTAAATTCCCCAAAATCACCCAAAAACGCCCCAATTCCCCTAAAACTGCCCCAAAAGCCCCAAAATCCACCCAAAATTGCCCCCAAATCTCCCCAACGTCACCCCTAAATCCCCTCAAACCTCCCCAAAGTCTCCCAGAGCCACCCAGAATTCCCCAAAATCCCCCAAAAATCCCCAAATTCCCCAAATCGACCCCGAATCCCCCTCAAAATGCATCCAAATCCTCCAAATTCCACAAAAATCTCCCCCAAACCTCCCCAAAATCCCCCAAATCCCCCCACAAACCTCCCCAAATTCCCCCAAACCCCCCAAATTTCCCCCAAAGCCCCCAAATTCCCCCAAATTCCCCCCAAATTTCCCCACCTCTGAGGCGGGTCCCGCTCCCCTCCCCCGGCAGCAGGAGGGAGCAGCAGCGGCGGCAGAGGCGGCGTTTGACCCCCGGGGCCCTGCGGGGAGAGAAACGCCCCCAAAACCTCCCAAAATCACCCCAAAATCACCCCAAACCACCCCAAAATTACCCGAAATCACTCCAAATCACCCCAAAATAACCCAAAAACACCCCATAACCACCCTAAATCACCTGAAACCACCCCAAAATCACCCCAAAATAACCCGAAAGTGCCCCAAAATCACCCTGAAATACCCCAAAATCACCCAACTTCACCCCAAAATGCCCCAAAACCACCCTGAAATAGCCCAAAATCTCCCCAAACCGCCATGCAACCTCTCAAGAATCCCCCAAAACTTTTTCTCACAAACCCCCAAATTCCCCCCAAATCCCCTCAAATTTGCCTAAATGACCCCAAAATAAATCTAAATTCCCCCAAATTTTCTCAAATTTCCCCATTTACTCAAATTTCCCCCAAATTCACTCAGATTTTCCTAAATTCCCCCAAACGTCCCTAAATCCCCACAAATTCCCTCTAAATTCCCCCAATTTTTCCTGAATTCCCCCAAATAATTTCACTCTAAATTCCCCTGAATTTGCTTGAATATTCCCCAAAAATTTACCCCAAATTCACTGAAATTTCCCAAAATTTTCCCAAATCCCAAATTCAGTTTAAATTCCCCTCAAATTTACCCTAAATTCACTTAAATTTTCCAAAATTTTCCCACATCCCAAATTCAGTTTAAATTCCCCCCAAATTCACTTAATTTTTCCACAATTCACCCTTTTTTTCCCAATTTTTTCCCAATTTTTTTCCAATTTTTTCCCAATTTTTTCCGAATCCCCCCAAACTTCCCAAAGCCCCCGAAACGCCCCGAAACCGCCCGAATTTGCCGGATCTCCCCACTCACATGCGCAGCACGAGGCGCCGCGCCGCCGCCCGCTGGGTGCGCAGCAGGAACCGCGCCAGGCCGGGGCTGCGCCGCTGCGCCCAGTGCGCCGCCTGGGGTGGCGCCCAACGCGGGGACGGGGGAAATCGGGGGAAATTTGGGAAAATCGGGGAAAATTGGGGAAAATTTGGGAAAATTTGGGAAAATTTGGGAAAATCGGGGCTTTTTTGAGGAATTTTGGGGGATTTTTGGGGGTATTTTTTGTGATTTTTGGCTCCGTTCTGGAGATTTTTTTTGGGGGCAAATTTAAGGGATTACAGGAAAATTGGGGGAAATTTGGGCTTTTTTGAGGATTTTTGGGGGATTTTTGGAGGATTTTTGGGGGTATTATTTGGGATTTTTGGCTCCGGTCTGGAGATTTTTTTCAGGGGGAAAATTTAGTGGATGGCGGGAAAATTGGGGGAAATTTGGGCTTTTTGGAGGGAGTTCTGGGGGATTTGGGGGGATTTTTTTCTTTTTAGGGGTTTTGGGGATTTTTTTTGGGGTGTGGGTTGGATTTTTGGAGGATTTCTGGGGCGCTTTGGGGAAATTGGGGAAAATTTGGGGCATTTTAGAGGGAGTTTTGGGGGATACTGGGGGAATTTTTTTTAGGGGTTTTGGGGATTTTTTGGGGGCATTTTTAGGGTGTAGGAAGGGATTTTGGGGGGGATTTTTGGGGATTTTGGGGGGTTTGGGATTTTGGGGCACTTGGGGGAGGATTTTTGGGGATTTGGGGCACTTGGGGGAGGATTTTTGGGGATTTGGGGGCACTTGGGGGAGGATTTTGAGGATTTTGGGAATTTGGGGGCACTTGGGGAGGATTTTTGGGGATTTGGGGACACTTGGGGGAGGATTTTTGGGGATTTGGGGCACTTGGGGGAGGATTTTTGGGGATTTGGGGGCACTTGGGGAGGATTTTTGGGGATTTGGGGCACTTGGGGAGGATTTTTGGGGATTGGGGGGATTTTGGGGGGATTTGAGGCACTTGGGGGAGGATTTTTGGGGATTTTGGGGGCGCAGACCCCTCCCCACAACCCCCCAGCCCCTGCGCCACCCCTAAATCCCCCAAAATCCCCCAAAAAGCCCCAAAATCCGCACCTGGAAGAGGAAGTTCAGCCTCTGCAGCGCCTCCCGGTCCCTCACGGGCGCCGCCATCTTCCCCTGGCCCCGCCCCTCGTGGGCGTGGCCGCGGCTCCCTATTGGTCAGCGCCGCGCGGTGCCGTTACGTCACTTCCGGGGCATTTTTGGGGTCTTTTCCACCACTTTGGGACCCCCCTGGTGGGGACCTCCCCAAATTATTCCCAAATTCTCCCTAATTTATTCCAAATTTATTCGTAAATTATCCTCAAATTACTCCCAAATTCTTCAGAAATTATTCGCGATTTATCCCAAAATTCTTCACAAATTATTCCCAAATTATCCCGAAACTGTCCCCAAATTCCGATGTCACCCTCGTGTCACCCTCGTGTCCCCAAATTCCGATGTCCCCCGTGTCACCCGCGTGTCCCGTGTTTGTTTTTGTGTCCCTCCTGTCCCCTCCCTGTCCCCGGCGGTGCCACCCCCGCGCCCTCCCCTCTGTCCCCTCCCTGTGTCCCCTCCCTGTCCCCTCCTCTCCTCCCTGTCCCCACGCCCCTGTCCCTCCCTGTCCCCAGATTCCGATGTCACCCGCGTGTCCCCAAATTCCGATGTGGCTCCGTGTCACCCGCGTGTCCCGTGTTTGTGTCCCCTCTTCTGTCCCCTCCCCTGTCCCCGCCTGTCCCCGGCGGTGCCACCCCCGCGCCCTCCCCTCTGTCCCCTCTCTGTGTCCCCTCCCTGTCCCCACGCCCCTGTCCCTCCCTGTCCCCAAATTCCGATGTCCCTTCGTGTCACCCCCGTGTCACCCCCGTGTCCCGTGTTTGTGTCCTGTCCCCTCCCTGTCCCCAGCGGTGCCACCTCTGTCCCCTCCTCTCCTCCCTGTCCCCTCCCTGTCCCCAAATTCCGATTCACCCCCGTGTCACCCTCGTGTCCCGTGTTTGTTTGTGTCCCTCCTGTCCCCTCCCTGTCCCTCCCCTGTCCCCGGCGGTGCCACCCCCGCTCCCTCCCCTCTGTCCCGCTGTCCCCTCTCTCTGTCCCCTCTGTCCCCTCTCTGTCCCCGATGTCGCCTCCCGCCGCGTCCCGCGGTCCTTTGGCCGCTTTGGCCGCCGCCACGTCGTGTCCGCGCTGCGGGGCCGCGCTGCGGGACCCGGTGCTGCTGCCGTGCGAGCACCGCTGCTGCCGCCGCTGCCTGCTGCCCCCAATGTCCCCCATGTCCCCAATGTCCCCCGGGCTGTCCCCGGTGTCCCCCGGGCCCCCCCCGGGCTGGCCCCGCTGTCCCCAGTGTCGCCGTCCCTGCGCCCCGGGCCGCGTCCGCACCGCGGTGGCGCTGGCGGTGGAGGCGCGGATCGCGCGGCGGCTGGCGGGGGACAGCGGGGACACGGGAGGGGACAGCGGGGACAGGACAGGGGACAGCGCCGGGGACAGCACCGGGACACCGCGGGGACGCCGCAGGACCGGCAGGACCAGGTGAGATTTGGGGTTTTTTGGGTTTTATTGGGATTTTTTGGCGGTTTCTGGGGGAGATTTGGGGTTTTGGGGACATGGGGACAGCGGGGACAGCACCGGGGACAGCGCCGGGACACCGCAGGACCGGCAGGACCAGGTGAGATTTGGGGATTTTTGGATTTTTTTGGGGATTTTTGGGGGTTTTGGGGACATAAGGACAGCAGGACCAGGGGACATTTGGGGGGTTTTGGGTTTTTTTGGGGGGTTTTTGGGGGGTTTTTGGGGGAGATTTGGGGTTTTGGGGACACGGGGACATCACGGGGCTGACAGGACCAGGTGAGATTTGGGGCTTTGGGGTTTTTTTGGGGGGAGATTTGGGGGTTTTTGGCTGTTTTGGGGGTTTGGGGACATGGGGACAGCTTGGGGACGGCAGGACCAGGTGAGATTTGGGGGTTTTGGGTTTTTTTGGGGGGAGATTTGGGGTTTTTTTGGGGGGTTTGGGGGTTTGGGGACATGGGGACGGCAGGACCAGGTGAGATTTGGGGGTTTTGGGCTTTTTTGGGGGGAGATTTGGGGTTTTTTGGGGGGTTTGGGGACATGGGGACATCACGGGGCCAGCAGGACCAGGTGAGATTTGGGGGTTTTTGGGGAGAATTTGGGGGTTTTTGGAGAGATTTTGGGGTTTTTTGGGGAGATTTTGGGTCTCTTTGGGGGACATTTGGGGTTTCTGGAGGGAGTTTTGGGGGAGATTCGGAATTTTTGGGGGGGAAATTTGGGGCCAAGGGAGGGAGGATCTGGGGGGAATTTTTGGGAGGAATTTGGGAGATTTTTTAGGAGGAATTTTGAGGATTTTGGGACGACGTGGGAGATTTTGGGGGGGGGGGAATTTGGGGGATTTTTGGGAGGAATTTGGGCACTTTTGTGCCCCACACGAATCCAGGGGTGGGGGAGGGGAAATTTTGGGATTCCCGCCCCTCCCCCCCCTCCCCTCACGTGCCGGTTCCTCCCGCCCCTCCCCCACCCCCGCAGGTGCCCCCGCCCCTCCCCCACCCGGCCGGGTGACATTTTTGGGGGGTGACAAATTTTGTTTTTGTGCCGCCGCCCCTCCCCCCCAGCGCCCCAAAAATATTTCGGATTTTTTTCTTCCCCTCCCCCACCCTCAAAAAAATAAATATTTGGGATTTTTTTCCCCCTCCCCCACCTTTTTTTTTTTGCTATTTTTGGGTTTTTTGTCCCCACAGCCTCGGGGCCCAACTGCGAGCGGACGCCGCCCCTCCCCCACCCACGCGGGACCCCCCAAAATAAACCCAAAAAACCTCAAATAAACCCCAAAAAACCCCAAAAGCGTCACCGGTGTCATTTAATGTCCCGGGGGGGGGGAGGGGCAGGTGGGGTTTTTTGGGGGGTCCAGGTGAGATTTTGGGGCGTTTCGGTGACATTTTTGGGGTTTTGTGACATTTTTGGGGGGTCCAGGTGAGATTTTGGGGGGGGGGGGGGGGGGTCCGGCCTCCAACCCCCGGCAGTGAAATTTTGGATTTGGGGCTGAAACACCGGAATTTTTGGGCTAAAATTCCGAAATTTTGGGGCTGCAATTCCAGGATTTTTGGCGCTGAAATGGTGGAATTTTTGGGGCTGAAATTCAGAATGTTTCAGCCGAAATTTTCGCTGTTAAAACTCCGGAATTTGGGGGGCAAAAAGTTAAGAAATTATTACCCTAAAATTCCCAAATTTTGGCCGCAAACCCCTGAAATTTTAATTCCAAACCCGCAGAGCTTTAACCCTTAAACTCCCATATTTAAACCCTAAAACACCCAAATTTCGGCCCTAAAATTCTGGAATTTTAACCCCAAAACTCCCAAATTTTGGCCCTAAAACCCCTGAAATTTTAATTCCAAACCTGCAAAGCTTTAACCCTAAAACTCCCGTATTTAAACCCTAAAACTCCCAAATTTCGGCCCTAAAATTCTGGAATTTTAACCCTAAAACTCCCAAATTTTGGCCGTGCAAATCTGGAATTTTGGGGGCAAAAACTCGGGAAATTTTGGCCCTAAAACCCCGAAATTTCGGTGCCGACCCCCCCCAAAGCCCCCCCAAACTCGGTGTTGGGGTGGGGGAGGGGCGGGGTGGGGGAGGGGCCCCTCAGTGCTCCATGGCCACGGCGGGGGGGGGGGTCGCGGGGCGGGGGGAGGGGCGGGTTTTGGGGTCCCCTCCCCCCCTTGTGGCCGCGCGCTTGGTGGCCCCGGACGCAGTTCTGGTGGCCGCAGCTGCGCCCCTCCCCCACCCGCCCCTCCCCCACCCCCGGCCCCTCCCCCTCCCCCTCCCCCTCCCCCTCGCTCTCCGAGGAGCTCTCGCCGAACGGCCGCGGCCTCTCGTAGATGCAGCAGCCTGGGGAGAGATTTGGGGGAAATTCGGGCGGTTTTGGGCAAATTCGGGGGGTTCGGGGGAAATTCGGGGGAAATTCGAGGGGTTTGGGGGGATTTGGGGGGGATTTGGGCAGTTTTGGGAAGTATTTTTGGGCCATTTTTGGATTATTTTGGGACTGTTTCGGGGCTGTTCTGGGAAGTATTTCTGGGTTATTTTTTTGGGCCATTTTGGGTTATTTTTGGGTTAATTTTTGGGTTAATTTTTGGGCAATTCTGGCAGGTATTTTTAGGATATCTTTGGGTTAATTTTTGGGCCATTCTGGCAGGTATTTTTAGGATATTTTTAGGATATTTTTGGAAGTATTTTTGGGCCATTTTTGGGTTCTTTTGGGGCTGTTTCAGGGCTGTTCTGGGAAGTATTTCTGGGTTATTTTTTTGGGCCATTTTGGGTTAATTTTTGGGTTAATTTTTGGGCAATTCTGGCAGGTATTTTTAGGACATTTTTAGGATATTTTGGGAAGTATTTTTGGGCCATTTTTGGGTTATTTTAGGCCGTTTTGGAGCTATTCTGGGTGGTATTTTTTGGCCATTTTTGGGTTATTTTGGGAGGTATTTTTGGGCCATTTTGGGTTATTTTTGGGTTAATTTTTTTGGCTATTCTGGCAGGTACTTTCAAGATATTTTGAGTTAATTTTGGGTTATTTTGGGTTATTTTGGGGCTGTTCTGGCAGGTATTTTCAGGATATTTTGGGTTAATTTTGGGTTATTTTGGGGCTGTTCTGGGGCTGTTCTGGCAGGTATTTTCAGGGTGTTTTGGGTTCATTTGGGGCTGTTTTGGCAGGTATTTTCAGGATATTCTGGGTTAATTTTAGGTTATTTTGGGGCTGTTTTGGGGCTGTTCTGGCAGGTACTTTCAGGGTATTTTCAGGGTGTTTTGGGTTCATTTGGGGCGGTTCTGGCAGGTATTTTCAGGGCATTTTCAGGGTGTTTTGGGTTATTTTGGGGCTGTTTTGGCACTCACACTTGGAGGAGCGCCGGCCCAGGTGCTCGTTGTCCACCGTGTCGCTCGACCACTCGACCTTCTTGTCCGGTTTCCTCTTCCTCAGCTTCAGCGTCAGGCTGCGGTTCTCCTGCCGGGTCAGGGGTCACCAGGGGTCACCAGGGGTCACCAGGGGTCACCAGGGGTCAGTCTGTGTCCCCAGGGGCCATTCCCAGTATCCAAACCCCTCCCAGTTCGCCCCATCCCCCATTCCCAGTGCTCCCAGTAACCCCAAACCCCCTCCCAGTCCATTCCCAGTCCCCGCTCCCATCCCCCCCCCCCCGGGGCCCGGTACCGGCTCCGCGGTTCCGCTCTCGGTGACGGTGGCGGTGCCGCAGCCGCCGCTCTCCGCCGTCTCCGCCATGGCCGCGGGGGGGTCCCGGGGGGTCCCCCCGGTACTGGGAGGGGGCGCCCCGCAACTGGGACGGGCCGGGGGCGGAACTGGGAAGGGCCGGGCCGCTCTCGCCGCCGCCCCCGGTGCGGCAGCCGAGGCCGCCCCCACTTCCGGTGTGCGCGGAGGGCGCCGCTTCCGGCGGGTGCGGCGGCGAATCCGCTCCCCCTCTCCGCGCACTTCCGGTACGCGGCACTTCCGCCGGAAATGCGATTGTTGGTAAAGTACGGAACAGCGACGGGGACAATCTTAGCCAGGGAGGCGAATGTGGAGGTTCTGAAGGGTCTGGGGGCACCAAAATCCCCCAAAAAAATCCCCAAAAAATTCACCAAAATCCCAAAAAAATCCACCAAAATCCCAAAAAAATCCCAAAAATCCGCCCCAAATTTGGGAGGGGGCGCTTTTATTCCTCTTCCAGCGCCAAAATCCCCAAAACGGTGCAAAAAAACCCAAAAAAAATGCCCAAAACCACCAAAATATTCCAGAAAATGGCCCCAAAAATCCCCAAAATGGTCCCAAAAATCCCAAAAATGACCACAAAAATCCCAAAAATAAAAAAACAAAATCTCCAAAAAGCAGTCTCACAAAACCCGAAATTTCTCCCTCAAAAATTCCCCAAAAATGCGAATTTCAGGAATCTTCCTTCTCCTGGAACCTGCGGGAAAAGGGGAAATTTGGGATTTCGGGAAATTTGGGATTTCGGGGAAATGTGAGGGATTTTTTGGGAATTTTTGGGGCTTTTTTGGGGTTTATTTTGAGATTTTTCTTGGGATTATTTTGGGGGTGTTTTGGTGTTATTTTTTGGATGTTTTTAGGGTTATTTTGGGGATATTTCAGGGGATATTTTGGGGTTATTTGGAGATACTTTGGGAATATTTAGTGGCTATTTTGGGGATATTTTGGAGACATTTTGGGGCTATTTAGTGGCTATTTTGGGGCCATTTTGGGGACATTTTGGGGCTATTTTGGGGCTATTAAGTGGCTATTTAGTGCATATTTTGGGGACATTTTGGGGTTATTTTGGGGACATTTAGTGGCTATTTAGTGGCTATTTTGTGGCTATTTTGGGGCTATTTTGGGGCCGTTTTGGTGCTATTTTGGGGCTATTTTGGGAATATTTAGCGAATATTTTGGGGACACTTTGGGGCCATTTTGGGGCTATTTTGGGGCCATTTTGGGGCCATTTTGGGGCTATTTTGGGGCTATTTTGGGGACATTTTGGGGACACTTTGGGGCCATTTTGGGGCCGTTTTGGGGCTATTTTGGGGCTATTTAATGGCTATTTTGGGGCCATTTTGGGGCTATTTAGTGGCTATTTTGGGGCTATTTTGGGGCCATTTTGGGGCTATTTTGGGGCTATTTTGGGGCCATTTGGGCTCTCACCTGCAGCGGGGACAGGTGTAAAACACCGTCTGCCCCTCGTCGGCCGAGCGCATCTGCCGCGTGTGGAACCACATTCCCTGGTGGGCGCAGCGGGGGCAGCTCCTGTCCACCTAAACACCCAAAATCCGAATTATTCACCCCAAAAACATCCCCACACCCCACTCACGCACCCCAAAAATCCCATTGGCACCCCAAAACCCCTTTTCTTACCCCCAAAATCCCATTAATTCAACCCAAAATCACCATTTTTCACCGTGAAATTCTCTTGATTTACCCCAAAATCAAAATTTTTGGTCAATTTTTGGGGACATTTTCTGGAATTTTTCAGGATTTTTTTGGGAGCATTTTATAGGATTTTTTTTTTTTAATTTTGGGGGATTTTTCTGGAATCTTTTGGGGGAATTTTATTTCAAATTTTGGGGAATTTTGTGGGAATATTTTTGGAACTTTATGGCATTTTGTTTGGAATTTTTGGAGAATTTTTTAGGAAGTTTTCGGGAGATTTTTTTTTCTCAAATTTTGGTCAGTTTTGGGGGAAATTTTCTGGAACTATTTTTAAATTTTATAGGCATTTTTGTGGATTTTTTGTGGATTTTTTTTTAAATTTTTTTGATTTTTTTCTGGAAATTTTGGGGTGTTTTTGCAGGATTTTTCTTTTAATTTTTGGGGGATTTTTTTTGGAATTTTTCGGGATTTTGGGGAATTTTTTTGAATTTTGGGGGATTTTTTTTCTGGAATTTTGGGCTTTTTTTTCGGGGTTTTTTTTTGGGGGAATTTTTTGGAATTTTGGGGTCCCTCCCCCCTCACCGTGGGCCCCTCCTGGGGGGCGGGGCCGGCGCTGCCCCTCCCCCACTCGGCGGCGGCGAAGCTCAACGAGGAACGGACGGGAACGGACCCGAGATCTGGGGGGAAAAACGGGGAAATCGGGAAAAATACAGGGGAAAACGGGAAAAATACGGGAAAATCGGGAAAAATCGGGGAAAATACGGGGAAAATACGGGGAAAATACGGGAAAATTGGGGAAAATACGGGGAAAATCAGGAAAAATACAGGGGAAAACGGGAAAAATCCTGGGGAAAATGGGAAAATCGGGAAAATCGGGGAAAATACAGGGGAAATACGGGAAAATTGGGGAAATACGGGGAAAATACGGGGAAAATATGGGAGAAAACGGGAAAATCGGGTAAAATACGGGGAAAACGGGAAAAACACGGGGAAAACGGGAAAATCGGGAAAAATATGGGGAAAATACGGGAAAATCGGGAAAAATACGGGGAAAATACGGGAAAATTGGGGAAAATGCGGGGGAAAACAGGAAAATTGGGGAAAATACGAGGAAAAACGATAAAATTGGGAAAAACACGGGGAAAACGGGAAAAATACGGGGAAAATAAGGGGGAAAAGGGGGAAAATACAGGGGAAAACGGGAAAATTGGGAAAAATACGGGGGAAAACGGGAAAATCGGGATAAATATGGGGAAAAACAGGAAAAATGGGAAAATCGGGAAAAATACAGGGGAAAATGGGAAATCGGGAAAAATATGGGGGAAAATGGCAAAATATACAAGGGAAAAGGAGAAAATTGGGAAAAATACGGGGGAAAATGGGAAAATCAGGAAAAATACGGGAGAAATCGGGAAATTGGGGGGAATAGGGAAATTGGGGGGAAATGGGGAAAAATAGGGAAAAAACAGGGAAAATTGGGGGAAATGGGGAAAAATACAGGGAAAAATGGGGAGAAACGGGAAAACCCCGGGAAAATTGGGGGAAAAGTGGGGAAATGTAGAATTTTGGGGGGAAATGGGGAAAAAAACCTGAGCAGCGGAGGCCGAACCACAGCGGGGGCAGGAATTTAATGGATTTATTTGGAATTCAGTGGGATTTTTTCAGGATTTCACAGATTTTTTCAGGATTTCTCCATTTCTTCGGGGGTTTTGTTTTGGATTTTGGATTTATTTTGGATTTTTTGCCCCAAACCTGAGCTCTGGAGGCCGAGCCCGCGGCGGGGCCGGGATTTTAATGAGATTTTAATGGGATTTAATGGGATTTAATGGGATTTTTTACAGGATTTCTCAATTTCTTTGGGGTTTTTTGTGAGTTTGGATTTATTTTGGATTTATTTTGGATTTTTTTGCCCCAAACCTGAGCTCTGGAGGCCGAGCCCGCAGCGGGGGCAGCGCTGGCAGCCGGCGGGGCCGGGCCGGGGCAGGACGGAGCCGCACTCGGGGCAGAACTCGGGGCGGGAGCGGAACCGGCCCGGGGGCTCCATCCTGGGGGGAACAGCGGCTCAGAGCGCCGAAAACAGCCCGAAATGCACCAAAAATACAGCAAAAACTACCAAAAAAATACAGCAAAAATTACCCAAATAATACAGCAAAAACTACCCAAAAAATACACCAAAAATACTGCAAAAATTATCCAAATAATACAGCAAAAACAGCCCAGAAATTACCCCAAAATACAGCAAAAACAGCCCCAAAATTACCTAAAACCAGGCCCAAAAATGAAGCAAAAACTACCCCAAAGCAGCCCCAAAAAGCACACCAAAACCAGCCCAGGAATACACCAAAAAAAGCCCAAAAATAGCCCCAAAACTACACCAAAAATGCACCAAAAAGGGCCCAAAAAAAACCCGAAAATCACCCAAAAATTACCCCAAAAACAACCCAAAAATTACCCCAAAAGCACCCCGGAAATACGCCAAAAACACCCGAAAAATGCACCTAAAATTCCCTCAAATCCCCCCAAAATTCCCAAACTTTCCCAAATTCTCCCCAGAAATCCCAAATTTCCTCCAAAATCCACCAAAAATTTCCCCAAAATTCCCCAGAAATCTGCCCCCCCTTACCTCCCCTCCCCCCCAAAATTCCCAAAATTTCCTCCAAAAACACCCAAAAAATCCCAAAATTTCCCCGAATTCCCCCCAAAAATCCCAAATTTCCCCCAAAAAAACCCAAAATCTTCACAAAATTAAGCCCCTTCCCCCTCTGCCTCCCCTCCTGCCCAAAATTAACAAAAAAATCCCAAAATTTCCCAAAAATCCCAAAAACTCTCCCAAAATCCGCGCCGGCCCCTCCCCCACCTCCTCCCGGCGCCGTGAGGGAACTTTCGCAAGCCCCGCCTCTTCCTCTGACGTCACTTCCGCTTCCTTAGCAACCCGGAAGCGGCGGCGGAGAGCGTCTAATTGACAGCGAATTTATTAATTAATGAGTTAATTAACCAGAGGAGGTGTGGCTTAAGGAGAGAGGAGTGGTTTAATGAGGGGGCGTGCTTTAAATTTGTTTAAGAGACGGCGTGGCTCCCAAACGGTTTGAGGCCGCCTCATTTGCATAAACTCCGCGTCTTGGCGCGCTCTGATTGGCCGGCTGGCGGTGTAGGGGGCGTGGCGTGGCCGTTGCCATGGCGACGCTTCCGCTGCGGGCGGACCGGAAGTGGCGGCGCTCGCGGGAAGGCGCCGCCGGTACGGGCGGGGGGGGGGGGGGGGCCGGGACGGGATTTTGGCTGAAATTTGGGGATTTTTGGGACTTTTTGGGATTTTTGGGGGATCCCGGGATTGGGGGGACAACCCGGAGGTGCTGGGAGGGGGGAGGGGCGGCGGGCGGGGCCGGTTTGGGGTTTTTTTTTGGATTTTTGGGGTTCGGAGCCTTCTCTGAGGGGAGGGGCTGAACCCCAAAATGGCGGCGGGGGGGGGGGGAGGAATTTTGGGGGTTTTTTTGGGGATTTTGGGGTTTTGTTTGGAGGGAATTTGGGGGGGATTTTGGGATTATTTTTTGGGGGGATTATTGGGATTTTTTAGGGTATTTTTTGGGGGGGTTGGGGGGGTTTTGGGTTTATTTGGAATTTTTGGCTGATTTTAGGGTTTTTTTGAGGGATTTATTTTGGGTGTTTTCAGGATTTTTTGGGGTTTTTTTGGGAGGATTTGTTTGGATTTTTGGGGCGGGGGATTTTGGGATTTTTTTGAGGGAATTTTTTGGGGGATTTTTTGAGAGCATTTTGGGAATTTGGGGGATTTATTTGGATTTTTTAGGAGATTTTTTGGGGAGATTTTGGACCTTTTGGAAGGGATTTATTGGGATTTTTTTGGGGGATTTATTGGGTTTTTTTGGGGTGTTTTGGGGTTTTTTTTTGGGGGGGATTTTTTTGGATTTTTTTGGGTTTTAATTTTAATATTTTTGGAGTTTTTGGTTTTTCATAGCTCGGGGTTTTCCATCTGACCCCTCCCCCAATTCAGAATTTTGGGAATTTTCATTTTTTCCTATTTTTGTTGTTTTCCCCCAGGAACTCCCGGCCCCTCCCCCCTCCAGGAGCTCCAAATTCCGGAATTTTCCCCCAAAAATTCGGGGGGGGGAGGGGGAAGCCGGAGCCGGAGCCCCCTCCCCCACTCAGCTGCAGGTGAGGCGGAAATGGGGAAAAAATGGGGGAAATTGGGAAAAAATTGGGGAAATTTGGAAAAAATGGGGAAAAAATGGGGAATTTTGGGGTAAAATAGAGGAAACCGGGGGGGAAATGGGGGAAAAACCAAAAAAGAAGGGGGGAAATGGGGAAATTTGGGGAAAAATGGGGAAAAATAAGGAGAAAAATTGGAATTTATGGGGAAAAATGGGGGGGAATGGGGAAAAAATAGGGGAAAACAGGAAAAAAGGGAATTTGGGGGGGAAATGGGGAAACGGAGAAAAAATGGGGGGAAAATAGGAATTTTGGGGAAAACATGGGGAAAACCGGGGAGAAAAAGGGAAAAAATGGGGAAAATTGAAAAAAAAGGGGAAAAATGGGAAAAAATGGGAAAAAAAAAGGGGAATTTGGGGGAAAAAATGGGGGAAACCAGCAGGAAAATGGGGACAAAAAAGAAAAAATGGGGGGAAATGGGAAAAATGGGGGGAACTGGGGGAAAAATTGGGGAGAAGATTGGAAAAAAGGGGAATTTTTGGGAAAATTGGGGTCAAAGGGGCATTTTGGGGGGAAAATGTGGAAAAAAGGGAATTTTGGGGGAAAACGGGGAGAAAAATTGGAATTTCGGGGGAAAAAGGAGAAATGGGAAAAAACTTGGGGTTTTAGAGGAAAAATGGGAATTTTGGGGAAAAAAGTGGGAAAATTTGGCATTTTGGCCAAAAAAAAGGGGGAAAAAGGAAAGAATGGGGAAAAAATTACATTTTGAAGAAAAAAATTGGGAAAAACTGGAAATAAAGGAGAAAAAAATTTGGTCTCAGCCTGGATTTGCCCAAAATTTGGGATTTTTTCCCTCAAAATCTGAATTATCTTGGATTTTCCCAGAATTTGGGAATTTTGTGGTGACAAAAATGGAAATGAATACAGAATTTGCCCAAAATTTGGGATTTTCACCCAAAATCTGAATGATTTTGCATTTTTCTTCTGATTTTGGGGATTTTTGGCTGACAAAAATTGGAATTAATGGGGAATTTTTGGCTAAAAATCCTCAAAAACTCAAAAATTTTGGGATTTTTCACCCCCTAAGCTCCTCGAGGAAGGGGAAAAAAGGAGAAAAAATTAAATTTCCACTGAAAAATCTCAATTTTGGGGGGATTTGAGGCGATTTCATCACTTGGCCGCTGCCCAGAGGGGAAGGAAAATTCCAAATTCGCTGAGTCAGCAGCTCCAGCTGCAGCCCCGGCCACGCTCGGGGCAAAACTCCCCAAATTTGGGCAAAAATCCCAAAATTTGGGCAAAACTCCCATTTTTTTTGGCAAAACTCCCAATTTTTGGAGCAAAACCCCCAATTTTTGGAGTAAAAATCTCAAATTTTGGACAAAAACCCCCCAGATTTGGGGTCAAATCTTAGCAAATTTCCAGATTTCGGTTCAAAAATCCCAAATTTCGAAGAAATCCCAGAATTTCGGGGTGAAATTTTAGGATTTTGGCGCAGGTAATTCCCCCCCAATTTTTCCTTCTTGATTTTTCTCGTTCCAATCTGATTTTTCTCTTTTTTCCCTACTTTTTTCTCTCTTTTTGTTCCCTCTTTTCCTGCTTTTTTTGGGTGTTTTGTCCCCATTTTTGGGCTGTTTTTTTCTCAGGGAATCCCCGCCAACTTCTCCCTTCTCTCTTTTCCCAAAAATTCCGATTTTTCTCCTCTTTTTTTCCTCTTTTTTTCCCATTTTCCCCTCCTTTTTTTTCCCCTTTTCTTGTTTTTTTGGGGCAATTTTTGGGGATTTTGGACCATTTTAATTCCCCCAGGTTTTCCCTTCTCCCCCCGCCCCTCTGGCCCCAATTTTTTTTATAAAATCCGGTTTTTTGGCTTTTTTTGCCCCTTTAATTCCCTTTTCCGGTGCTGACGTGGCCAGGGCAGAGTTTAACCCTTGAGCTCCCGCACTGGAGCAACCCCAGAGAAATTCTCTTTTTTTCCCTTTTTTTTTTTTAATTTTCCTGCATTTTTTTCCAATTTTCCAGGTTTTTTAAACTCTCTCATATTCCCCCATTTTTTTAACCCTTCCCGAGTTTTTATTTTTCCTTTTTTTCTGAAACTTTGTAACCCTTTCCTATATGTTTTCCTCTTATTTCATATTTTTTAATTTTAAAAATGAAATTCAATTCCTTAAAGTTGAATTTTAACACTGAAATTAATATTTAATAAGATTAAAAATTAAATTTTAACAGGATCGGACTCTGCCCTTGAATTCCAGATCGGTGAGGGCTGAATTTGTTTTTTTCTATTTTTTTAAGGATTTTTGCCTCATTTTAAACAGAATTTTAAGGAATTTTTAGGATCTTTTTCACCGTCAGTGAAATTTGGGGTGAGAACCTTAAATTTCAATTTTTTCTGATTTTTAAAAATAACTCTGGGGCATTTTAAAGGGAATTTTTGTCAATTTTTTAATTTTGGGGGCTTTTTTTTTTATATTTGATTTATTTTTATTTCTTTCATCCACAACGTTTCAGTTCCTCTTTTGGAAGGGATTTTGGGGGTAAAAAAGGGAATTTTGGGGCCTGGGATTTGGGGCTTCTTTTGTACCCATAATTCAAAAACTGTGACTTTCCCCTCCATTTTTAACTCCAAATTTCTCTTTTCCCACCTTTTTTGACCCTATTTTTAACCCCAAATTTCACTTCCCCCCACTTCTAACCCCAGATTTCCTTTTCCCTCATTTTTATCTCCAAATTTCTTTTTTTAATCCAATTTTCTCTTTTTTTAATCCAATTTTCTCTTTTTTTAATCCAATTTTCTCTCTTTTAACCCCAAATTCTTCTCTTTCACCGCGCAATTTCCCTTTTCACCCCGAAATTTCTCATTTTTTCCCCCAAATTCCCCTTTTTCCCCCCAAATTCCCTTTTTCCCCCAAATCCCCCTTTCCCCCCAAACTCCCCGTTTTTAACCCAATCCCCCTTTCCCCCCAAACTCCCCGTTTTTAACCAAACTCCCCGTTTCTAACCCAAATCCCCTTTTCCCCCAAACTCCCCTTTTTCCCCCAAACTCCCCGTTTTTAACCCAAATTCCCTTTCCCTCCAAACTCCCCGTTTTTAACTCAAATCCCCGTTTTTAACCAAACTCCCCGTTTCTAACCCAAATCCCCTTTTCCCCCAAACTCCCCTTTTCCCCAAACTCCCCGTTTTTAACCCAAATCCCCCTTTCCCCCCCAAATCCCCTTTTCCCCCAAACTCCCCGTTTTTAACCCAAATCCCCCTTTCCCCCAAACTCCCCGTTTTAACCCAAACTCCCCATTTTTAACCCAAATCCCCTTTTCCCCCAAACTCCCCGTTTCTAACCCAATCTCCCTTTCCCCCAAACTCCCCGTTTTTAACCCAAATCCCCTTTTTCCCCCAACTCCCCGTTTTTCCCCAAACTCCCCGTTTTTAACCCAAATCCCCTTTTTCCCCAAACTCCCCGTTTTCCCCCCAAATCCCCTTTTTCCCCCAAACTCCCCGTTTTTAACCAAACTCCCCGTTTTTAACCCAATCTCCCTTTCCCCCAAACTCCCCGTTTTTAACCAAACTCCCCGTTTCTAACCCAAATCCCCGTTTTTAACCAAACTCCCCGTTTTTAACCAAACTCCCCGTTTCTAACCCAAATCCCCGTTTTTAACCAAACTCCCCGTTTTTAACCAAACTCCCCGTTTCTAACCCAATCTCCCCTTTCCCCCAAACTCCCCGTTTTTCCCCAAACTCCCCGTTTCTAACCCAATCTCCCCTTTCCCCCAAACTCCCCGTTTTTAACCAAACTCCCCGTTTCTAACCCAAATCCCCGTTTTTAACCAAACTCCCCGTTTCTAACCCAAATCCCCGTTTCTAACCCAAATCCCCTTTTACCCCCCAAACTCCCCGTTTTTCCCCAAACCCCCCATTTCTAACCCAAATCTCCCTTTTCCCCCCACAGGCGCATGTGAAGGATGCTGCGGCAGGGCCGCCGGGCGCTGCTGGCCGCGGCGCTGTTCCTGGCCTGGCACGGGCTGCTGCTGCTGTTCCTGTGGGGCCGCCCGGGGGCGCCGCCGAGCGCGCGGCTCCGCGCCGAGGCCGCTGCAGGGGAGGGGGCGCGGCTGCTGCCGGCGCAGCTGCTGCGGCTGGCGCAGGACGCCGAGGCCGAGCTGCGGCTGCAGCGCGACCTGCTGCTGCAGATCCAGCGCCTGCGCCGCCACAAACCGCCGCCCAAACCCACCCAAAAACCCACCCAAAAACCGCCCAAACCCACCCAGAACACCCCCCGGCCCGCCGAGCCGCCGGTGATCCCGGTGCTGGTGCTGGCCTGCGACCGCAGCTCGGTGCGGCGCTGCCTGGATAAAATCCTGCGCTACCGGCCCAGCGCGCGGCGCTTCCCGGTCATCGTCTCGCAGGACTGCGGCCACGCCGAGACGGCCGCGGTCATCGCCTCCTACGGCGCCGCCGTGGCGCACATCCGCCAGCCCGACCTCAGCGACGTGCCGGTGCCGCCGGAGCACCGAAAGTTCCAGGGCTACTACCGAATCTCCCGGCACTACCGCTGGGCGCTGGGCCAGGTGTTCCGCACCTTCCGCTACCGCGCCGCCATCGTGGTGGAGGACGACTTGGAGGTGGCGCCAGATTTCTTCGAGTATTTCCAGGCGGTTTTGCCGCTGCTGGAGGAGGATCCCACGCTCTGGTGCGCCTCGGCGTGGAACGACAACGGCAAGGAGGGTCTGGTGGACGCCGGGCGCGCCGAGCTCCTGTACCGCACCGATTTCTTCCCCGGCTTGGGCTGGCTGCTGCTGGCCGAGCTGTGGGACGAGCTGGAGCCCAAATGGCCGCCGGCGTTTTGGGACGATTGGATGAGGCGGCCGGAGCAGCGGCGCGGCCGCGCCTGCGTCCGGCCGGAGGTGTCCAGGACGATGACCTTCGGCCGCAAGGGCGTCAGCCACGGCCAGTTCTTCGACCAGTACCTAAAATTCATCAAACTCAACGACCGCTTCGTGCCTTTCACCCAACTGGACCTTTCTTACCTCAAGCGCGAGGCCTACGAGCGCTCCTTCCTGCCGCAGGTCTACGGCGCGCCCGAGATCCGCCTGGAGCAGCTGCAGGAGGAGCCGGCGCCGGGCCCGGGCCCCGTGCGGCTCCAGTACCGCGGCCGCGACTCCTTCAAGGCCTTGGCCAAAGCCTTGGGCTTGATGGACGACCTCAAATCCGGCGTCCCCCGCGGCGGCTACCGCGGCGTGGTCAGCCTGGTGTGCCGCGGCCGCCGCGTCTTCCTGGCGCCGCCCTCGGACTGGACGGGCTACGACCCCTCCTGGAGCTGAGCGGGGTTTTTTGGGGGAGTTCCGGTGGTTTTATGGGTTTTTTTGGGGGGGATTTCATTGGATTTGTTGTTTTTCCTTCGGGGGGAGTTTTGCAGAATAAAAAAAAAATGAGAAACGCTGCGGGGGATGATAGGCATTGTCCCATCTGAGTTCTGCGTCAACGCCCTTCCCATCGGGTTAAAAATCGGTTAAATTGGGTAAATTCCAGTGGTTGAAAAGCATTTTTCAGGGCTAAATTTGGCGTTCTTTTTGGGGGGTTTTTGCAGGATAAAAAGGTGAGAAATGCTGCAAGGGAGTAGGGGCGTTCTCCCCTCTGAATTCTGTGTCCCCATCAAGTTAAAGATGGGTAAAATTGGTTAAATTCCAGTGGTTGAAACGCGGCTTTCAGGGCTAAATTTGGATTTTTTTTTGGGGAGGCTCGTGGGGTTCTCAGGAGTCGGACACGGGGCAGGAATTTTCCAGAATAAAAGGCTAAAAACTGGGGGATTCTCCCCACAAAACCCCGCGTTTGTTTCGCTGCCACGCCTGTCTGGATTCCACCCCAAAATTCAGGCATGGAAAAAGCCCCTTTTGGGTTGAAATTTGGTTTTTTTAGTGAAGCCAGGACTTTGGAACCAAGGCGGGATTTGGGAGCGCTGGGGACACCCTCAGGTGCCCAAATCGGATTAAATCTGCGCCAATCCAGGCGGGAATTCCCAGTGCCAATTCCAGGGGGGACTTTCAGGAGGAAATTCCCAAATTTTGGCAATCCCAGGGTCGGGAACATCCCCGGGGTCCCACCAGGAGCCGCTTCAGGGTTTGGTACCACTCTCAGGCATTCCCTGAGTGCTGCGGGGGGATCCTGGCTCCATCCATCAGCGATTCCTTGGGATTTGGGGGCATTTTGGGGCATTCTGGAACATTCCAGAGCATTTCCGAACGCTCCGGCCCCGTTCGTCTCCCGCCATTTGAGCGGCACTCACCCCTCACAGCTCTTTATATACCCCGCGCGGATCCCGCTCAAACCGCACCGCTCATCCTGATTGGCTGCAGGCCCCGTCACTCTTTGTTTCTCGCGCGCTCATTGGTCAGAGCGGCGCTGAGGGGCGATCCCCCTTTATTCCCTCACGGCCCCGATCTCGGCGCGGATTTTTCGTCTTTTGCCTCGTTATTTTATTTATGTCTTTGTTTAACTCCTGTGAGGCGCCCCCGGTGTCCCCCGCGCTCCCTTGGCAGCAGCAGCCCGGCCCTTCCCCTGGGCCCGCTTCTCCCCCGCCATTTTTGGGCTTCTTGCCCCTCACAAACCCCCCACCCCATGCCGAGCCCGCCCCTCGCTCCTATTGGCTGGTTTTTCCCTCCCAAACCGCACCGCTCATCCGGATTGGCTGCACGCTCCGTCATTCTTTGTTTCTCGCCCCCTGATTGGTCAGAGAGGCGCTAAGGGGCGATCCCCCTTTATTCCCTCACGGCCCAAATCCTTCTTTAAATTTTTATTTTTATTTTATTTTTATTTATTTTTTTTGCGTTAAATTCCCGTGAAGCAGCCCCGGTGACGGAGGAGAGCGGGGAGGGGATGAAGAAGAGGAGGAGGAGAGCGGGTGGGGATGAAGATGAGGAGGAGGAGAAGAGCGGGTGGGATGAAGATGAGGAGGAAGAGGAGAGCGGGTGGGGATGAAGATGAGGAAGAGCACGGGCTGAGGATGAAGATGAAGATGAGGAGGAGCAGGAGGAGAACGGGCTGGGGATGAAGGTGAGGAGGAGGAGAAGAGCGGGTGGGGATGAAGATGGGGAGGAGGAGGAGGAGGAGAGAGGGTGGGGATGAAGATGAGGAGGAGGAGGAGGAGAGCGAGTGGGGATGAAGATGATGAGGAGGAGGAAGAGCAGGCTGGGGAGATGAAGATGAGGAGGAGAAGCGCGGGCTGGGAATGAAGATGAGGAAGAGGAGGAGGAGGAGGAGCAGGGTGGGGATGAAGATGAAGAGGAGGAGGAGGAGGAGGGGGAGGAAGAGCAGGCTGGGGATGAAGATGAGGAGGAGAAGCGCGGGCTGAGGACGAAGATGAGGATGAAGAGGAGGAGGAGGAGGAGGAAGATCTGAGGATGAAGATGATGAGGAGGAAGATCTGAGGATGAAGATGATGAGGAGGAGGAGGAGGAAGATCTGAGGACGAAGATGAAGAGGAAGAGGAGGAGGAGGAAGATCTGAGGATGAAGATGAGGAGGAGGAGGAAGATCTGAGGACGAAGATGATGAGGAGGAGGAGGAGGAAGATCTGAGGACGAAGATGAAGAGGAAGAGGAGGAGGAGGAGGAAGATCTGAGGATGAAGATGATGAGGAAGAGGAAGAGGAGGAGGATGAGGAGGAGGATGAGGAGGAGGAGGAGGAAGGAGCGGCCCCGCCCCGGGGGCGGCACTTCCTGGGTCAGCGGCGGCGGCTCCGCTCGGAGCGGCCGCGGGCCCGGGGGGGTCCCGGGGGGTCCCGGGGGGGTCCGGGGGGGGGCCCGGGGGTTCCTGGGGGGGGTCCCGGGGGGTCCCGAGCCCCCCGTGCCCGGCCCGGGCCGAGCGGAGGCGGCGGCGCCATGCAGGAGAGCTACGAGGCGCTGATGCTGCTGGGTGAGACCCCTCCCCAAAATACCCCTCCCCAAATTCCTCCTCATCCCCAAAATACCCCTCCCCAAATCCCCCTCATCCCCAAAATACCCCTCCCCAAATTCCTCCTCCCCAAATCCCCCTCCTCAAATCCCCCTCATCCCCAAATCCCCCTCATCCCCAAAATCCCCTCCCCAAATCCCCCTCATCCCCAAAATACCCTCCCCAAATCCCCCTCATCCCCAAAATACCCTCCCCAAATCCCCCTCATCCCCAAATCCCCCTCCTCAAATCCCCCTCATCCCCAAATTCCTCCGCCTCAAATCCCCCTCCTCCCCAAAATCCCCTCCCCAAAATACCCCTCCTCAAATCCCCCTCATCCCCAAATCCCCCTCCCCAAATACCCCTCCTAAAATCCCCCTCATCCCCAAAATCCCCTCCCCAAATACCCCTCCCCAAAATCTCCTCCCCAAATCCCCCCCTCCCCAAAATACCCCTCCTCAAATCCCCCTCATCCCCAAAATACCCCTCCCCAAAATCCCCTCCCCAAAACCCTCCCCCCAAAATAATCCCCTCCAAAATCCCCCTCCCCAAATTCCTCCTCCAAAATTCTCCTACAAAATCCCCCTCCTCAAAATAATTCCCCCAAAATTCCCGGCCCCAAAATCCTGTCCCCAAAATAACCCCCCCAAAATCCTGTCCCCAAAATAGCCCCCCCTGATTTTCCAGGTTTTGGGGTTTTTTGGCAGATTTCCCGTCTGATTTTACCATTTTTGGGGTTTTTGGGGCAGATTTCCCCTCCGATTTCCCGTTTTTGGTGTTTTGGGGCAGATTTACCCTCCGATTTCCCGTTTTTGGGTTTTTTGGCAGATTTCCCCTCTGATTTCCTGTTTTTTGGCAGATTTCCCCTCTGATTTCCCGTTTTTGGGGCAGATTTCCGCTCTGATTTCCTGTTTTTGGCGTTTTTTGGCAGATTTCCCCTCTGATTTCCCGTTTTTGGGGCAGATTTCCCCTCTGATTTCCCGTTTTTGGGTTTTTTGGCAGATTTCCCCTCTGATTTCCCGTTTTTGGGGCAGATTTCCCCTCTGATTTCCCGTTTTTTGGCAGATTTCCCCTCTGATTTCCCGTTTTTGGGTTTTTTGGCAGATTTCCCCTCTGATTTCCCGTTTTTGGGGCAGATTTCCCCTCTGATTTCCCGTTTTTTGGCAGATTTCCCCTCTGATTTCCCGTTTTTGGGTTTTTTTGGCAGATTTCCCCTCAGATTTCCCGTTTTTGGGGCAGATTTCCGCTCTGATTTCCCGTTTTTGGGTTTTTTGGCAGATTTCCGCTCTGATTTCCCGTTTTTGGGGTTTTTGGCAGATTTCCCCTCTGATTTCCCGATTTTGGGGTTTTTGGGCAGATTTCCCCTCTGATTTTCCATTTTTGGGTTTTTTTGGCAGATTTCCCCTCTGATTTCCCGTTTTTGGGGTTTTTTGGCAGATTTCCCCTCTGATTTTCCCGTTTTGGTGTTTTGGGGCAGATTTCCCCTCTGATTTCCCGTTTTTGGGGTTTTTTGGCAGATTTCCCCTCTGATTTCCCGTTTTTGGGGCAGATTTCCCCTCTGATTTCCCGTTTTTGGGGTTTTTTGGCAGATTTCCCCTCTGATTTCCCGTTTTTTGGCAGATTTACCCTCTGATTTCCCATTTTTGGGTTTTTGGGGCAGATTTCCCCTCTGATTTCCCGTTTTTGGGGTTTTGGTGCAGATTTCCCCTCTGATTTCCCATTTTTGGGTTTTTTTGGCAGATTTCCCCTCTGATTTCCCGTTTTCGGCATTTTTTTGGCAGATTTCCCCTCTGATTTCCCGTTTTTGGGTTTTTTGGCAGATTACACCTCTGATTTCCCGTTTTTTGGCAGATTTCCCCTCTGATTTCCCGTTTTTGGGTTTTTTGGCAGATTTCCCCTCTGATTTCCCGTTTTTTGGCAGATTTCCCCTCTGATTTCCCGTTTTTGGGTTTTTTGGCAGATTTCCCCTCTGATTTCCCGTTTTTTGGCAGATTTCCCCTCTGATTTCCCGTTTTTTGGCAGATTTCCCCTCTGATTTCCCGTTTTTGGGGCAGATTTCCCCTCTGATTTCCCGTTTTTTGGCAGATTTCCCCTCTGATTTCCCGTTTTTGGGTTTTTTGGCAGATTTCCCCTCTGATTTCCCGTTTTTTGGCAGATTTCCCCTCTGATTTCCCGTTTTTTGTCAGATTTCCGGTCTGATTTCCCATTTCTGGCGTTTTTTGGCAGATTTCCCCGTCGCCAGGCCCAACCTCGTGTCCCGGCCGGAGCCCGAGGAGGAGTTGGGGGTGCCGGACCCCAACGACTCGAAGGAGTGGCAGATCCTCAGGGTGGCCCCCCCAGGTGAGCCCCGACCCCCTTTCCTTCCTCATTTTTATCCCCAAATCCCTTTTTTTTTCCTTTATCCCCTTTTTTTTTCCCCTCATACATTTTATCTTTTTTATTCCCTTTTTTGCTCCTCATCCCTTTTTTCCCCTTTATCCCCTTTTCCCCAAATTCTCTATTTCCCCCATTTTTTCCCCAAATCCCTTTTTTCTCCTTTATTCCCGTTTATTTTCTCCCCATCCCCCTTTTTCCCCAAATCCCTTTTCCCCCTTATCCCCCTTTTTTTTTCTCACATTTCCACATTATTTTCCCCATTTTTCCCCATTTCCCCCACCCCAAATTTTCCCTCTTTTCCCCAAATTTCCTCCGAATTTTCCCATTATCCCCCATTCCCACCGATTACCCCAAATCTCCCCAAATTCCGCCAAATTCCCTCCGAATTTTCCCATCATCCCCCACTCCCACCGATTACCCCAAATTTCCCCAAATTTTCCCAAATTCCCCCAAATTCCCTCCGAATTTTCCCATCATCCCCCATTCCCACAGATTACCCCAAATTTCCCCAAATTCCCCCAAATTTCCGCTCTCCGCAGACTCCGCCCCCCCGAGCGACGATGACTCCGCCCCCGCCGATGACTCCGCCCCCGAGGCCGAAGTCTCCGCCCCTCCCCCCACGCCCGACTCCCTCCTCCTCCTCCTCCTCCCCTCCCCCTCCCCGTCCCCTCCCCCCGCCCCGCCCCTCCCCCCTCCGGGTGGGCGTGGCTCCCGCCGGGGGCGTGGCCTCCGCGCTCACCTGGGCCGCCGCGCGCACCTGGGCGGGTTCGGCCACGCCCCCCCGCCGGCCACGCCCACACAGCGGCCACGCCCCCCGGGGAGGGGCCAACGGGGGCGGGGCCAGCGGGGGCGGGGCGCTCACCTGAGCCCCCTCACCTGCGCGGAGTGTGGGCGGGGCTTCCGCTACAGCTCCGCCCTCCTGAAGCACCGCCACGCCCACGGGGAGGAGCCCGAGGGCCGCCGGAGGAGGAGGAGGAGGAGGAAGGCGGCGCCCGGGCACACCTGCGGCCGCTGCGGGGCGGGGCTGGGGCGGGGACACGCCCTCCTGGCGCACCTGAGCGGCCACGCCCCAGACACGCCCCTGCGCTGGGACACGCCCCCGGGCTGTGACACGCCCACCGGTGACACGCCCCTCACCTGTGACACACCTGGCGTCTGTGACACGCCCCTCACCTGTGACACGCCACTCACCTGTGACACGCCCCTGGGCTGGGACACGCCCACCATGGGGGACACGCCCACAGGTGACACGCCCCTCACCTGTGACACGCCTGAGGTTGGGGCCACGCCCCTCACCTGCGCGGATTGTGGGAGGGGCTTCGGGGGAAGCTCCGCCCTCATCCGGCACCAGCGGCTGCACCTGGGCTGAACGGACCGGAACTGGAACCGGAACCGGAACCGGAACCAGGACTGGGAAAATCCGGAACCGGGGAGAATCCAGAACTGGAACCGGGACCAGGGAAACTCCGGCACGGGAACTGGGACCTGGACCTGAACTGGGACCAGGCAAAATACGGAACCGGGACCGGGACCGGGACTGGGAAAGAACCAGAACCAGGACTGGAACCGGAACCGGGACCAGGGAAAATCCGGAACCGGAACTGGAACCAGAACCGGGACCAGGGAAACTCCGGAACTGGAACTGGGGACCTGGACTGGGGCCAGGGAAACTCTGGAACTGGAACTGGGACTGGGACACAGCCAGAACCAGGACTGGAACCAGAACCGGGACTGGAACCGGAACCGGAACCGGGACTGGAACCGGGACTGGGGAAACTCCAGAACTGGAACTGGGACCAAGAAAACTCCGGAACCGGAACTGGGACCTGGACTGGGAAACAACTGGAACTGGATTCCTCTGGAACCAGACCGGGACCGGAACCGGGACTGGGAAACCTCCGGAACCGGGACCGGGGCCCCCCCCGGGCCGGTGGGGCAGGAGGGGAAAGGACTCGGGGACGTTTCCGTGCCCGCGGTTTGGGGGGGGCCCAGGACCCCCAGATCCGTTCCAGCCCCCCCCGATCCATTCCGGACCTTTGGAATCCATTCCTGACCTTTGGAATCCATTCTGAACCCCCAAAAATCCATTCCGGACCTCCCAAAACCCATTCCGGACCTCTGAAATCCATTCCAGACTTCCCAAATCCATTTTGGACACCCCAAATCCATTCCGGACCTCCCAAATCCATTCCAGACTTCCCAAATCCATTCTGGACCCCCAAAAATCCATTCCGGGCCACTTTGAATCCATTCCGGACCCCCAAAAATCCATTCCGGGCCACTTTGAATCCATTCCGGACCTCCCAAAATCCATTCCGGACCTCTGAAATCCATTCCAGACCTCCAGAATCCATTCCAGCCCCCCCAAAATCCATCCCGGACCCCCCGAATCCATTCCGGACCTTTGGAATCCATTCCGGACACCCCAAATCCATTCCAGACCTCCCAAATCCATTCCAGACTTCCGAAATCCATTCTGGACCCCCAAAAATCCATTCCGGACCTCTGAAATCCATTCCAGACCTCCCAAATCCATTCCAGACCACCCTGAATCCATTCCAGACTTCCCAAATCCATTCCGGACCCCCAAAAATCCATTCCGGACCTCTGAAATCCATTCCAGACCTCCAGAATCCATTCCAGCCCCCCCAAAATCCATTCCGGACCCCCCGAATCCATTCCGGACACCCCAAATCCATTCCAGACTTCCCAAATCCATTCCAGACTTCCGAAATCCATTCTGGACCCCCAAAAATCCATTCCGGACCACTTTGAATCCATTCCGGACACCCCAAATCCATTCCGTACCTCTGAAATCCATTTCAGACCTCCAGAATCCATTCCGGACCTTTGGAATCCATTCCTGACCCAGGGAATCCATCCCGGGCCACCCTGAATCCATTCCAGACCTCTGAAATCCGTTCCAGCCCCCCCAAAATCCATCCCGGACCCTCGGCTGACCCCTCCCCTCCCCCGCTCCGCTGCTCGGGACCCCTCCGGTGTCACCGGGGGGGACAAAAATTGGGGAAAACGACCCCAAAATCTCCTGGGGGGGGTGTCCCGCCCCTCCCCCACAGTAAAGACCCTCCATGTCCGCCGGCCGCAGTGGGATCTGTGCCCCTCCCCCTCCCCAAAAAACAATTTGGGATTTTGGGGAGGGGTCGCGGTGGGGGAGGGGTCGTGGTGGGGGAGGGGGGGTGGGCACAGCGCTAAAACCGCCCCTCCCCCCCCCCCATAAATGAAACCGGGCTGAATTTTAGGGGGTGGGGGCGGGGCCTGGGGGTTTTGGGGGGGTCTTTTCACCCCCTCCCCCCACCCCACCCCCATAAAAACATTTCGGGGAGGGGTCGCGGTGGGGGAGGGGTCGCGGTGGGGGAGGGGGGGATGGGCACAGCGCTAAACCCGCCCCTCCCCCATTAAATCGAACCGGGTTAAATTTTGGGCGGTGGGGGCGGGGCTGGCGAGGCGGGGGCGGGGCCTGGGGGGGGGGGGGGTCTGTCCGCCCCCTCCCCCTCCCCAATTCCCCCTCCCCTCCCCCCCCCGGGGGTTGAACTTCCTGGGTCAGCGCCGCCGCCTTCCCATTGTCCGAGCGGCGGCGGCGGCGGGGGCGGCCCGGGGGTCGCGGGACCCCCCCCGGCTCCTCCGGGGCTGTTTTTGGGGCGTTTCGGGTTTTTTGGGGTTGGTTGATTTTGATTTTTATTTTTTTGGGGGCGTTTCGGGTTTTTTGGGGTTGGTTGATTTTGATTTTTATTTTTTTGGGGGCGTTTCGGGTTTTTTGGGGTTGGTTGATTTTTATTTCTATTTTTTTGGGGGCGCGGCGATGTCGCCGAAGCGCTGGAGGGGTGGGGGAGGGGAAGGGGGGACCCCGGAGGGGGAGGGGCGGGGGGGGGGAGCCCCCGGGGGGCTGGGGGGGGATGGGGGGAGGGGCGGGAGGAAGAGGAAGGGGACGGTGGCGGTGCGGAGGGGGGCGGGGGGCGCGGAGCACCCGAATATCTGCGTGGAGTGCGGGCAGAGCTTCGCCCGCAGCGCCGCGCTGGCCGCGCACCGCACTGACCACAGCGCTGACCACAGCACTGACCACAGCACTGACCACAGCACTGACCGCAGCACTGACCACAGCACTGACCACAGCAGCGGTCAGCAGAGGGGCTCCGGACACCGCACTGACCACAGCACTGACCACCGCACTGACCGCAGCACTGACCACAGCAGCGGTCAGCAGAGGGGCTCCGGACACAGCAGTGACCACAGCAGCGGTCAGCAAAGGGGCTCCGGACACGGCTCTGGACACGGCACTGACCACAGCAGCGGTCAGTGGGACTCCGGACAGAGGAGTGACCACAGCAGCGGTCAGCAAAGGGGCTCCGGACACTGCAGTGACCACAGCAGCGGTCAGCAGGATTGTGGCAGTGGTCAGCGGGGTGGAACTGGACAGAGTGACCACAGCCGTGGTCAGCGGTGCGGCTCAGGACAGCCAGACCACAATGACCACAACTCCAACCACTCCCAGCGGCTCAAGGCTGACCGCTGGCCCCACGCCGACGTCCAGTGTCCACTCTCCGGCCAAACCCTGGTGCCACACCGGCCCCACGAGTGCAACGACTGCGGCCAACGCCTGGAGGCACCGGGAAAACCGCAACGCGCCAAAACCACCAAAAACGACAACAAAAGCCTCAAAAGTGGCGGCAAAACCACCAAAAACGATGCCAAAAGTGGTGTTGAAAGCATCAAAAGTGGTGCCGAAAGCATCAAAAGTGGCGTTGAAAGTGCCAAAAGTGGTTCCAAAAGCGGCGCTAAAACCGTCAAAAGTGGCGTTGAAAGCATCAAAAGTGGTGCCGAAAGTGGCGTCAAAACCGCCGAAAGTGGTGCCAAAAGCGATGTCAAAAGTGGTGTCAAAACTGTCAAAAGTGGTGCCGAAAGCGTCAAAAGTGGCACCGAAAGCGGCGTCAAAAGCACCAAAATTGGCACCGAAAGCGCCAAAAGTGGCACCAAAACCACCAAAAGCGGCACCAAAACCACCAAAAGTGGCACCAAAACCACCAAAAGCGGCGCCAAAACCGCCAGAAGCGGCGTCCCCAACACGTGCGGCGAGTGCCGGCAGAGCTTCGGGCAGAGCTCGGACCTGGCCAAGCACCTGCGCGTCCACACGGGCGAGCGGCCGTTCGCCTGCGGCCACTGCGGGAAACGCTTCAACGTCTCGTCCAACCTGACCCGGCACCGGCGCATCCACACCGGGGAGCGCCCGTACGGCTGCGCCGACTGCGGCAAGCGCTTCACCGACAAGTCCACGCTGACGCAGCACCGGCGCGTCCACACCGGGGAGCGCCCGTACGGCTGCGGCCACTGCGGGAAACGCTTCAGCCGCAGCTCGCACCACCGGCGGCACCAGCGCACCCACGGCGGGGCCACGGCGGGGCGGCCGGGGGGCGTTACTGGTGGTACTGGTGCTATTAGTGGTGTTACTAGTGCCATTAGTGCCATTACTGGTGCCATTACTGGTGTTACTGGTGGTACTGGTGCCATTAGTGGTGTTACTGGTGCTATTAGTGGCGTTACTGGTGCCATTACTGGTCTTACTGGTGGCGTTACTGGTGTTACCAGTGGTGTTACTGGTGTTACTGGTGCCATTACTGGTCTTACTGGTGTTACTGGTGCTGTTACTGGTGTTACTGGTCTTACTGGTGGCGTTACTGGTGCCATTAGTGCCATTACTGGTGCCATTACTGGTGGCGTTACTGGTGTTACCGGTGCCATTACTGGTGCCATTGGTGGCGTTACTGGTGTTACTGGTAGTGGTACTGGTGTTACTGGTGGTGTTACTGGTCTTACTGGTGCCATTATTGGTGTTACTGGTGGCGTTACTGGTGGTGTTACTGGTGCCATTACTGGTGCCATTGGTGGCATTACTGGTCTTACTGGCGGCGTTACTGGTCTTTCTGGTGGTGTTACTGGTGTTACTGGTGTTACTGGTGCCATTACTGGTGGTGCTGGTGGCGTTACTGGTGTTACCAGTGCTGTTACTGGTGTTACTGGTGGTGTAACTGGTCTTACTGGTGGTGTTACTGGTGTTACTGGTGTTACCGGTGTTACTGGTGGCATTACTGGTCTTACTGGTGGTGTTACTGGTGGTGCTGGTGCCATTACTGGTCTTACTGGTGGTGTCGCTGGTCTTACTGGTGTTACTGGTGCTGTTACTGGTGTTACTGGTGTTACTGGTGTAAAAATTTGGAATTTTTTTCCGGTGGTTTTTGGGTTTTTTTTCCCAGTTTGGGTTTATTTTTTCCCGGTTTGGGTTTATTTTTCTGGTTTGGGTTTTTTTTCCCAGTTTGGGTTTTTTTTTCCCAGTTTGGGTTTATTTTTTCCCGGTTTGGGTTTATTTTTTCCCGGTTTGGGTTTTTTTTCCTGGTTTGGGTTTTTTTTCCTGGTTTGGGTTTATTTTTTCCCGGTTTGGGTTTTTATTCAATCCCGGTCGTGGTTTGGAGCGTTTTGGGCCCAATTCCCGTTCCCAACCCCCCCAAAATCCCCAAAGCCCCGCCCCCTTCGATGACGTCATCCCGTCCGATGATGTCACAGTGATGTCACAGTGATGTCACAGTGACGTCACGACGCCCCCACGGTTTTGGGGGGGTTTATTAAAAGCTGGGGGGGAAATTTGGCAAAATCTGCGCCCCCTCCCCAAAATAAATACGCGGCACCGCCTGGGGGGCGGGGCTTGGCTGCGGCAGCCAATCAGCACCGGCCACGCCCGGCCACGCCCCGGCCACGCCCCGGCGTGGGGCACAGCCCGGGCCCGCTATGGGGCACAGCGGGGTCACTTGGGGGTCACTGTGGGCCCCACTTGGGGGTCAGTCCGTGCCCACTTGGGGGTCAGTCCAGGCCACACTTGGGGGTCACTGTGGGCCCCACTTGGGGGTCAGTCCAGGCCCCACTTGGGGGTCACTGTGGGCCCCACTTGGGGGTCAGTCCAGGCCACACTTGGGGGTCACTGTGGGCCCCACTTGGGGGTCACTCCAGGCCCCGCTTGGGGGTCAGTCCAGGCCACACTTGGGGGTCAGCCCCACATCCCACCATGGGTCACTTTTTGTCCCCACTTGGGGGTCAGTCCAGGCCCCACTTGGGGGTCAGTCCAGGACCCACTTGGGGGTCAGTCCAGGCCCCGCTTGGGGGTCAGTCCAGGACCCACTTGGGGGTCAGCCCCACATCCCACCATGGGTCACTTTTTGTCCCCACTTGGGGGTCACTCTGTCCCCACTTGGGGGTCAGTCCCTGCCCCACTGCCCGGTCCCCCGGGGGGTCTCAGGCCTGGGGTCACTGCGGGGTCCCTCCGTGGGGCACCGTGGGGCGCTGGGGGTCACTCCAGGGGTCACTCCAGTGGTCACTCTGGTGGTCGCTCGTGGCCGTGGGGTCACTCTGGGGGTCACTCTGGCGGTCACTTGTGGCCACGGGGCCGAGCTGGTCACTCTGGGGGTCACTCCAGGGGTCACTCCAGGGGTCACTCTGGTGGTCACTCCGGGGGTCACTCTGGCGGTTATTCTGGTGGTTACTCCACTGGTCACTCATGGCCATGGGGTCACTCCGGTGGTCACTCTGTGGGTCACTCCGGTGGTCACTCCTCTGGTCACTCTGGTGGTCACTCCTCTGGTCACTCTGGTGGTCACTCCAGTGGTCACTCATGGCCGTGGAATCACTCCATGGGTCATTCTGTGGGTCACTCCCGGGGTCAGTCTGGTGGTCACTCGGGCGGTCACTCAGGCGGTCACTCCCGTGGTCACTCAGGTGGTCACTCGGGCGGTCAGTCAGGTGGTCAGTGTGGGGGTCACTCCCCTGGTCACTCCCGCGGTCACTCCGCGGCCGCAGCTCGGCCGAGAGCCGCTCGAAGGTTCGCAGCATCGCCCCCCGGACGCGCTCCGTCAGCGCCGGAACCTCCGCGGGGCCCAGGCCCGATGTGGGGAGAGGCGGCAGCACCTGGATCACACAGTGACCTATGGGGGGAGATGTGGGGCTGACCCATAGCCGGACCCATAGCCTGACCCATAGCCTGACCCACAGTGACCCACACATCCCCCATAGCGACCCACAGATCCCCTGCCCCACAGCCAGACCCAACGTGGGGAGAGGGGGCAGCACCTGGATCACACAGTGCCCTGGGGGGAGATGTGGGGCTGACCCATAGATCCCTGACCCATAGCGGGACCCATAGTGACCCACGGATCCCCCACAGCGACCCACAGTGACCCACAGATCCCTGACCCACAGCCAGGCCCCGTGTGGGGAGAGGGGGCAGCACCTGGATCACACAGTGCCCTGGGGGGAGATGTGGGGCTGACCCACAGTGGGACCCGCAGCCTGACCCATAGCAGGACCCACAGATCCCCCACAGCCAGACCCACAGATCACCCTGACCCACAGATCCCCCACAGCCAGACCCACAGATTCCCCTGACCCACAGATCCCCCTGACCCACAGCCAGACCCGACGTGGGGAGAGGGGGCAGCACCTGGATCACGCACTGACCTGGGGGGAGATGTGGGGCTGACCCACAGTGGGACGCGCAGCCTGACCCACAGCCAGACCCACAGATGCCCCATGGCTGCCCCCCAGCCCCCCAGCCACCCCACATTGCCCCACATCGCCCCACAGCGCACCGGGGGTGAAGCGCCGCTCCCGTTTGCTGTAGAAGTGTTGGTAGGAGGAGATGACGATGGGCACCACGGGCACCTGTGGGGCAGCGAGCGCTGGGGACCCACAGCGCCCCATAGCGCCCCACAGCGCCCCACAACTGCCCCACAGCGCCCCATAACTGACCCACATCACCCCATAACCGCCCCATATCACCCCATAACCTCCCCATAGTACCCCATAACAGCCCCATAGCACCCCATAACCGCCCCATAGCACCCCATAGCACCCCATAACCTCCCCATAGTACCCCATAAGCACCCCATAACCGCCCCATATCACCCCATAACCACCCCATAGCACCCCATAACAGCCCCATAGCACCCCATAACCGCCCCATAGCACCCCATAACCTCCCCATAGTACCCCATAATGGCCCCATAACCGCCCCATAGCACCCCATAACCACCCAACAGTACCCCATAACAGCCCCATATCACCCCATATCACCCCATAACGGCCCCATAGCACCCCATAACCACGCCATAGCACCCCATAACAGCCCCATATCACCCCATAACGGCCCCCCAGCACCCCCCAGCACCCCCCAGCGCCCCCCAGCGCCCCGTCCCGCCCCACGGCGCCCCACGGCGCCGCACGTACCTGTGCCTGCACGGCCAGGTGGAAGGCGCCGCGCTTGAAGGGCAGCATGGAGCCGCTGTGGTTGCGCGTCCCCTCGGGGAACACCCACACGCGCACCTGGGGGGCAGGCCGGCTGTGGGGCTGCCCCATAGCGCCCTGGGACTGCCCCATAACCGCCCCATAACCACCCCATAACTGCCCCATAGCCGCCCCATAACTGCCCTGTAACTGCCCCATAACTGCCCTTGGGGAACACCCACACGCGCACCTGGGGGGCAGGCCGGCTGTGGGGCTGCCCCATAGCGCCCTGGGACTGCCCCATAACTGCCCCATAACCGCCCTGTGACTGCCCCATAGCACCCTGGGACTGCCCCATAACCGCCCCATAACTGCCCCATAGCCACCCCATAACTGCCCCATAGCCACCCCATAACCGCCCTGTGACTGCCCCATAACCGCCCCAAAACCACCCTGTACCTGCCCCATAGCGCCCTGTGACTGCCCCATAACCGCCCCATAGCCACCCCATAACTGCCCTGTGACTGCCTCATTGCCTCATAACCTCCCCATAACCGCCCCATATCACCCCGTAACTGCCCCACATCACCCCGTAACCGCCCCTGTGACCGCCCCACACCCCGCAGGGCTGCCCCACACCCCCCCAGGGCTGCCCCATATCACCCCGTAACCGCCCCATATCACCCCGTAACCGCCCCACATCACCCTGTGACCGCCCCACACCCCCCAGGGCTGCCCCATATCACCCTGTAACCGCCCCACACCCCCCCGTGCCCGCCCCACACCCCCCCAGGGCTGCCCCATATCACCCCATAACCACCACATATCACCCCGTAACTGCCCCATATCACCCCATAACTGCCCCACACCCCCCCGTGCCCGCCCCACACCCCCCAGGGCTGCCCCACATCCCCCCGTGCCCGCCCCCCACCCCCCAGGGCCGCCCCACTGACGTCCTGGCTGAGCATGGTGTGCGCGGCCTCGGCCATGACGCTGATGGCGTCGTGGGTGCGCTTGCGGTCGATGAAGATGATGCCCCCGAGCCAGCAGACGACGCCCACGGCGCCCATGTACAGCAGCTCCCGCTTGGCGATGGGCACGCAGCGGTCCGGGAGCACCTCCATCATCCCTGGGGGGCAGGGCACGTGTGGGGTTATGGGGCACTGCAGGGTTATGGGGTTATGGGGCACCGCGGGGTTATGGGGCACGCAGCGGTCCGGGAGCACCTCCATCATCCCTGGGGGGTGTGGGGAGTGTGGGGTTATGGGGCATGTGGGGGGTGTGGGGCATGTCTGGGGTTATGGGGCACGCAGCGGTCCGGGAGCACCTCCATCATCCCTGCGGTGTGGGGCACGTGTGGGGTGTGTGGGGTTATGGGGCGTGTGGGATTATGGGGCACCGCGGGGTTATGGGGCACGTGTGGGGTTATGGGGCACGCAGCGGTCCGGGAGCACCTCCATCATCCCTGGGGCATGGGGCACGTGTGGGGCGTGGGGCACGTGGGGGGTGTGGGGCACGTGTGGGGGTGTGGGGCACCAAGGGGTGTGTGGGGGTGTGGGGCACGTGTGGGGCGTGGGGCACGTGTGGGGTTGTGGGGCACCAAGGGGTTATGGGGCACTGCGGGGTTGTGGGGTGTGGGTTTATGGGGTGTGTGGGGTTATGGGGCACTGCGGGGTTATGGGGCACATGTGGGGTTATGGGGTGTGTGGGGCTGGGAGGGGTCCCTCTGTGGGTTTCTCTGGGGATTTATGGGTTTCTATGGGTTTCTATGGGTTTCTATGGGGCAGGGATCAATGGGGTAGGGCTCTGTGGGGCAGGATCTGTGGGGCAGGATCTGTGGGGCAGGATCTATGGGGCAGCCCCATACCCATCAGGTCCAGCGAGCTCTGGTGGTTGCTGACCACCACGTAGGGCTGGGAGGGGTCACTCTGTGGGTTTCTATGGGTTTCTATGGGTTTCTATGGGTTTCTATGGGGCAGGGCTCTGTGGGGCAGGATCCATGGGGCAGGATCTATGGGGCAGCCCCATACCCATCAGGTCCAGCGAGCTCTGGTGGTTGCTGACCACCACGTAGGGCTGGGAGGGGTCACTCCGTGGGTTTCTATGGGTTTCTCTGGGTTTCTCTGGGTTTCTATGGGGCAGGGCTCTGTGGGGCAGGATCTATGGGGCAGGATGTGTGGGGCAGCCCCATACCCATCAGGTCCAGCGAGCTCTGGTGGTTGCTGACCACCACGTAGGGCTGCCGTGGGGGGAAGTGCTGCGCCCCCCGCACCTCCATGCGGATCCCGTACAGGCGCTTCACGTGCTGCATCAGCCCCCGGATGATCCTGTGGGGCACGGTGGGTCAGCCCCATAGCTGTGCCATAGCTGCACCATAGCTGTGCCATAGCTGCCCCATAGCCGCCCCATAGCCGCCCCATAGCCACCCCAAATCCCTCAGAGCCACCCCATAGATCTGTTACTGCCCCATAGCCACCCCAAATCCGCCCCAAATCCACCCCAAATCCGCCCCATAGCCACCCCAAATCCCTCCAGAACTGCCCAAAACTGACCCAAAATCCCCAATAACTGACCCAAAATTCCCTGAATTCACCCCAAATCCCCCCAAAACTGACCCAAATCTCCCCAAAACTGACCCAAAGTGACCCAAAATCCCCGGAATTCACCCCAAAACGGTTCCTCACTTCATGTTCTCCACGTCCCGGCCGCGCAGGGCGCACAGGGGGATGGCCAGCAGCCCCAGAACCACCCCAAAACTGACCCAAATCACCCCCAAACTGACCCAAATCACCCCATAACTGACCCAAAGTGACCCAAAATCCCCGGAATTCACCCCAAAACGGTTCCTCACTTCATGTTCTCCACGTCCCTGCCCCGCAGGGCGCACAGGGGGATGGCCAGCAGCGCCAGCAGCCCCAGAATGACCCCAAAACTGACCCAAATCACCCCATAACCGCCCCAAACTGACCCAAAATCCCCGGAATTCACCCCAAAACGGTTCCTCACTTCATGTTCTCCACGTCCCGGCCGCGCAGGGCGCACAGGGGGATGGCCAGCAGTGCCAGAATGACCCCAAAACTGACCCAAATCACCCCATAACTGCCCCGAAATGACCCAAAATCCCCCGAATTCACCCCAAAACGGTTCCTCACTTCATGTTCTCCACGTCCCGGCTGCGCAGGGCGCACAGGGGGATGGCCAGCAGGGCCAGAATGACCCCAAAATTGACCCAAATCACCCCATAGCCACCTAGAAATGACCCCAATCACCTCATAACCGCCCCAAACTGACCCAAATCACCCAATAACCGCCCCAAAGTGACCCAAAATCCCCGGAATTCACCCCAAAACGGTTCCTCACTTCATGTTCTCCACGTCCCTGCCCCGGAAGGCGCACAGGGGGATGGCCAGCAGCGCCAGCAGCAGGATCCAGCCGTTGTAGAATCCCCAAATCCCCCCAAAACTGACCCAAATCCCCCCAAAACTGACCCAAAGTGACCCAAAATCCCCGGAATTCACCCCAAAACCCCTCCTCACTTCATGTTCTCCACGTCCCGGCCGCGCAGGGCGCACAGGGGGATGGCCAGCAGCGCCAGCAGCAGGATCCAGCCGTTGTAGAATCCCATCTTGCAGAAGAAGCGGAAGGAGCCGCAGCGCTCGTACAGCAGCGGCAGCAGCAGCAGCGCCAGCGCCGCCACCGCCGCGCCCAGCGTCACCTCCATCCTGCCTGCAGCCCAAAAAACCACAAATTCACCCCAAAATGCTCCCCCGGGGACACCCGGGGTCAGGCACCCCGAAAATCCCCGGGAGCGGGGGGCGAAAATGGCAAAATTGCCCTAAAAAATCCCAAATCTGATCCCCCACCATCACCTCCATCCTGCCCGCCACCAAAAAACCCCAAATTTACCCCGAATTAATTTAGGGGAACCCTGATTTTGTCTCCTTTTTGGGAAGGTGGGGTCAGGCACCCCAAAAATCCCCGGGAGCTGGGGGCAAAAATGGCAAAATTGCCCTAAAAAATCCCAAATCTGATCCCCCAGCGTCACCTCCATCCTGCCTGCGGCCCCAAAAAATGACAAATTCACCCCAAAATGCTCCCTCGGGGGCAGCCGGGGTCAGGGGCCCCAAAATCCCCGGGAGCTGGGGGCAAAAATGGCAAAATTGCCCTAAAAAATCCCAAATCTGATCCCACACCATCACCTCCATCCTGCCTGTGGCACCGAAAAACGCCAAATTTACCCCAAATTTATTTAGGGGAACCTTAATGTGTTTCCTTTTTGGGAGGTGGGGTCAGGCACCCCAAAAATCCCCAGGATTTGGGGGCAAAAATGGTGAAAAAATCACAAAAATCCCCAAATCTGATCCCCCACCATCACCTCCATCCTGCCCGCCGCCAAAAAACCCCAAATTTACCCCAAATTTATTTAGGGGAACCCTAATGTGTCTCCTTTTTGGGAGGTGGGTCATGCACCCCAAAATTCCCCAGGATTTGGGGGCTAAAATGGCAAAATTGCCCTAAAAAATCCCAAATGTGATCCCCCACCATCACCTCCATCCTGCCCGCCACCAAAAAACCCCAAATTTACCCCAAATTAATTTAGGGGAACCTTAATTTGTCTGCTCATTTGGAGGTGGGGTCAGGCACCCCAAAATTCCCCAGGATTTGGGGGCAAAAATGGCAAAATTGCCCTAAAAAATCCCAAATTTGATCCCCCACCATCACCTCCATCCTGCCCGATGCCAAAAAACCCCAAATTTACCCCAAATTTATTTAGGGGAACCTTAATTTGTCTGCTCATTTGGAGGTGGGGTCAGGCACCCCAAAAATCCCGGGGGTTTGGGGTCAGAAATGGCAAAAAAAACCCGTGAAAAATCCCAAATTCACCCTAAAATTACATTTGAGGGATCCCTAAATTGTTCCCTCTGTGGGAATTTGGGTCATAAATCCCAGGAGAAACTCTCAAAACCCCCAAATTCACCCCAAAATTGCACTTGGGGAGCGGAAATTATCCCCCAGGATCCTCACCTGGGACCCCAAATCCCCTCAATTACCCCAAACCCCCATTTTCACCCCAAAATCCCATCAGAACACCCAAAAATCCCCCCAAAATCCCCCAAATTCCCCTCAGAATCACAAAATCTCTGATTTCCCCCCCAAATTCCCCTCAGGCACCCCAAATTCCCCATTTTCACCCCAAATCCCCATTTTCACCCCAAATCCCCCTCAGACACCCCAAATTCCCCCTCAGACACCCCAAATCCCCATTTTCACCCCAAATCCCCCTCAGACACCCCAAATTCCCCCTCAGACACCCCAAATTCCTCATTTTCACCCCAAATCCCCCTCAGACACCCCAAATCCCCATTTTCACCCCAAATCCCCCCTCAGACACCCCAAATCCCCATTTTCAGCCCAAATTCCCCTCAGACACCCCAAATCCCCCCCTCAGACACCCCAATTCCCCATTTTCACCCCAAATTCCCCATTTTCCCCCCAAATTCCCCTCAGACACCCCAAATTCCCCTCAGACACCCCAAATTCCCCTCAGGCTCCCCAAATCCCCCTCAGGCTCCCCAAATCCCCATTTTCACCCCAAATCCCCCTCAGACACCCCAAATCCCCCTCAGACACCCCAAATCCCCATTTTCACCCCAAATCCCCCCTCAGGCTCCCCAAATTCCCCATTTTCACCCCAATTTCCCCTCAGACACCCCAAATCCCCATTTTCACCCCAAATCCCCCCTCAGACACCCCAAAATCCCCATTTTCACCCCAAATTCCCCATTTTCACCCCAAATTCCCCATTTTCACCCCAAATCCCCCCTCAGGCTCCCCAAATTCCCTCCCGGCCCCACCCCAGCCCCGCCCTCCCCTCAGGGCTCGGCCGGGCCGGGCCGGGCGGGGCCGGGCGGGGCATCCCCGGCCCGGCCGAGCCGCGATCGCTGCCCGGGAGCCGCGGCAGCCCCGGGGAGCCGCGGGGGCCCCTCGGGAGCCCCAAAACCCCCTCAGAGCCCCCCGGTCCCCCCGGGCCCCGCCGGTACCGGAGCGGCTGCGGCGCGGGCCCGTCCCGCCGCCGGAAGCCGCGGCGCTGATTGACAGCGCGCTCGGCCAATCACCGCCCGGAACCCAGCGCCTCGCCCCGCCTCCTCGCTCGGCGTGGTTGCCGTGGCAACGCGCGGGCGGGAAATGGCGGGGTCGCCACGGCAGCGGCAGGGCTGAGCGCTGATTGGGCAAGGCGGGTGCTTGTCAAAAGAGCTGGCCAATCAGAGTGCGGCGTGGCTAAAACCGTTCCCAAGGGCCGCGTTCATAGCGGATCTCCGCCAATAGCAGCGCGGGATTTTGATTGGCAGGCGCGGCGGCCAATGAGGATGGAGAGGGTGCGGGAGGGGAAGATGGCGGCGGAGGGGCTTTGGGGGATTTTATAATGCCCAAAATTTGAGGTAAAAGGGGGTTTGGGACCCACGCGGAGGAGATCTGGGGCGTTTTTGGGGGAATCGGACCACCAGGAGGATTTTGGGGTCTCTCATCCACCAGCTGAGAGCCCCCCTCGCATAAAAACCCAAAAAAATCCCCCTTTAAGCCCCACAATTCCACCCCAAACCCCAAAATTCCACCCAAACCCTCACAATTTAACCCAAAAAACCTTGAGTTTCCCCAGAAGTTGAATTGAAGCTGCTGCTGCACTCCCACCCCAGGGTGAGTGTGTTTTTTGGCTGGGAAAAACCCAAAAATTGCCCCCCAAAAAAGAGACAAAAATTCCCTAAGAATTCCCCAAACGCCCAGGAAAAATTGCTCAAGAATGCCCCAAAAATCCCCCCCAGAATTCCAGAAAAGCTCTTTAAATATTCTTCCAAATTCCCCCCTAAAATTTCCCCAAAAATTCCCCAAATAATGACTGAAAATTTTGTCAGGAATTTTCCAAAATTTCCCCCCAAAATTTTCTGGGAATCGCGTGGAAAAATCTGCAAAAAAATCCCTCAAAAAGTTCCCAAAATCTTTGCAAAACTTCCAACAGAAATCACCCAAATGCTACCCAAGTTTTACCGAAATTTTACCAAAAAAATCCCTAAATTTCTCAAAACCGAAACGAAAAATCCCCAAAATTCCCCCAAATTTTGCCAAACTTTCCCAGATTCCCTCCGCCCCTCCCCCAGGACAGAATCCAAGTGGATTTTTTTGGGAATTTTCCCCAATTTTTTATCTATTTGGGTAAAAAACTCTCCTGGTGGAGGGGCGGAGACAGGAAGGAGGCCACGCCCCTTTAGGAGGCGTGGCTTCAGCAATAAACCACAGCCACGTGACCACAAATGGGCGGGGCTTCACAGTAGCATTGACTGATTTTTAATGGAGCGTGGCCTCAACCCGCATAATTTAGGGAGCGTGGCCTCAAATTTGCATGTTTTTAATGAGGGGGAGTGGTTATGTTCTAGAAAGGGGTGGGCCTCATAAATCACAGGTTAAGGGCCGTGGTTTAAACGCGTTATTCCACTGAGGGGGCGTGGCCTCCCACCATCTTTTTAAAGGAAGCGTGGCTTAATATGCCACACTAATTGAGAACGCGTGGTATCAATGATAAATACTTAAGGGCGTGGCTTAAAGCGTTAATTGCATTGAGGGGGCGGGTTTGGGGCCCGCGCCGCCATTTTCCCTCCTCCTTCCTCCGCTCGGCCCCGCCCCTACTGCCGCACAGCCAATCAGCGCTCAGCGCGCCCCTCCCTTAGCCAATGGCAGCGCGCGGAGTGCCCGGCCGCCGCGCGGCGCATGCGCAGTGCGGCACTTCCGGGTTCGCTTCCGGCTCCCCTGAGGGGTTGAACGGGGAAGAAGCGGCGGCGGCGGCGGCGGCGGAGCGCGGCCCCCGCGGCGCTGCCGGGCCCGGGGCGGCCCCCGAGCGGAGCGGAGCGGCCCCGGAGCGGCCCCGGAGCGGCCCCCGGCGGAGCGGAGCAGCCCCGGAGCCGGTACGGGACAGCGCCGGGCCCCGGGGGGAGGAACGGAGCGAGCGGCGCCGCCATGGGAACGGCGGGCAGGGAGCGGAAATGACGTCACGGGAACGGGGGGGAGTGCGGCAAAGGAGAGAGCGTGGTGAGGCCACGCCCCCAAATGAGGGACACGCCCACTGAGGGATAGACACGCCCCCTAATTTGTTTGTCACGCCCCTTTGTTGAGACCACGCCCTTTTTTCTCCAGGAATTTCGTGATTGGGCGAGGGGGAGATGGAAGGAGCAGCAGCGGCCAATGAGGGAGCAGCGCCTCGCGGGGGAGCAAATGAGGACAAAGAGGCAGAGGAAGCGGCGGCCAATCAGCAGCGAGATGCGGGATCGGCAGCAGCCAATGGGAACGTGCCGCTGAAGGGCTCTGCCAATGAGAGGACGAGGAGCTGTGGTTTACCCAATCAGGACGCAGAGACGCGAGAGGCGACCAATGGCGGTGAGGACCCACAGGCGGCCAATGAGGACACAGGACACAAAGCCGCGGCCAATCTGAACACAGCACACAAAGCCCCAGCCAATGAGAACCCTGCGCCCAGCCCCGCAGCCAATCAGCAGCAAGCCCCGCCTCCCCAGCACCGGGCGGATGACTTGGCGCCATTGGCGGCCGCAGCCAATCAGGCGCGAGAGCCCTGGGATTGGTCGCTGGAGGAGGCGTGGCTTAGGACGCCCGAGGGGGAGGGGCTTGAGACTTGGGGGGTGGAGCTTGAAGCCTTTGAGGCGGAGCCTGACGAGGAGGAGGCGGAGCTCGACGCTTTGGAGGCGGAGCTTGTGCGCCGTGGGCCTGTGGCACAGGGGGCGGAGCTTATAACCCAGGGAGTGGCAGTTAAACCACAGGGGGCGGAGCTTAAAGCACAGGGGGCGGAGCTTATAACCCAGGGAGTGGCAGTTAAACCACAGGGGGCGGAGCTTGAGCCGTGTGCTGTCAATCCAAAGGACCCGGGGGCGGGGTTTGAAGCCCAGGGGGCGGAGTTTGAAGCCCAGGGGGCGGGGTTTGAAGCCCAGGGGGCGGGGTTTAAAGCCCAGGGGGCGGGGTTTGAAGCCCAGGGGGCGGAGTTTGAAGCCCAGGGGGCGGGGTTTGAAGCCCAGGGGGCGGAGCCATCCCCTCCTAACCCCGTTTCGGGCGCGTGGCAGCCGAGCCCGGACGGCGCCTGGTGGAAGCTGCGCGCTCGGCGCGGGCGCGGGCTGGCGCGGCCGGGCCCCGGCTCGCTGTGCCGTGTCCGGCTGCGGGTGCCGGTGTCCGGCCGTTGTCCCTGGGGCGCTCCGGCCGTGCCGTGCGGCCGCTGGCTGAGCGTGCGGCTGGGCGAGGCCGAGGGCCGGTGGTCAGCGCTGCTGGACGCGGCGCTGGAGACGATGGCGGCGGGCGAGCTGGCGTGGCTGCGGCCGCGCGGCGATGATGATGACGGTTCCACCGCGGTGCTGCTGGTGCGGCTGGGCCGCTTCGCACCGGCGCCGCCGTTCTGGGCCGCGCCGCCGGCCGCCCGCTGGCACGCGGTGGAGGCCGGGCTGGCACGCGGGGCGGCGCTGGCGGCGAACGGGCAGGACTTTTCGGCTGTTCGGGCCTTGGCGCGGGCGCTGCGTCGCGCCGTGGCGGCCGCGGGCCCGGCGCCGCTGCCCGAGCGCGCGGCCGCGCCTCAAGGCCGAGCTGCACGCGGCGCTGGCGGCGGCGCAGCTGCGCTGGGCCGGCCCGCGGCGGCGGCCGGCAACGCGGGGCGCGCGCTGGCGCTGCGGCCGGCGCACCTGGAGGCCAGGTACGCGCGGGGCGTGGCGCTCGCCGCCATGCGGGACCTGGAGGCGGCACGGCAGGAGCTGCTGGCGGTGCTGCGGGCACGGCCCGGCCACGGCGGCGCCCGGCGGGAGCTGGGCAGGGTCAGAGGGGCCGCCCGGGAGAGGGACGCGCAGCTGGGGGCCCGGCTGGGCAAGATGTTCGCTTAATTAGCGGTAATTACTGTTAATTAGCGGGAATTGGCGTTAATTTGTGTGATTTTGGGGGGAAAATAGGGATAATTACAGGGGAATTATGGTGTGAGGGGCCGTCCGGGAGAGGGACGCGCAGCTGGGGGCCCGGCTGGGGAAAATGTTCGCTTAATTAGCGGTAATTAGTGTTAATTAGCGGGAATTGGTGTTAAATGGCGGGAATTGGTGTTAATTTGTGTGATTTTGGGGAAAATGAGGTTAATTTTGGGGTTAATTGGGGCAATTATTGTGTAAGGGGCCACCAGGGAGAGAGACGTGCAGCTGGGAGCCAGGCTGGGCAAGATGTTCGCTTAATTAGCGGTAATTACTCTTAATTATAGATAATTGGTGTTAAACGGCAGAAATTGGTGTTAATTTGTGTGATTTTTGGGAAAATTATGGGGGTTATTGGGGGTGATTAGGGTCTGAGGAGCAGCCAGGGAGAGGGACGCGCAGCTGGGGGCCAGGCTGGGCAAGATGTTCGCTTAATTAGAGATAATTAGTGTTAATTAGTGGGAATTGGTGTTAATTTATGTGATTTTGGGGAAAATGAGGTTAATTATGGGGGTTATTGGGGTTAATTAGGGTCAGAGGGGCCGCCCGCGAGAGGGACGCGCAGCTGGGAGCCCGCCTGGGCAAGATGTTCACTTAATTAGCGGTAATTAGGGTGGAACGGCGGGAATTGGCGTTAATTTGTGTGATTTTTGGGAAAAATGAGGTTAATTATGGGGGTAATTGGGGGTAATTAGGGTCTGAGGAGCAGCCAGGGAGAGATCTAGGCTGGATAAGATGTTCGCTTAATTAGCGGTAATTAGGGTGGAACGGCGGGAATTGGTGTTAATTTGTGTAATTTTGGGGGAAATTAGGGTTAATTAGGGGGGAATTATGGTGTGAGGAGCAGCCAGGGGAGCTGGGTGCCAGGCCGGGGAAAATGTTCGCTTAATTAGCGCTAATTAGTGTTAATTTGCAGTAATTACTGTTGTTTTGGGGATAATTAGGGTTAATGAGGGGGTAATTGGGGGTGCCCCAGGTGTTAAAGGGAAGTCGTTAATGAGGGTGGGGACGGATCCGTTTTTGGAGGTTGTTAATTACGAATTAGCGCGATTACGTTCCTTATTAGGACTGTATTAATTAGTAAAATTATGCTAAAATTAGTTATTGTGGTTATGTTAATTACAATAACTTTCTTAGTGTTAATTACCACTGTAGGGCCATAAATACCACTTAAATTGCGTTAATTATTATAATTTTAGCGATTACGGCTATTTTGCATTAATTAATTAATTTAGTTATTTATTAGTTATAATAACGTGCGTATTTGAAGTTAATTTATGCTAATTAACACCAGGTCGCATTTAATCAAGGTGAAGCCCCGCCCAGCCATTAATAACCCCCCTCATTAGCGATGAATTATTAATGAGGGGCGTGTCAAAAGGGGCGTCACCACCATTAACCCCTCCCCCTCCCTCCAGCCCCACCCCCTCATTTACATAACCCCGCCCATATCAATATAGAGCTTTATTGACACCAAAGGGGGCGGGGCAAAGGCGGGGGCGGGGCTCGGCATGCAAATGAGGCACGGCCGCAAAGCATCGTGGGAGACGGGGGGGGGGAGGAGCGCGTCCGCCGTCGCCATGGCGACCCCGCGGGGGATATTCTGGGATGGAGCCGGGCCCCGTTGCCATGGCGACGTCGCCACGGCGCCGTTTTCCCGCCTTATTATGGGATGCCGCCGCCATGGCGACGCGGTTTCCATGGCAACGCCCCCCCCCCCCCCCCCCCCCGCCAATTATGGGTCTTTTGGCCCCGTTGCCACGGCAACGGCGACGCCCCCTCCGCTCTCCTCCCCCCCCCCCTTATTATGGGATGCGCGGAAACGCGGTGGCGGCCCCGTTGCCATGGCAACGCCGCTTTTTGGGGGGGTTTGCACCATCTTTAAGCCCCTCGTTGCCTCGGCAACGGCGACGCTCCTCCGGTCCCCCCCCCCCAAAAACCATCACAGCGTCCTCGGGGAGTTTTTTGGGGGGTTTTTGGGGTTTTCTGGGATGTTTTCTGAGAGGGTTTTTGGGGGTGTTTTTTTGAGATTTTTGGAGGCGATTTTTTTTTTGGTTTTTTTTGGGTTTTTTGGGTTTTTTTTTTGAGAATTTTTTTTTTTGTTTTGCTTTTTTGAGAATCTTTTGGGGGTTTTCTGGGATTTTTTTGGGGGGTTTCGGGCTTTTTTTTTTGATATTTTTTGGGGGTTTTTTTTTTGGAGAATTTTCTGGGGATTTTTCCGGGGGTTTTTTTTTGGGGTTTTTCTTTTTTGAAATTTTCCGCGATTTTTTGTGAGGTTTTTTCTTTTTTTTTTTTTGAGATTTTTTCCGGGGTTTTCCTGGTGGGGTTTTTTTTTTTGGGTTTGCTTTTTTTTTTTTGGAGATTTTTCTGGTTTCTTTTTTTTTGTTTTTTTTGTGGGTTTTTTTGGGTGGGTTTTACTTTTTTCGGGGGGTTTGTCAGGGGTCCCAGTCGTTGTCCTGGTGCTGCGCGGCGATGATGATGACGACGGTGAGGATGGTGCAGAGCACGGTGGCGGCGATGCCCACGGCCAGGCTGATGAAGGAGAAATTCCGCGCCTCCCTCGAGGCGATCTCGGCCGACACGATGTCCCCGCGGGCCACGGCCGTGCGCACCTGCTCGTTCATTAATTAACAGCCTTAATTAGCGCGGGCTACGGCAAAAAAATCCCGCTCGAAAATCCCACCCAAAAAAACCCCCAAAATCTCAACGAGAAAACTCCCAAAACCCACAAAAATCTCACCCAAAAATCCCCCCAATAACCTTTGAAATCCCACCCAAAACCCCCCCCAAAAAACCCCCCGAAATTCTACCAAAAAATTCCCCCAAATACCCTTCAAATCCCACCCAAAAATCCCCCATTCAAAAAAAGCCGAAATCGTGCCCAAAATGCTCCCAAAACCCAAAAAATCTCACCCAAAAATACTTCCAAAAGCCCACCCAAAAATGCCGCCAAAAACCCTTTGAAATCCCATCCAAGAAGCCCCAAAAAACCCTCGAAATCCCACCAAAAAATCCCCCCAAATACCCTTGAAATCCCACCCAAAAACCCCCCCAAAAAAACCCCGAAATTCTACCAAAACCTCCCCCCAAATACCTTTGAAATCCCACCCAAAAAAACCCCAAAATCCCACCAAAAAATCCCCCCAAATACCCTTGAATTCCCACCCAAAACCCCCCCCCAAAAACCCCAAAAATCCCACCCAAAACTCCCCCTAAAAAAACCCAAAATCCCACCAGAAAATCCTCCCCAAAACCCTGAAATCCAACCCAAAATGTACAGAATCTCCCCTAAAGCCCCCCAAACCCCCCAAAATCCCCCCAAAGCCCCGAAATCCCCCGAAATCCCCCCGAAACCCCCCGAAATCCCCCCGAAATCCCCCCAAAATCCCCCCGAGCCCCCGACCTGCACGGCCTTGACGATGGCCACCACGCCGGTGGGCCAGAAGCAGCAGAGGGTGGTCAGCACGGCGATGGGCAGGTAATCGTGGGGGGGCGACCCCCGGGGGGGCCCCTCCGCGCCCCCCAACCCCAGCGGGGGTCCCAAAGGAGCCCCCCCGGCCCCCCCCACCGAGCCGGGCAAAGGCCCGGGGGGGGCGGCGCCGAAGGTCTGGGGGGGAGGGGGGGGGGGTTAGAGAAGGACACGCCCACCCTGCGCCCCAAAATTCACAGAACGCTCCAAAATTTACACCCCACATCTAAAATTCACAGAACGCCCCCGAAATTTACACCCCGCCCCAAAAATTCACACCCCGCCCCCGAAATTTGGGCCCCACCCACAAAATTCACACCCTGCCCCAAAAATTCACACTCCGCCCCAAAATTCGCACCTTTCTCCCCAAAATTCACGCGCCTCCCCAAAATTCACACATCGCCCCCAAAATTCACACATTGCCCCCAAAATTCACACCTCGCCCCCAAAATTTGGGCCCACCCGCAAAATTCACACCTCTCTCCCCAAAATTCACACCCACGCCCAAAATTCATGCCCCGCCCCCAAAATTTATGCCCCACCCCAAAATTCACACCTCGCCCCCAAAATTCACGCCCCACACCCAAAATTTATGCCCCGCCCCCAAAATTGATGCCCTCCTAAGCCACGCCCCTTAACCAATCAGATTTTACCATGCCCCATTTAACCACACCCCTTTTAGCCACACCCACCTAACCACACCCAGTTTGACCACGCCCCATTTAACCACGCCCACACGACCACACCTAATTTAACCACGCCCAATTCGACTACGCCCCATTTAACCACGCACACCTAACCACGCCCCATTTGACTACGCCCTATTTGACCACACCCCATTTAACCACGCCCCATTTAACCACGCCCACATGACCACACCCTCGCTTTAACCACGCCCCATCTGACCACGCCCCATTTGACCACACCCAATTTAACCACGCCCACATGGCCACTCCCTCAAGCCCCGCCCTGCCGCCATTCACCCCTCCCCCACCCCACCCCCTCAAACCCCACCCCCACAAGCCCCGCCCCCCGGCCCCGCCCCTCTCACCGTGCCCCCCGGGTACAGCGGCAGGTACGCGGCGCCCCCCGCTGGCGGCGGCACCTGCAGCGCGAAGGGGGGCGGGGGGGGAGGGGCGCCGAACCCCAGGGGGGCGGGGGGGGTGGGGGAGGGGCCGGCCCCCCCTCCCCCATAGGGCTGGGCGGGGGGGGGAGGGGCGTGGGGGTGGCGGTGGGGGGGGGGGCCGGGGCAGCGTGGCCGCGTGGAACGCCCCTCCCCCACCCCCTCCCCCGCCCCCCGCCCCTCCCCCCGCCAGCCCCCGCGGCAGCGTGGCCGCCGCCCCTCCCCCACCCCCCCAGCCCCTGGGCAGGGTGGCGGCCCCCGGGAAACCCCGTGGCAGGGTGGAGGCCCCCCCACCCCCCAAAATGGGGCCGGGGGGAGGGGCCGGGGGGCCGTAGGGGGGAGGGGAGGAGTGGGGAGCCCCGTCCGGCCCTCCTGAGTGGGGGTGGGGGGGTGGGGGAGGGGAGAGAGAGGAAAAATAAAAATTTGGGGGGGGGGGTGTCAGCCACGCGACCCCCGCCCCGAAATTCCCATCCCCCCCCCCGCCGCCCCAAAAATTTCATCCGAAAAAAATCTTCACCCCCCCCAAAAAATAATCCCACCCCCCCAAATTCCATCGCCCATCCCCCACCTCCCCCAACCACGTTTTTGGGTCGCCCCGCCCCTCCCCCCACCTTGGGGCTATTTTTAGCATCCCGGGGGGAGGGGTCACACCCACGCCCCCCCACACACACCTGACCCTCCCCCTCCCCCCCCCCAAATTTTGGGGCCCCCCCGGATCCCCCCCCCGCTCCGTACCGGGTTTTTCGGCCGCCATGGCCGGGCCGAACCGGGACCGGGACCCCCAAAACCCGGCCTGGATCCGCCGGATCGGGGCCGGATCGACCCCCGGAACCGGCCGGGCTCCCACAAATCCCGGCCTGGATTCCCTGGATTGGAGCCGGAATCAACCCCCAAAACCCGGCCTGGATTGGATCAGGATTGAATCCTAAATCCCGGCCTGGATTCCCTGGATTGGATCAGAATTGACCCCAAAATCCCGGCCTGGATTCCCTGGATCGGATCAGGATTGAATCCTAAATCCCGGCCTGGATTCTGTGGATTGGAGCCGGAATGAACGCCTAAAACCCGGCCTGGATTGGATCAGGACTGACCCCCAAATCCCGGCCTGGATTCCCTGGATTGGATCAGGACTGACCCCCAAAACCCGGCCTGGATTCCCTGGCCTGAGGCCGGGACCCACCCCAAAATCCGCCCCCAAATCCTCCCCCGGACCCCCCGAATTTCCCCCCCAGACCCCCAAAAACGCTTCGGCCACACCAAAATCCTTTAATTGCCCTTCCCCAAATTTTAACCCCTAAATTCCCGCCGGGGTCAGGGTTGGGTGGGGGGGGGGAGGGGAGGGAACAGCCCCGGCCCCTCCCCCACTATCGCGATAGAAGGGGGGGAGGGGACCGCGAATGGCGCTGTTGGGGGAGGGGCAGAATCAGCCCCCAGCCCCTCCCCCACTATCGCGATAGAAGAGGGGGAGGGGACCCCGAATCTCGCGATTTTGGGGGGGTGGAGGAGGGGCGGCCGGGCGGAAGCGGAAGTGACGCAGCGCTGGGGGAGGGGAGCCGCAGGTAAACACGGCCCGCGCCGGGTGGGGGGAGGGGAGGGGATGGGGAGACCCGGGGGGGGTTTCGGGGTGGGGGAGGGGCGCGACCCCTCCCCCCCTTTAATTTGTTCTTTCCCCTCCCCCTCTCAGGGATGCCGCGCGCGCCGTGGCGGGGGGGTGGGGGAGGGGCGGCGCTGCCCCTCCCCCTCCTGCTGCTGCTGCTGCCGCCCCTCCCCCCCCCGGGGGCGCGGGGGGCGCCGTTCCGGCCCGTGGTGATCGTGCACGGCCTCTTCGACAGCCCCGGCGACTTCCGCCACCTGCGGCAGTTCATCAACGAGGTGCGAGCCGGGAGCTCGAAATGGCCCCAGAATGGCCCCGAAATGGCCCCAAAATATCCCCAAAATGTCCTCAGGGCAGCCCCGAAACGGCCCCGAAATGGCCCCAAAATGTCCCTAAAATATCCCCAAAATATCCCCCAAATTGGCCCCAGAATGGCCCCAAAATATCCCCAAAATATCCTCGAAATGTCCCCAAAATGTCCTGAGGGCAGCCCAGAAACGGCCCCGAAATGGCCCCGAAATGGCCCCAAAATGGCCCCAAAATATCCCCAAAATATCCCCCAAATGTCCCCAAAGTGTCCCTAAAATATCCCCAAAATATCCCCCAAAAATGGCCCCAAAACAGCCCCAAAGTGTCCCCAAAATATCCCCAAAATGTCCTGAGGGCAGCCCCGAAATGGCCTCAAAATATCCCCAAAATATCCCCAAAATGTCCTGAGGGCAGCACCAAAACATCCCCAAAATGGCCCCGAACAGCCCCGAAACAGCCCCAAAATGGTCCCAAAATGTCCCCAAAATGGACCCAAAATATCCCCCAAATGGCCCCAAAATGTCCCCAAAGTGTCCCCAAAATGTCCCCAAAATGTCCCCATTTTCCCCTCCCCAGAGCCACCCCGGGGCGGAGGTGACGGTGCTGGACCTGTTTGACCAGGGGTGTCCCTGACCCATTTATGGGGTCCCTAACCCATTTTTGAGGTCCCTAACCCCATTTTTGGGTTCCCTGACCCCGTTTCTGGGGTCCCTGACCCATTTTTGAGGTCCCTGACCCCATTTTTGGGGTCCCTGATCCCGTTTTTGGTGTCCCTGACCCATTTTTGGGGTCCCTAACCCGTTTTTGGGGTCCCTGACCCCATTTTTGGGGTCCCTGATCCCGTTTTTGGTGTCCCTGACCCCATTTTTGGGGTCCCTGACCCCCTTTTCCCCCCCAGAGCCACCCCGGGGCGGAGGTGACGGTGCTGGACCTGTTTGACCGCGGCGCGTCGCTGCGGCCGCTCTGGCTGCAGGTGGACGGGTTCCGCAGGGCGCTGACCCCCATCATGGCCAACGCGGCCCGGGGGGTGCACCTGCTGGGCTACAGCCAGGGTGGGGGTCCCGGGGGTCCTGGGGGGGTCCTGGGGGTCCTGGGGGTCCCAGGGGTCCTGGGGGGGGCACCTGCTGGGCTACAGCCAGGGTGGGTGGGGGTCCCGGGGGTCCTGGGGGTCCCGGGGGTCCTGGGGGGGTCCTGGGGGGGTCCTGGGGGGGTCCATCTGCTGGGCTACAGCCAGGGTGGGTGGGGGTCCCGGGGGTCCCGGGGCTGAGGAGGGGTCTTGAGTTCATGGGGAGGGGTCCCGGGTCATTTGGAGAGGGGTCCTGAGTTCATGGGGAGGGGTCTCAGGTTATTGGGGAGGGGTCTTGAGTTCATGGGGAGGGGTCTCAGAGCTTCGGGAGGGGTCCTGGGCTTATGGAGAGGGGTCCTGAGTTCATGGGGAGGGGTCCCGGATCATTTGGGGAGGGGTCCCGGCTGCTTTGGGGTACCTTGGGTGGGGGAGGGTTTGTGGGGTCCCACGGGGGGTTTTGGGGAGGGGTCTTGGGGCATTTTGGGGAATTTTTTGGGGTTCCTGGGGGGGTTTTTGGTTGGGATTTTGGGGTTTCCCGGGGGCATTTTTGGGTGGGATTTTGGGGTTTCTGGGGCCATTTTTGGGTGGGATTTTGGGGGTTTCTGGGGCCATTTTTGGGTGGGATTTTGGGGGTTCCCGGGGTGGTTTTTGGGGTCCCCAGCAGCCCCCTCCCCAATTCCAGGGGGTCTCATCTGCCGGGCTCTGCTGGCCACGACCCCCGACCACAACGTGCAGAGCTTCATCTCCCTGGCGGCGCCGCAGATGGGGCAGTACGGGGGTGAGCGGATTTTGGGGAGTTTTGGGGATTTTTGGGAATTTTTCGGATTTTTTTGGGGCGGTTTCGGGGTTATTTGTGATTTTTTCGGAGTTTTTTTGGGGTTTTTTTGGTGATTTTTTTGGGGTTTATTTTGGTGTTTCTCGGGGGGTTCTGGGTGGTCTCTGTGTCTCCTGGGGGAGGGCGGAATTTGGGGGGATTTTGGGGTGTTTTGAGGCTGATTTTAGGGCAGATTTTGGGGTGGTTTAGGGCAGATTTTGGGCTGATTTTTGGGGCAGATTTTTGGGGTGGTTTAGAGCAGATTTTGGGCTGATTTTTGCCGATTTTGGGGCAGACACGGATTACCTGAAGTGGCTTTTCCCCCGGCACATGAAATCCAACCTGTACCGGCTCTGCTACACCCCCCTGGGCCAGGGCGTGTCCATCTGCAACTACTGGAACGGTCTGGCCCCAAAAACCCCCAAAAACATCCCAAAAATCCCCCTAAAATCCCCCCAAAATCCCCCCTGGGCCAGGGCGTGTCCATCTGCAACTACTGGAACGGTCTGGCCCCAAAAACCCCCAAAAAAATCCCAAAAATCCCCCCAAAATCCCCCCTGGGCCAGGGCGTGTCCATCTACAGGTACTGGAATGGTCTCAGCCCAAAAACCCACAAAAATCTCCCCAAAATAGCCCCAAAATCCCCCCAAAACCCCCTGAAGTATCCCAAAACCATCCCCGGAGGCCTCCCCCAAAATCCCCACAAACCACCCCCAAACCCCCCCAAGAAAACCCCAAAACCCCCCCAAAAACCCCAAAACCCCCTCAAAAAAACCCGAAACCCCCCAAAAAAATCCAAAAAACCCCAAAACCCCCCAAAAACCCCCCAAAAAACCCCAAACCCCCCGCAGACCCCCACCACCGGGACCTTTACCTGAACAGCAGCGACTTCCTGGCGCTGCTCAACGACGAGCGGCTGCACCCCAACGCCTCAGGTGAGCCCCAAAACCCCAAAAAAACCCCAAAAAACCCCAAAAACCCCAAAATTCCACCCCCAAACCCCAAATCCCCGAAATGGCGCCCCAAAATCCCCGAACCCCCCAGACTGGAAGCGGAACCTGCTGCGGATCCAACGCCTGGTGCTGATCGGGGGCCCCGACGACGGCGTCATCACCCCCTGGCAGTCCAGGTGGGACCCCAAAAACCCCCAAAATCGCCCCAAAATTACCCCAAAATCCTTCCTGAACCCTCCCAGAAACGTCCCTAAAACTTCCCCGAGAATCTTCCCCAAAAACCGAAAAATCACACCCAAAATTCCCCCAAAAATCACCTTAAAATCAACCCAAAAATACCCCAAAAATCGCGCCAGAAACACTCCCGAATCACTCCAAAATTGCCCCAAAGTTACCCCAAAAATCACCCTAAAATCACACCCAAAAATACCCCAAAAATTACCCCAGAAACACTCCCGAATCACTCCAAATTGCCCCAAAATTGCCCCAAAATTCCCCCAAAAATCACCTTAAAATCAACCCAAAAATACCCAAAAATCATCCCAGAAACACTCCTGAATCACTCCAAAATTGCCCCAAAAATCCCCCAAAAATCAACCCAAAATTACCCCAAAAATCTTCCCCAAAATCACCTCAAAATGACCCCAAATTAACCAAAAATTACCCCAAAATGACCCCAAAAATCAAAAAAAAAATCCCCCAAAAAATCCCGAAAGCCCCCCCGGGCCCCTTTGGGGTCTCCCCGAATTTCGGGTCCCCCCGGTGACCCCAAAATTTCCCCGAAGCCTTTTCGGGTTCTACGACGCCAACGAGACCGTTCGGGACATGGAGGCGCAGCCGGTGAGGGGCACCCCAAAAACGGGGCTGGGACCCCAAAATTGGGGTTTGGGACCCCAAAAATGGGATTTGGAACCCAAAAATTGGGGTTTGGGACCCAAAAATTGGGGTTTGGGACCCCAAAATCGGGGGTGGGTTCCCAAAATCAGGGGTGGGTTCCCAAAATTAGAGGCTGGGACCCTGAAAATTGGGGTTGGGACCCCAAAAACTGGGGATGGGTTCCACGATTTGGGGGTTTTGGGGTCTCTTTTTGGGGTTTTTGGGGGTGGTTTTGGGGTGTTTTGGGGTGTTTTTGGGGGTAGTTGAAGGGGTTTTTCTAAAGGTGTTTTTGGGGTTTTTTTTAAGGTGTTTTTATGGTTTTTAGGGTATTTTTTGGGTTACTTTTTAGGATAGTTTTGGTCATTTTTTCGGGCTGTTTTTGGGATTATTTTTGTGGTATTTTGGGATTATTTTTGGGGTATTTTGGGATTATTTTTGGGGTATTTAATGGGGTTTTTCCCATTCCAGGTGTTCCTGCAGGACACCTTCGGCCTGAGGCCGCTCTGGGCCCGGGGGGGATTTGGGGATTTTTGGGATGTTTTTTGGGATATTTTCAGGATATTTTGGGGCTGTTTTTGGGGTGTTTTTGGGGTATTTAATGGGGTTTTCCCGTTGCAGGTGTTCCTGCAGGACACCTTCGGCCTGAGGCCGCTCTGGGCCCGGGGGGGATTTGGGGATTTTTGGGATGTTTTTTGGGATATTTTCAGGATATTTTGGGGCTGTTTTTGGGCTGTTTTTGGGGTATTTAATGGGGTTTTCCCGTTGCAGGTGTTCCTGCAGGACACCTTCGGCCTCAGGTCGCTCTGGGCCCGGGGGGGATTTGGGGATTTTTGGGATATTTTTGGGGTGTATTGTGGGATATTTTCAGGATATTTTGGTGCTGTTTTTGGGCTGGTTTTGGGCTGTTTTTGGGGTTTTAAATGGGGTTTTTCCCGTTGCAGGTGTTCCTGCAGGACACCTTCGGCCTCAGGTCGCTCTGGGCCCGGGGGGCTCTCGGCGGCTGCGCCGTCCCGGGGGTCCCACACACGGCCTGGCACAGCCACAGGGGGGTCTACGAGAAATGCATCCGGCCCTGGCTGACCTAGGGCAGCCTATGGATCCTATAGGGGATTTGTGGGGTTTTGTGGGGTTTTATGGGGATTTATGGGGTTTGTAGGGATTTATGGGGTTTATAGGGGCTCTATGGGGGATTTGGGGTCTCTCTGGGGTCTCTGTAGGGTCTCTATAGGTCCCTATAGGGAATTTGGGGTTCCATAGCGGATTTGGGGTCTCTATAGGGGATTTTGGGTCTCTTTAGGGGTTTTGGGGTCTCTGTAGGGGATTTGGGGTCTCTTTAGGGGGTTTTGGGGTCCCTATAGGGGATTTGGGGTTCCATAGGGGATTTGGGGTCTCTTTAAGGGATTTTGGGTCTCTTTAGGGGATTTTTGGGGTCTCTCTAAGGGATTTTGGGGTCTCTACAGGGGATTTGGGGTCCCATAGGGGATTTGGGGTCTCTATAGGGGATTTTGGGGTCTATATAAGGGATTTTGGGATTCCATAGGGGATTTGGGGTCTCTATAGGGGATTTTGGGGTCTCTTTAAAGGGTTTTGGGGTCTCCCTCGGGCCCCTCCCATTTTTGGGGTCCCTGGGGGGGGTCCCGGCCGTGGGGGAGGGGCTGGTTCAGTTTTTGGGGGCTCTCTTTGGGGGGGGGGGGGGGTGTCTCCCCTCCCCCACCCCTCCCCCACCGACTCAGGGATTTGGGGACCCCTCCCCCCACGGCCTAAAGGGGGAGGGGCCAAATTTTGGGGGGCGGGGCCACGGCCAATAAAGCACTTCCCCCCCCCGAAATGAGTCTGGGGGTTTTGGGGGGTCCCGGGTGGATTTTGGGGGGTCCTGAGGGGATTTTGGGGGGTCCCGGGTGGATTTTGGGGGGTCCCGGGTGGATTTTGGGGGGTCCCGGGTGTTTTTTGGGGGGTCCCGGGTGGATTTTGGGGGGTTAACATTGGCCCCTCCCCCTTTTCCCCACAGCCCCGCCCATTTCACGAGGCCACGCCCCTTTTCCCATTCCTGGCTCTTTATTGGTTCAAATCCGACGTCAATCAAAGGGGGGGGAGGGCTCAAAGAAAAAATTGGGGCAAAACGCGGCCGGTTTGGGACATTTGGGGAATATGGGGCATTTTGGGTGACTTTGGGTAAATTTTGCCCATTTTGGGTGATTTTGGGTACATTTGGGGCTTTTTGGGGTGAATTTTGAGCATTTGGGGCGGTTCTGGGTACGAAACCGGGTGAATTTTGCCCATTTTGGGTGAATTTTGCCCATTTTGGGTGAATTTTGCCCATTTTGGCCAATTCCAGGGACCGAACCGGGCGCACTCGGGGCGGATTTCGGGGGGATTTTTGGGCGGATTTCGGGGGGATTTCGGGGCGGATTTTTGGGGGATTTCGGGGGATTTTTGGGCGGATTTCGGGCGGATTTTGGGGGATTTTGGGGCGGATTTCGGGCGGATTTTGGGGGATTTTGGGGTGTCAGGGCGGGGGCAGCGGCAGCAGCGGCGGCAGCAGCTCGGGGGGGTCCCCGCGCCCCCCGCCCGCCTCGGCCGAGTGTTTGCACTTCTCGGAGCCGCACTGGCACGGGAAATATTTGCTCTTGATGTCCCAAAAACGGTCCCCGTAGTCGAACCTGCAACGGGGACGGCGGCGTCACCCCAAATCCCGACCCCAAATCCCGACCCCAAAACCCGGGGGGCCCCTCGGGGTGGGGGGAGGGGTCACGGGGGGTGAGGGGGTTTAAATTGGCCATAAATTGTCTTTAAATTGGCCCTGAATGGCCCAAAATGGGCCCTAAATGTCCCCAAATTGTCCCTAAATTGACCCTAAATGTCCCTTAATGTCCCTAAATTGACCCTAAATGTCCCCAAATTGTCCCTAAATTGACCCTAAAAGTCCCCAAATTGTCCCTAAATGTCCTCAAATAAAATCCCTACAAAACCCCAATAAATCCCAATAAAACCCCAATAAATCACTATTAAACCCCATAAATCGGTATAAAACCCCATAAATCCCTACAAAACCCCAATAAATCCCAATTAAACCCCAATAAATCCCTACAAAGCCCTAATAATTCCCAATAAAACACTATATAACCCAAATAAATCCCTATAAAATCCCTACAAAACCCCAATAAACCCCAATGAACCCCAATAAAACCCCAATAAACCCCAATAAATCCCTACAAAACCCCAATAAACCCCAATAAAACCCCAATAAATCCCAATAAATCCCTACAAAACCCCAATAAACCCCAATAAAACCCCAATAAATCCCAATAAACCCCAATAAACCCCAATAAATCCCTACAAAACCCCAATAAATGGATATAAATTCCCACCCCAGCTCCTCGCCGGGGCGGATGTGGCGGCTGCTGAAGAAGGCGATGCGGGGGAAGCGCAGGTCCTGGTGTAACATGAACACCCGCACCGGGATGATGTTGGGGTCGCACAGGTGGTTGATGAAGCGGCTGACGTTGCCATAGTAACGCGCGTCGATGCAGTAAACCTCGCCGTCCTGTCGCAAAAGGGGCGGGGCCTCGCTCAGGGGGCGGGGCTCGGCGCGGTGGCCCCGCCCCTCATTAAGAAAAGGGGCGTGGCCGCACCCCCCCCGGGTTTTTGGGGGGTTTTGGGGAGATTTGGGGGATTTTTTTATTGTTTTTTGGGGTCTGCCTGCACGTCTGGGGGTGCTCAGCAGATTTAGGGACCTCCTGAAATCTCTGGGGCACCCCAAAATCCCTGGGAATGGCCCCAAAAATCTCTGGGATACCCCAAAATCTCTGGGGCACCCCAAAATCCCTGGGAATGGCCCCAAAAATCTCTGGGGCACCCCAAAATCCCTGGGACTGGTCCCAAAATCCCTGGGATGCCCCAAAATCTCTGGGACACCCCAAAAATATCTGGGACACCCCAAAATCTCTGGGGCACCCCAAAATCTCTGGGGCACCCCAAAAATCCCTGGGACTCCCCCAATGGGATTAAACCCCCGTGGGGTCAATGGGGCAGAGCTGATGTCCCAAATTTTTAGGGTCTCACCCCAAAATTTTGGGCTCCCCTGCCCCTAGACCCCCCAAAAATCCCCCAAAACCCCCAAAAACCCCCCAAAAATCCCCAAAACCCCCCAAAAATCCCACCTTGTTGTCCAGGTCGAACAGGTAGGAGTCGTCCTCCCTGACATCGGCCTCGGCGTCCGAAATCAGCTCCCCCACGTACCTGGGGCAAAAAAAGCCAAATTTGGGCACCCCAAAAGTGGCCAATATCCCTAAAAGCCTGAAACCCACCCAAAAACCTTCAAATAGCACCAAAAAGCCCAAAAATCCACCCAAAAACCTTCAAATAGCACCAAAAAGCCCAAAAATCCACCCAAAAATATCCCCCAAAATCCTTCAAATAGCCCCAAAAAAACCTTAAAATAGCCCCAAAAAAACCCTTAAAATATCCCAAAAAACCCTAAAATACCCCAAAAAAGGCCTAAAATTGACAGAAAAAACCCAGAAATCCCCCCCAAAGAAAACCCTAAAATATCTGAAAAAAAACCCCCAAAATCCCCTAAAATCCCCCGAAAATTCCCCTAAAAACCCCAAAATTCCCCAAAAAATCCCTAAAATCCATCCCAAAAAAACCTAAAATCCCCCAACCCGCCCAATTTTTAGGGTTTCCCTCCCCATTTTTGGGATTTTTTTCTCCATTTTTGGCGTTTCCATCCCAATTTTTACGATTCCCGCCCCATTTTGGGGGTTTCTCTCCCCGGTTTTGGGGTGTTTTCCCCGTTTTTGGGGTGTTTTCCCCGTTTTTGGGGTGTTTTCCCCGTTTTTGGGGTGTTTTGCCCATTTTTGGGGTGTTTTGCCCGTTTTTGGGGTCCCTCACTCGCAGATGAAGGTCCCGGGGGGAATCGCCTGCAGCGCCCGGACACCCCAGCCCATCTTGGCCGTGCGGTACAGCTGCAGCCGGACCCTGAAATGGGGCGAAAAAAGGGGATTTTGGGAAAAACGGGAATGCTGGGGCGGAAAAAGGGGAATTTGGGGGAAAAAAGGGAATTTTGTGGGGAAAAAATGGGGATTTTTGGGGGGAAATGGGAAGGAAATGGGAATTTGGGGGGGGTAATGGGAATTTGGGGGAAAAAAGGGAAATTTGTGGGGAAAAAATGGGGATTTTTGGGGTTTTTGGGTCCCAGTTGATGCAGCTCTGCACCACGCGGTTCTTTGGGGGCAGAATTCAGGATTTTGGGGTTTTTGGGGTGCGAGAATTGGGGATTTTGGGGTTTTTGGGGTGCAGAATTTGGGATTTTGGGGATTTTGGGGTGCAGGAATTGGGGATTTTGGGGATTGGGGATTTTGGGATTTTTGGGGTGCAGGAATTGGGGATTTTGGGGTGCAGAATTTGGGGTTTTTTGGGGTTTTTGGGTGCAGGAATTGGGGATTTGGGGTTTTTTGGGGTTTTCGGGTCCCACTTGATGCCGCTCTGCACCACGCGGTTCTTTGGGGGGTAGAATTCAGGATTTTGGGGTTTTTGGGGTGCAGAATTTGGGATTTTTGGGTTTTTTTGGGTTTTTGGGGTGCAGGAATTGGGGATTTTGGGGTTTTTGGGGTGCAGGAATTTGGGATTTGGGGTTTTTGGGGTGCAGGAACGGGGGATTTGGGGTTTTTTGGGGGTTTTTGGGTCCCACTTGATGCCGCTCTGCACCACGCGGTTCTTGCAGCTCCTCCAGCAGGTGCAGGCCTGGTTGCACTCGAAAATCAGGGGGGGCTCGATTTTATTGAACTCCTGCAGCAGCCGCCCGTCCTGGGGGGGAAAAGGACACTGAAACACCCCAAAATCACCCCAAAATCACCCTCAAAAATAACCCAAAACACCCCAAAATCACCCTCAAAAATACCCCCAAACACCCCAAAATCACCCTTAAAAACAGCCTGAAAATACCCTTAAAAATACCCCCAAAACACCCCAAAATCATCCTTAAAATCACCCCAAAATCACCCTTAAAAATACCCCCAAAATAACCCTCAAAAATAACCCAAAATACCCCAAAATCACCCTTAAAATCACCCCAAAATCACCCTCAAAAATA